CGATTCGACAACTTACGGTCGTTATTTTCCCACAAAAAGACTTTTCCAAGCCCTTTCTTTTTTAGGAAAGTTCTAAATTTAGTATCATCTTTCAAATACCGATGACATTTTAATAACCATAGTGCCCTTTGGTAAGGCATTAATCCTCATTACCAGGTCCATCGCGGAGAGGACCTAAATCCGTCGGTCTTCTGGTTGCTAATTACTAACGAGCATTAATTTTATGCTTTTAGCAGTCAGGTAAAATAACCACCAGTTAACTACAACTACTATTCTTTGGCCTGCAAAATGATGGGACATAGTACCTTTAAAGGAATATTTTTGGACCAAATAACTCGATATCAATAATAGGAGAAATCGAGAAAATACAAGAGATGTCACACAAATCTACATATAGCACATATTTTCAGTTTAATGCACATAACATTACTATATCAAATCAATACAATACAATACAAAATAAATACCAAAATTATATTTTGGTAGCAGTAACTTAATGCCACAGATAGTAAAATAAATATTAAAAAAACAGAACATGCATAATTTGTATCGTTTAATTTCTAGTTTAATGCAATTTAAATTACAGATACAAAATTAAAATCACATTATTATTCAGAATTATTATATATAGTACTGTTGGAAAATATGCTGTATTAAGCATACATTTGATCCAATTGTGTGAAATTACAGGCCAGGGTCACGGTCCCATTAGTCACATCTTGCTCATTGAGCTAGAATTCTTAATCTCATATTCTTCAAGTGACTCTCATAATATATTTATTAACAATAACATAGCTAATCTGCACAAAGCACCTAGAGAGGAAGCCCATCTGCTCTAAATTAAGGGCTGTCATAAACATTGAAATATTTACTTCCTAGTATACCAGATACCCACAAAAGTGGAGAGTGGTCAACTTTGTTAAATGTTTTGCTAAGTTCATTAATGTCGACACTGGAACTCATGAAATGTGAACAATGTGATCTAAATTAATCACGTATCCATGGGAATATGACATCTCTATGTACAATATACGTGCAATATTCATGATACTACTACTAGTACTCTGTTTTGTCACTATTTTATACAACATATAATAAGAAACAATGGTCGAATGTCTCTGACCCTAAGGCCACGTAACAAAGCGTAACGAGTTTCTTGTCTGGACTAAAACAATAATGGAGGCAGCGCTTTACTATTTACTATTTTTTCTATTTTCTCCCAAGATGGCCACCGTATGATAAATATGGATTGTCAAGGTATATTTAAATAATTTATTGACATATATTGAGCTATTTGAGTATACTGATTCAATGTTACAAAACAAATGGTTTGTATAATTTTAGTCCACTTGCTAAGCAAGTTCAAAATCAGAAACAGTGAAACATGTACAATGTGTTCAGCTTAAATTAGCAATAGGAGCTACTCAAACAAAATGTACTACATCATAGCCCTTTTTTTTTTTCTTCTTCTTCTGAATAGTAAATACATGTAGTTAAAAAAAAGGGGGCGGCGGACAAAAAGGAGGCGGTGGGGACGACAGTTTTTGTTATTTGGCCTAATATATTGTTGTAATTTACTAATTTTAACACCCTATAGGCGTAATGAGCAAAAACTTGTTGGGGGCCAGAAGAAAATCCCAGCTTTTCAGCAGTCCCCTCCATGACCAACCTGTTTTATATGCCTATTGTACACTGTGGACCAATTACAAATATACTGTTTCATTGTTTTACTATGTACAATGCAATCCCATGTACTTTATTTATTTTGTTGGAAATGGAAATAAACGAAATGAAATGAAATGAAAAAAAAAAAATCCGCATCATCACGATGCGGCGGGAGAGCGTCTTCCAAAATAGGGGGGGGGGGGTGCAACAACAAAAAAGGGTCACTTTCTGGAAAAAAGGGGCACCTAAAAAGGGAAACCTTAACAATAACATAAACCATCTTTTAGATATCGGATACCCTTACATAGTCATGATTGTGATTACACTACCAGGGAAAATATCAATATGTGTTTCTTTCTTTACACGGTACATGTACAATATACTGCTTAATTAAACTTATACTTTGCAGTTGGGTGTGATGGTCTGAATATTAATTTTCGAACGAGCGAAGCGATCGAGCAAAACTTTTAAAGATTTGTGAGGTCCCAGTGCGAAAAAAATTACATCTTTTAAAGAATTAAGACAAAAAACAAACCCAGATGAGTATTAAGTACAATCTAATGAAGAAAGACTGAAAAGTTCTTTTATAAGTAACATAATCGTACCATCTATAAATGCAAGCGAGTGTAGCGAGCGAGCTCTATCGAAAAAATAAAGAAAAAGGGGCTCTAAGTCGCCTTGAATTAGGGGTGCATGTTATGTAGAAAGGAAAAGTAGGCACTTGTCCTATGTAAAAAAAAAAATTAAAAAAAGAAGCTTTTTCAGGGGGTATCTGAAAGAGTAGGGGCACCGGGAGTGCCGCCTTTGGCATAATGGGCAAAAGTACTTGAAAAAAAAAACCGGAAAATCATGTAATTTCAGCAATATTCATAAATCACTGGTATCGAATTACAAATAAACCACATTTGATTTTATTTGGGGTCAACTGCCCCCCCCCCCCATGTGTACGCCAGTGCTCACTCACGCTCAGAACACATGAGTGAAACCTCAACCAACTTGATGTGGGGTCGCTGTTATTAAGTAACACACTGATTAGAAATTAGCTAGATTAATCTTTAAAACAGAACAGGAACATTGAAAAGGTATAGTCTAGCTAATGTAGACTCTTCTCATTGATGCTTCAGATTTGTTCATATAGCTAGTGTTTATTGATCGTTAATATAGACCAAACTGCCATTCAAGCTTTGCCATTGAGAAGTGTTACAAAAGAACATGTGTGATCCAATGTCTGACAGTAGGCCTACGTACATGCACCGATATAAGTAAGCTTACAAATAAACAAAAAACATCAAAACGGAATTCAAGGTTTGAAAACAATTTATAGTATACACTACGTGACATTTGAAAACAAGGAAATAATTTTTCCCCCGATTGTGCTTAGAGCATACACCATCAGACATTACACTCTGTTATGTGGAGATGGTTTTGAATGCTTCTCCAGTCATAACTGGTTTTATCCATACTGAAAGACTGTGTAATTACTCATAATTATTAGTAATTTACTTCGTAATAGAGTCGGACTTTGATGCCAATGTAGAAAAGCATATCGAAATCGGTTGTTCAAAATGAGCATACCATGCGAGGATCCTGTTGCTAAAGAACCTGATGATACTGAACAACGCCAGATCGATTCTGCTCTGGGCCGTTTTACCTCTGTCAACGATGCAAATGAAGACGTGGTCCAATCGAAGAGCAGGCATGGGAAAATCTTGGAGCCAGAAAAGATATTTGATTTCTTTGTTTGCAATCATGAGTCTAATAAAGAGCAAGCGAGCAGAATCAACGGGGAAATGGAGAAACTCGGCCTGCGAGGGTATATCTATGAAAGAGACATGATTGCGGGGCAGTATAAACTCCCAGCTTATGAACAAACCATTCCGACCACCAAAAGTATTATACTTCTGATTTCAACGGAAGCTCTCACGTGTGACGATTTTAAGCGTAAAATGCACGCACCCAGTAACTTGAACGTAATTCCTATTTACATAGGCCTTTCCAAGGAGAAATATCCAAGACTTCTTCGACATCATTTTGGAATCCAGTATACGAATGATGCAAACTTCTGGTATCAAATTCACAAAGCGATCACAACAAGACCTATGAAAGACAGCGAAAGTTCCACGGAGGTAAACCGATCAAAACTTTTTAACAAAGAGCCCTTATCTCAGGCTTCGCCATTACCAAGAAAAAGCAAAAACCCGATCAAGAATTCTTCGCCTAGTTCAAAACAGAAGCCAGAGAAGAAGTGGTGGCCTTTTCGCTCGAAGCAGAACGGGGAGAAGGAAATTCCGCTGTCTATTCAAATGCAAACGATCAGAACAAAAGGGGAAGCTTTGGATGATGAAGCAAGCAATAGGTAATTATACTACAAGTCATGATGACAAGACCTTTACCAAATCAACAACAGAGTGAACAGACCAGACAAAATAATACCCTACCCATAATGGCCAAGCATAGGTTGGTATGGAGATGCGACTCGGTATTAGCCTTTAAGGTTTTCCATGATCTGGTGGTGCCTCATGTTATGTCTTTATCTCGACATTTTCGGGACATGATGTTGTTAAAATTCTGGAGAGAGATGTGTATTTTGTGTACTTTGTTATGTATAGCGCCTTGAGTATAAGTTATAAGATAAGTGCGCTTTATAAGTATTCATTATTATTATTGGCAAGGCCGACGTAAGGTATTTAGATTCCTCTTTGTTGGTATATTCCATTTGCAACACCCCAGGATTATCCTGTCCATGCAGTATCATACACATATGTGTGAACCAATGTATATACTCTGAGTACAGGTAGGCTACATGCACCGATAATTAAGTTTACAAACAAACAACAAATTCCCAAAACTGAATTTAAGGTTTGAAAAGGAAAGATTTTATTGAGTTTCAGAAATGATAGCAGACACGTACTACACGACATGTGAGAACAAGGAAATCATTCATGACAATACATTAATGAACTGACATTCAGATATGTGTAAAATACTAATTAGTTCACAGATACATGTATAACCGTCCATGATGGTTTGTGTCGAGTGATTGGTACACGATACATGAAATGCATCACAGATTAGCATACACTAAATTCATTTCATATTTGATATAAATCATGGAAATGGCTGAACTTAGAATATTTCCTAGGAATACATAAGCCTCTTGGGGCAAGTTGAAAGACATGTACATGAATAATATAAATTGATTACAAATAAATTTCAATGATATCGAAATAATAATTGTATAAATTTTATTGCAGTACAGATTGTTGTCATAAATGAAGTAAACTAGATACAAAGAGGAACTTAAACACAGCTCTACCCACCAGGGCCCAATCAGTTATATCTGACTATCCTACTAATGATTGCTAACAAGTTTTGTAGAATAAAAAGTGTTAGTATTGCATGATATATATGAGTAGCATTGTAACACAGCTCTAGTCTACAGGAACCAAACAAATATGGAGTCCTGATAATACTAATGATATCAATCGTAATTGTAATAACAAAAATAATAATAATGATGATAATAATAATTATGATAATAATGCTAATAATTAAAATTAAAAATTTGTTATCATTTATATGGCAGAAAATTATATTTCTTTATCTCAGCCATCACTTCAATATTTTCGTACACATGTAATGTGCTTGGCTACTGCCAACGGGTTTCGTGATTGAATCCACTTGAAACCCTGCATCCTTGAGAAACTCTGTGGCTTTCTCTCGCCCCCAACATGTTCCTAACCCCACACTGCCCTCAAAGAACAGAGATATAGCCAGACAATGGAATAGACTCATGGTATACAACATAGAACAATACTCATTTGAAGCATTCTCTGAATGCTTGGTCTTGCAGTCTATATCTATCATGGAAAAGACACCATCTGGTTTGAGGATACGGTTCAAGGCCAACAAAACCTTGTCAGCATGCGCAAGATCATGGATGACATTAAATGTGTAGATGTAATCAATCGTATTGTTCCAATCATCAGGTATGCATGCTGCATCCTCACGGATAAACTCTACGTTGGTAAGGCCTTTTTCCTTGGCCCGTTCTTTTCCATAGTTTATTGCCTCTTGTGAGATATCCAGTCCTACAACGGTGCTGTTTGGATAGCTCTCTGCAAAAGCAAGTGAGGCCAATCCTCTCCCGCAACCCAGATCCAATATTCTGATACCAGACTCTGAATGACACAAAAACAATGAAAGATCATCTCATATATAACAAAAGGCACTGTTGACATTACTCCCCCCCCCCAAAAAAAAAAAAAAAAAAAAAAAATCACTGATCTAGTGATGCATTTTCATTTCTTCATCATACATGTAGCATACAATGAATTAATGCAATAGGTGCGTTTGGCCAAAAACCTCTGTTTCATAATTCAAACTTATACAAGCTGTAAGTATAGATTCCAAACTTAGTACAAATACCTCATTTTGTTTTCTTTTTCTATTGATCCTTATAGCCTATAACCATACTGTCACCAGTCTAGGCACACCCATTTTGTAGCATGCTTAACACGGCTGAAACCTTAACTTGATTCTATTCTTTAACCTTTGGAAAGAAACTGTTAAGCCTCTTGACGCTGTTATAGGATTATGCAGAAGAATGGAGTGTGACGTATTAAAAATATATCAGAAGTATCTAAGTAAATAAAATTCTAGTCAGAACATACAGAGTCATTTAATTTAATTTGTTCTTAAAATCAGTGTGACTTACTCATTCGTTCTTCTATTTGAGGCATGGACGGTATAAAATCTTGGACCAGATGTTGCAGAACCCATATACTGCTATGATTAGACATCACGGTATGAAAATCTGTGTATTCTGAGTATGACAGTCCTGCAAAGACAAAATGTGCAATTTTAATGGTTAATTCCCAGCAAATCGGGTTAACAAAATTCCTGGATTGTTTTCCCTGATGGAGTTTCAATATTCCAGGATCATTATTTAAACATATTCAGAAACTACTTCCACTCAAATCATCCAGTAGGATGTTGTTTAGACACAAGGACAACTGGGAATCCTAAATCATTTCTTCTTTTTTCTTTTCTTTTTTTGTTTCGGAGGGGGGGGGGGGGGACTTGAGTGACCCATGCCATGTGACACTAAACTAAGATCTTAGGTCCTTGGAACCTTTCATGCGGACAAATCACTGTAGCTAATATTAACCTTCAAGATAAAGACCAATACGTCATGCGATTGCAATGTGAAAGAAACGTTGTGGAATCGATCAGAAAAGGTTGATCATCTAGCATATAAGTATTGGTGTGTACTGCAAGGTTCTGGAATCATCAAAATGATAAGAAAAAATGGCCAAGTCTTGATAAAGTAACAAGCACTGTACCGGTACACAGAAAGATGTATATGAGACCACACAAATTGGGTCCCATTTTCAACGAAAATATCATGGGTCTGTCTTTTCGAAATTTCGAAATTTTTCGGGTGTTTTGTATGAGGGTTGAACAACACGTAGTATGAACAGCGTCATACATACTGTCTTCCTTGAGTGGACTTTATCAACAATTTTCACTGTACCATGGACTTGCCCGGTAATATATTTACCTTGTGGGCCATCTTTCTTGAGACAATCTAACAGCTTTTTGTAGACTGCACCATACATGGTTAAGTCTGTGAGTGTGACTGCTAAATTACTATCACTACTACCAGACTGGAAGAACGTTATACGATGAGGGGGGAGACTGTATTTTTCTGTCTCGGGGTTGATGTCGACGATGTCAGCTGCAACCATCACTCCAAGCCATTCTTTCACATACCTTAAATGAAGAAAAAGTGGACTCTGTTTGCAAATCGTAAATAAATCATTCAGTGTACTTTTGAAAAAACATTATATTGCAACATATTTTAAATGCCTTTTGTTCAATAAATTCCATCTCTTACATTGGATGGTATGTCACAATATACAAACATAGAATTGTACGCATATTTTTTCCTTCACACCCAGATTTTGACATATTGTTAAACATGGTTGTTGTTGTTGTTTTGCAGTAGCGGATCCGGGGGGCACAGGGGGCACGTGCCCCCCCCCCCCGGCCAAAAAAAATATGTTAAAATCAGCCCTAAATTCGCCCAAAATGTACGGAAAAACAGGGACGTCCCCCCCCCCGGCCAATTTTTTTTTAACAATTTATTAAATATATATATATATATGTACAGTACGTCCCAGAAAAAACGAAACCGAGAAGTATCGATGTTTTATCATAACTTAATCACAACTATAATTAATGAATGATACATATTTAGAAAGGTTAGAGTCTTCTCTTTCACGTGATGCTACTCAGATAATGCATATTTCACGCATGAGTGATTAAAAGCAATTTGAAGGAAGGAACCAAAAAGTAATTTGGCGGGCGGTATCAGAATTTCAAAGAAAAATTCATATTTCTAGAAAGTTCATTTTCTGCTCTTTCATATGATACCTCAATAAAGAAAAATGAACCAGGAATAATAAAGTTCTGTTTGTTTAAAGTAGCCCTTAGATTTTCATAATTTTAACAAACGAATTCGTTTTCACTGGGTGCCTGCCGTAGCAAAAAGCAGATTTAACAAAAGACTTAACTCCGTTTCGTTGACAATCAGCCATGCATGAAGACTCTTTTCTACGGCTGATTGTCAACGAAACGGAGTTAAGTCTTTTGTTAATTTCGTTTATTGATACGGCAGTGAAAACGAATTCGTTTAATAAAATTATGGAAATGCAAGCACTGCTTTAAACAAACAGAACTTTGTCATTCCTCGCTCATTTTTCCTGATTCAGGTGTCATATGAAAGGGCAGAAACTCAACTTTCTAGAAATGTGAATTTTTCTTCGAAATTCAGATACCGCCCGCCAAATGTCTTTTTGGTTTCCTTCCTTCAAATTGCTTTTTATCACTCATGCGTGAAATATGCATTATCTGAGTAGCATCACATGAAAGAGAAGACTTTATAAGACGATGACGTAGATCCTAATCAAATGATTGGTTGAAAGCGTACACGTGACCAGGCATTTATTTTGCCTAACGCGTAATTTGGTAATGACCGGTCATTACCCAGTGGTAATGACCGGTCATTACCACATCTAGCTAAAATTAGCGCAAAATAAGCGCGACACAAGTCAGAGGTCTAATATTAGACGCGCGCAAGGCAAGGTACGCCTCAATTTGCGCTTATTTTAAACAATGGGTCATTTAAATGAGAATTTAAACCATGGGTTAGATTTAAACCTCCTTTGTGAATTCGGAACTTTGAGTTTGAGATGAGAGCGATTGATCAAATAACAAGGATCCACGTTATAATTTTATAAAACAAATAATACACATCATTTTGTTCGAGCATTAGTATAATTTCCCACACTCGGTACCTTTGAAAAAGTCTAACACGCCCTTGGCTATCGCCTCGGGCGTGTTAGACTTTTCCAAAGGTACCTTGTGTGGGTAATTCTTACTAATACCCTCACTGCTGTGTATTATTTGTATACTAATTACCTTTCTAAATATGTATCATTCATTAATTATAGTTGTGATTAAGTTATGATAGAACATCGATACTTCTCGGTTTCGTTTTTTTCTGGGACGCACTGTATATATATGCAAATGGCTGACCTAAAAAGGTGACCTAAAAAGGTGACCTTAACCCCCCGCCTCAACGGAGCAAAAATGTCAAATTAAAACAAATTGTGACCAAAAAAAAAAAAAAAATCTCGCCAGAGAGAACGTTGGATGGATCACACCTTCATCACTACCTTTCCTTCAGCCCGGCTGTATCAGCAATTTCCTTGACAGTCCTCTCCTCATCCTTCAGCTTTATAAGAGCATCAAAGAGACCCGATTGAATTCCTAGAGACGTTGAAAGGGAGACAAACCCATGGATTACTAGGGTGCTGAATCTCTTCTCAAACTGATCATGAGTCTCTTTCTCTCCTGCTTCAGCCATACTTCTGAAAAGAAAGAGAAGTGCATACCGTAGTATATGATGGTTATTGATGACAAAACAAAACAAAAATCTAATGTATAGATTCTAATGGTACACAAAACTTTCCTGTATGGTCCAAATTCAGATTCAAGCTCTAAAAACAGCCACTATTTACAACAGTGCTCGATTGACAATAGTTTTGTGTCATCAGAGTTACTGGTTTTACAATTACACTTCTGAAACGACCTAAGCCAGAAATGTTAATGACAGGAAAATTCTGTCACCTGTTAACATTGGCTGTTTTTCAGTGTTCTTGATTATAGAGATACTCTATTTGTATTGCTCAGATGATGCACCTTCAAACAAGGGGAAAAGAAGTATGATCTTAAATAAGCCCCCCCCCCCCTCCTTCTCCTTTCCTGACATGCCTGGATGGCTGGATATCCTAATCCTCCTACCCCCTAGGCTAAGTGAAACTGAAAGGCCTAGAAATATCAACAGCAGATGACACTACCAAGCTCCAGGAAGACCTAAACAGATGGGCTTAAGGTCTGGTCAAACCTCAGGCAGATGAAATTCAACCCTAAACAATGCCACACCATGAGAATCCACAGGAAAAGACATCCTTGGAGTTGAAGAATTGTTTGAAGTTTCCAGCGAAGCATACTTAGGAACGACTCAGCTGGAAGCCACACATTGAGGCAGTGATGTCGGCGGGGGGGAGGCGGGGGGGGGGGGGAGGCGGGGGGGGGGGGGCGAGGGGGCGATTGATATCAATATCATAAAAATATTATCACCAAGTTACAAGTATAGTTTGGATTGCCCTTTGACTTGAGTAGGTGCTCATTCGAAGTGGATGCTTGTTAAGTTTTTGGTAAACATGTTGTAACTGCAGTTCAAGTAAAAATAATACAGTTACTTAGTTAAACAATATAAATTGAAGGCGTCGGCGTCGGAGCTCCCTGGAGTTACATACGTATCACTACAGCTTGTATAAGTAGTAGTAGTAGTACTGTAGTAGACTACTCATACTATTACAGTTTTAAACTTACCAATTTGATTCAGCTTCCAAGGCAATAGCTTCACTTCTCTAGAGCTGTATGATTTGTTTTCAGATTCGGTATCTATAATAGCTCAGCTCGCGCTCGCGTCATTGGCCTCGATCGAAGTACTACTACAAAGCAGGGAGGTGTTTTAAACTCTCATAAAAATATCCCTGTACAAAGGTGGATAATTGGCATGTACGTTTACGTTACTACCAGGTCAGTGGTTACCACCAGATTATCTATAGTTCCATGCGCTCTTATTTTCATTTGCCAAAATTGTAGTATTCACAGTAACTTGAACATTACAATTATAAAAAAAATGTTTACAAAAACGTTGAATGCAAAATAGTTTCTCAATTAATAGAATCAATTGAATTATGAAAAATTGAAACAAATTGTGGCAGTTTATTTATATATCTACCCGTCTTTTGACAAGAATATACATAAAGTCTGGCATACGACTAATTCAAAAGCAACGCCCCCTTCTTAGCCATACATCAGTATAAGAGCTCTGGAATAATGATTTATTTTTCTCGAGGGAAAGTTCGTAAATACCCTGTTTTTAATTTTGGTGCTATTACAATTGATGTTGTTGTTATCTTAGAACCACTTTCGAACCGCTTCTGGGGGCTCCGCCCCCTGGACCGAACACCAAATTGCGTCCTGCCAGTGTCACAAATAAGGTATACAATATTATTTATTGCCCAAAACCCAAATTGCCAAAATGCTCATCTGACGACAATAATTGCCCAAAACCCCTGAGCTTCAGGGGCTCCGCCCCCTGTCCCCACGCCAATTCGTGACCTGCCAGTGTCACATATAAGGTATAAAATCATGCTCATCTGACAGTAATTTATTACCCACAACCCCTGAGCTTCCGGGGGCTCCGCCCCCTGGACCCCACGCCAATTCCTGACCTGCCAGTGTCACAAATTGATATAAAACTATGCTCATCTGACCGTTATTTATTGCCCCCTGGACCCCACACCAATTCGTGACCTGCCAGTGTCACAAATAAGGTATAAAATATGCACATCTGACGATAATTTAATGTATAAAGCTCCTGAGCTTCTGGGGGCTACGCCCCCTGGACCCAACACCAATTTGTGTCCTGCCAGTGTCACAAATAAGGTATAAAATCATTTTGGTGCTATTACAATAATGTTGTTGTTATCTTAGAACCACTTTCAATTATAATGGTTCTTTCAATATGGCTATAAACAAACAGGTTAATCAAGCCAGGAGAGTATGGGGTTTTCAGAAGTTAGACTGTATTAAAATATGTGATAGAAAATTCCTTAATAGCTTGCTTAAACTTAACCGTGGCACTGCAAACTGTATGGTTTATGGCGAAGTTGGTAGATTTGCTTTAGCTAGTAAAGTGGAGAAACGTATCAATTTTTGGGGCGAGGGTTAGTCAGGGTAAAACATCTAAGCTTTCATACATTATTTATAGTCTGTTACGTAAGCTACATGAAAGTTGTGATTTTGAATCAAGGTGGATTGTGAAATTTAAAAGTATCCTAGACAAGAGTGGAATGTCAAACTTGTGGGTCGAGGACTCCCCCTTGAACCTTGGTTGGGTTAAGTCAAGTTTATAGATATCGTTTATGCTTTAATTATAGGCTTTTTAAACAGGAAGGTGGTTTAGAGAACTATTTGTTGAAATTGGACGTAGGGATGGCAGTGGCGGATCTAGGAGGGGGCCGGGGGCGGGGCCGTCCCTCCCCCCCCCCCCCTGGCAGAAAAAAGAAGGAAAAAAAGGGGAAAAGGGGGGGAGGAAAAAAAAAAGGAAATAAAAGGGAAAAGATATCAAAGGTAGCAAAATATGCTCATCTGACCGTAATTAAATGCCTAAAACCCCTTGACTTCCGGTGGCTCTGCCCCCTGGACCCCACCTAGGGCCCTAAGGCGGAACCCCTGAGCTTCTGAGGTCTCGGCCCCCTGGAGCTCACGCTGATAAGTGTCCTGCCAGTGTCACAAATAATAAGGTAACAAAATATGTTCATCTGACCGTAATTAAGTTTCCGGGGCTCCACCCCCTCGATCCCACCAGGGGCCCTAAGGCGGGCCCCTGCATGCTTGTCTGACCGTTATAAAAATCCTAAAACCCCTGAGCTTCTGGGGGCTCCGCCCCCTGGCCCCCACGCAAATTAGTTACCTGCCAGTGTCACAAATATGATATAAAATATGCTCATCTGACGATAATTTAATGTATAAAACCCCTGAGATTCGAGGGGCTCCGCCCCCTGGACCCAACATCAAATTGCTTCCTGCCAGTGTCACAAATAAGGTATACAATTTATTGCCCAAAACTCAAATTGCCAAAATGCTCATCTGACTACAATAATTGCCCAAAACCCCTGAGCTTCAGGGGCTCCGCCCCCTGTCCCCACGCCAATTCCTGACCTGCCAGTGTCACAAATAAGGTATAAAATCATGCTCATCTGACGATAATTTAATGTATAAACCTCTGAGCTTCTTGGGGCTCCGCCCCTGGACCCAACACCAATTTGTGTCCTGCCAGTGTCACAAATAAGGTATAAAATCATGCCCATCTGACAGTAATTTATTGACCAAAACCCCTGAGCTTCCGGGGCTCCGCCCCTGTCCCCACGCAAATTCGGAACCTGCCAGTGTCACAAATAAGGTACAAAATCATGCTCATCTGACAGTAATTTATTACCCAAAACCCCTGAGCTTCCGGGGGCTCCACCCCCTGGACCCCACGCCAATTCCTGACCTGCCAGTGTCACAAATTGATATAAAACTATGCTCATCTGACCGTAATTTATTGCCCCCTGGACCCCGCGCCAATTCGTGACCTGCCAGTGTCACAAATAAGGTATAAAATATGTACATCTGACGATAATGAAATGTATAAAACCCCTGAGCTTCTGAGGGCTCCGCCCCCTGGACCCAACACCAATTTGTGTCCTGCCAGTGTCACAAATACTGTATAAAAAAATTCTGACCGTTATTTTTTGCCCAAAACCCCTGAGCTTCCGGGGGCTCCGCCCCTGGACCCCACGCCAATTCCTGACCTGCCAGTGTCACAAATAAGGTATAAAATTTATTGCCCAAAACTCAAATTGCCAAAATGCTCATCTGACGACAATAATTGCCCAAAACCCCTGAGCTTCAGGGGCTCCGCCCCCTGTCCCCACGCCAATTCCTGACCTGCCAGTGTCACAAATAAGGTATAAAATCATGCTCATCTGACAGTAATGTATTACCCACAACCCCTGAGCTTCCGGGGGCTCAGCCCCCCCGGACCCCCACGCCAAGTCCTGACCTGCCAGTGTCAAAAATTGATATAAAACTATGCTCATCTGACCGTTATTTATTGCCCCCTGGACCCTACACCAATTCGTGACCTGCCAGTGTCACAAATAAGGTATAAAATATGCACATCTGACGATAATTTAATGTATAAAGCTCCTGAGCTTCTGGGAGCTACGCCCCTGGACCCAACACCAATTTGTGTCCTGCCAGTGTCACAAATAAGGTATAAAATCATTTTGGCGCTATTACAATTGATGTTGTTGTTATCTTGTTGTTGTTATCTTGTTATCTTAGCTGAGCCCCCGGACCCCCACGCCAATTCCAGACCTGCCAGTGTCAAAAATTGATATAAAACTATGCTCATCTGACCGTTATTTATTGCCCCCTGGACCCTACACCAATTCGTGACCTGCCAGTGTCACAAATAAGGTATAAAATATGCACATCTGACGATAATTTAATGTATAAAGCTCCTGAGCTTCTGGGAGCTACGCCCCTGGACCCAACACCAATTTGTGTCCTGCCAGTGTCACAAATAAGGTATAAAATCATTTTGGCGCTATTACAATTGATGTTGTTGTTATCTTGTTGTTGTTATCTTGTTATCTTAGCTGAGCCCCCGGACCCCCACGCCAATTCCAGACCTGCCAGTGTCAAAAATTGATATAAAACTATGCTCATCTGACCGTTATTTATTGCCCCCTGGACCCTACACCAATTCGTGACCTGCCAGTGTCACAAATAAGGTATAAAATATGCACATCTGACGATAATTTAATGTATAAAGCTCCTGAGCTTCTGGGAGCTACGCCCCTGGACCCAACACCAATTTGTGTCCTGCCAGTGTCACAAATACTGTGTAAACAAATTTCTGACCGTTATTTATTGCCCAAAACCCCTGAGCTTCCGGGGGCTCCGCCCCCTGGATTCCACACCAATTCATGACCTGCCAGTGTCACAAATAAGGTATAAAATATGCAAATTTGACGATAATTTAATGTATAAAACCCCTGAACTTCTGGGGACTGCGCCCCCTGGACCCAACACCAATTTGTATCCTGCCAGTGCCACTGCATTTCTTCCATGCCCCAGAAGGGGCCGTTAAAGAAATAAAAATCATTGTCATTGTCATTGTCATTGTCATCTGGTTGAAGTTGCGGCCAAACCAAACAAAAATAAGAATAAGAACGGACCACTCACTATTTTGGAGAATCTCAAGAATCGGCGTGATCTAGCTTTCCCAAATACGGCCAGGGCTAATTATTGGTCTACCATAAGATTACGAAACTCAACCAAAACTTTCTAAGTTGATGAATTGTATATTTTGATTGTATATCATTTATTTAAAATTCTGCCATTAACAATAATTTATTCCAATCTGGACAAAAAAAGCATATTATGGACTGCCAATTTCACATATTTTCTTTATTTTTCCAATATAATTGATGCCTTATGTTTATCAAAAAGCTAAAGATAACTTGCAAAAAATGTGTAATTGTTAATATCAGGTGGAAAGAAAGGTTTACAAAAATAATGAATCAAGCTTCTTTTCATTAACACATGTCAACACTCTCTGCAAACTCTAACTTAGTCACTGTTTTCAGAGCATTAAATTGAACTGCATTACACAACTGATTCCAATTAAATAAAACCAATGAATATACATATCAATGAGATTTTAAAAACGTGTAAGTTTATACATGACACTTGTTATCTGAATCGTATAAGTTTATACATGACACTTGTTCTCTAAAGCGTATAAGTTTATACATGACACTTGTTCTCTGAATCGTATAAATTTATACATGACACTTGTTCTCTAAAGCGTATAAGTTTATACATGACACTTGTTCTCTAAAGCGTATAAATTTATACATGACACTTGTTCTCTAAAGCGTATAAATTTATACATGACACTTGTTCTCTGAATCGTATAAATTTATACATGACACTTGTTCTCTAAAGCGTATAAATTTATTCATGACACTTGTTCTCTGAATCGTATAAATTTATACTTGACACTTGTTCTCTAAAGCGTATAAGTTTATACATGGCACTTCTTCTCGAAAGTGTATAAATTTATACCAGACACTTGTTCTCTGAATCGTATAAGTTTATACATGACACTTGTTCTCTGAATCGTATAAATTTATACATGACACTTGTTCTCTAAAGCGTATAAATTTATACATGACACTTGTTCTCTGAATCGTATAAATTTATACATGACACTTGTTCTCTAAAGCGTATAAGTTTATACATAACACTTGTTCTCTGAATCGTATAAATTTATACATGACACTTGTTCTCTGAATCGTATAAATTTATACATGACACTTGTTCTCTAAAGCGTATAAGTTTATACATAACACTTGTTCTCTGAATCGTATAAATTTATACATGTCACTTGTTCTCTAAAGCGTATAAATTTATACATGACACTTGTTCTCTGAATCGTATAGATTTATACGAGACACTTGTTCTCTAAAGCGTATAAGTTTATTCATGACACTTATTCTCTGAATCGTATAAATTTATACATGACACTTGTTATCTGAATCGTATAAGTTTATACATGACACTTGTTCTCTAAAGCGTATAAGTTTATACAAGGCACTTCTTCTCTAAAGCGTATAAGTTTATACATGACACTTGTTCTCTAAAGCGTATAAGTTTATACATGGCACTTCTTCTCTAAATTGTATAAGTTTATACATGACACTTGTTCTCTGAATCGTATAAGTTTTTACCAGACAGGAGATGTACCACTGGTATGAATTTGGCGATCCTACTTCAAAGCTGTGGAAAGTTATTGTGTGTATACAGCTTTGTATGTTAAGTTCAATGACCTTTTAACCTTTGAACTTTGTTGAACACGAGTGACCCATATTCGAACTTGACCCGAGTCTACAAGAGATGTACCACTGGTGTGAATTTGGCAATCCTTGATCAAAACTATGGAAAGTTATTGTGTGTACTATGCTTTTAATAAAAAGTTCATAGACTTTTTGACAGTGCCGTAAAAACTGGAAAACAACAACAACAACTTTTGACCTTTCACCTTTGTCGGATATCGCCCATATTCAAACTTGATCTGAGTCTTCAAGAGATGTACCACTGGTATGAATTTCACGATTCTACTTCAAAGCTGTGGAGAGTTATTGTGTGTACAGCATAAGTACAGCTTTGTATATTAAGTTCATTGACCTTTTGACCTTTGAACTTTGTCGACCATGACCCATATTCGAACTTGACCTGAGTCTTCAAGAAATGTACCACTGGTAAGAATTTGGTGATCCTAGCTCGAAGATATAGAAAGTTATTGGGTGTACAACATAATTGTTGACGCCGACACCGCCGGTGTAAAAAGTGACGCCTATGCCTGGCTCCTGCTACGCAGGCGAGACAAAAAGGACATGAAACCATTTTAACGGATATCAACCGATGCCAAAAAACGACATCCGTTCCTCAAGTGTGACAGCCGCATGACGGATTAAACAAAAGTACCATCCGTTACTTGTACATTTTCTGATCCGGCCATGTCTGGCAGCGGAATAAGCTTGTAAGTTTTCAATTCAAAATATTACAGTAATATTAAAAAAGATAAAATTACATCTGTTTAAATCATATAGATTGTAAATCTCATGCAACTAAGATTTGTACTAAGGACCCTCTGGTGAAATTAAAAAGCTCCTCCACTTGTGCTTCACAGCCCCCACCCCCAAAAAATATTACTCCAATTTTATTGAAACCAATAGGCCTACTATTTTGCTCAATTATTTGATAGCTAAGGCAATTACAATGGCCCAATTAAGCTAGGATCTACAAAGCTACTGAAAATAGCTACTGTGCTTCTCTCTCAAACCATTCACTGTTTGAAGAGGAAGTTTTTCTCCAGCAGTCAGTGAGAAAGGAGGGAGAATCACAGAACTAGAATCAATAGTCTCAACCCAAAGCTGTTTCCTGCCCTTTTGTCCTTTGACTGGTACCTTTACCTCCTTCCACTTAGAAGTCAAGGTTCCTGTGTACCACTCGATCTGTAGGGACTTGTCTTCATGTACACTGCGAATGCAGCCAACTTGAGGCCAGTGTGTCGAGTACTCTGGGAGATATGTTGCCACCATGTCTCTCTCCCTAACTTCTGTCCTCTGTTCCTTTACTTTGGGTCCTATGTGAACCTAACAAAAAGAAAAAGAAAGTAAAATAAATAAAATAAGAAAGTGAATTGAAAACGAATAGTGTAGTGCCACTACATACATTATCAGTGATTCAAGACAATTCCTTATGTACACTTTATTTACAACATATAAACATATTATTATAGTAATTCTTTCTGAAACCTAATAAATAATTTTCTTTTATAAAATCAGAAAATATTGTTGAAACTTCTACTATTTTTGTATTTTTTGATTTTCAATTAACCCTAAAAGGGCTGTACGTTCACCGGGATATGTTTAAGGATATTTTTTTTTTGTGCCGGGAGCTTTCATGACTTTATAGCATAGAGTCTTGCGCATCTTTTGATGCCAAATATAAAAAGTTTTGACCATCGGGTAACGTGCAAATTGACGATTTTCCCATTGTCTGTGTATTGTAGCAATTCAATGCAGAAATGCAGATGTGCGATACCTACGATTACGTAAATGCAGATAACTACAATTTTTTGAGGTGCTCACATTGATGTTTAAGAAAAAAAAAAAAACAAGAAACAACAAAAACAACAAAAATTTGGGAAGACTTTTGCAACTAATGCACAAGCGTATAGCAATCACTAGTACCCAAAGCTAATCTTTACCTGACATGACCTGACCCCAAAATACTCGGCATGACTTGTAATTACTGTAATGACTGGAATTATGCAAGGGCTTACATGTATATATATTAGGGGCTAGATCTTGTGTGAAGACTATACAGAGTGTAAATTCTGTTAGGGAATAATGTTGCACTCAAGATGCAATTAAGCTGAGTGTGTTAGTCATGCAGCATTGTAGATGATTTACATTTTTTTTTTTTAGAAAGCAACTCAAGTTGTAAATAACGATTAAAATACATTTAATACTAAATATGGTTCACAATATCTTTGTCTTAATTAAGGGACATATTAATGAAACATGTACCTGTCTGAATGTTTCATCCTCTGTGTTGCAAGCATGCTCCTCAAGCTGTGGTCTGTCAGTTGGTTGTTTGGCCATTATCAGTAGATCGCATATAGGCCATCTCACTGTTGAATCTTCTGTTAAAACACACAAAGGAAATGTATTATAGCCCTGATGTAAGAAACAGTGTGCTAAAATATCAAAGTTTATGATCAGCCAGCTAGATAGGTTGTTATTACCTTCATCCAGTTATATAAACATATAGTGGCAAATTCTTGGAATAATAATCGTTTTATCTAATGATACTATGACCTAATCTCTTGAAAGGTCATATATATATTTTTTTAAAACCCTATATAGCCCGGGCTATGCAGTGTCAAAGGGGGGGGGGTGCTAATTTAGCCCCCCCCCCCCGAGATCTCGCCCCTCAACTGCCTGATCGTGATGAAATCGTCACCTGCAACATAATCTCCAAAATCGTATATTAATCTCTCTGAAAAATATTTTGTTTAATCGATTATGCTAATTATGCTAATTTAAGCATGAAATTAGACCTTTTTTGCTCTAAATCACTCAAAACAGCTCGAAATGTGCTGTTCTTTTGATCTAGACACTCTATGTATTATTCTTAACAAGCGTACTTTAAAAAAAAATCCAGTATCAAAATTAAGTTATGTATTTCATTGTTTTTTTAATTTCTCTGTTTTTCGACCTTTTCATTTTTATTGTTTTTTCAATGAAATTTGTTGGCAACACTTATGCGATCATAACTAGCATAAACGAAATAGATTTCAATCTGTGAAAGCAGATATAATAATACATTTAAAAATATTAGCTAATACACAATTTGTATTGAAATTCTACAAGAAACCACGTTTTTGAGCTATTTTGGGTCCGATGTGCAAGTACATGTACAAAATTATGTGTAGCATAGGAACTGCATGACTGCCTCGACAAGACGCAAGTGTTCCCTAGCCCTTGGGAAAAATGGCTCCTTCAATGTAAGTCTAAACACTAGAGCTGACATTTTCATCTGACATTTTCATCTAGATAAAATGCTGAATTCATTCAATGTTCTATTTTTACTTGTAGCGAAGTAGGTTTTTTTTTTAATGAAACGATGAATCGGACATTAAATTAGATTTATGTTCAGCATAAAAACTCATGAACATCACCCAACCCCCCAATAAAAAGGTTATTGTTATATTCAGCCAACTTACATGTACATGACAAAATGGAGTTTAATCAATGATTGATTTGAGATGATCGAGCTTTCAAGAGTGACTGTTGGAAACATAAATTTTAGCCAAAAAGTTCTAACATTTCTTATATTTTAACTTGAGGGGTCATATTACAATATGGTGAATTATGTAATGCAATGGTGATTGCAGTGAATGAATTGGAATGTTCAGAATCAAACTGGTTATGAGAGCATATATTATCCATTTCTTTTTTTGTTGTAATTTACAGGCACTGAGGGCTCTCGAGCCAACTTTCCAGTTGGCTAGTTATTCAAACAGATGCTACAGGAAAGCCACTCTCCTTTTCGATGCAACTAGAGAATCTACTGGAAAGGATTTGAAACAATGTGTAAGTAAGCTTTAAATTTTTTTTTTTTTTTTTTTACACATTTAAATATCATCTTGAGTAATGAAGGAAAGCATTTTTTTTCTTCATAGAATCGAACAAAACTTGACTTGCGAATGTTCAAAACACCAAATAAATTATAACTTTTTGGTAGAAAATGTATATTATTGCTGAGTAATGAGCTATATGAAAAATACAAAAATTGAGCTGGACTGGATGTCACACATACCACATGTTTTCTGTGCAAATGAGAATTGTGGTTTATTCAGCCGCTATAAGGAGTTTATCAAATCATCACAACCAAAGTAAATAAAGTAATATAGCGCCACCATTGGCGGATACCCTATTCTGACTGGAGGGGGGGGGGGGGGGTTCAATTTCCTGTTCAAAATCTGTGACTGATGCGCAATGGCTGCAAATAGCGACACGGCTTCCGGTGACTTTTTCTGACTTTTTTTGTTTGTCTCGCAACTTTTGAGACCGAGTTCTAAAAATTAACAATAAAATCAACTTTTTGCATAGGTACGTTCGTGTACAAAATACTGCTTTTCCTAAATTGCTTTACAACACTGTTAATTGTGCCTTCTAGTCTTTTTGCCTGACCATACTTGTCTTGAAACTTTTCAAGATACACTTTTGAAACATGAAAAAAATCACATATATAAATGAAAACAATAGATACATAAGTAGTTTATGAAACAATAGAATACAAAAGAATTGATCGGAAATTTCATTATTTATTATTTCAGTATTGTTGCCTATGCTATTCAGCAACTTTAAAAAAGAGATTGAGCTTCATAACTTAATGAAATATTAATGAATATGTTAAAATAGGTATCTAATTTGCATAAATTATAATAAAGTAACAAATTTGTGATAAAAACAAATCTGTATTGACGTCCTTGCAATATTTCGCATTAAGCTTGCACTCAAAGTGAGAATAGGGTTAAAGCAATAGTTTTTTACATATTCAAATCAAACAATAGATGAATTGGGGATTCTTTGCAGAAGAATTGACTTTGATTGAAAAAGTTGATAGTTCATATATATGCAAATAAAATTTGTCTTCTGACAGTGAGCAACAATACTTCACGTGCACTAATAACTACTCTTATTATTTTCATTTGTCTTATTTTATAGTGTTTCATGAAGCTACAAGGACTCTCAGAAGAGGAGCGATATTCACTTCTTCTGGAGGCGACCTTGTCTTTGAATGTTAAAAAGATGAAGGCGGATGCCGATGAACTGAAGGCAATGAAGAGTCTGAAGAGCGTGTTTGCGAAGGGAGTTGGGGCTAAGACGTGGGAAGAGGCGATAGAAAGATACCCAACCTTCACTTCAGAAGCAGCCCTGGAACCCTATGTTGGTATGCACAAATCATGGCTTCGTATAATGTCTATTGAAGAGAATATTGAGCCCCAGCAAGATATACAATAATTGCTATCCTGTATCTCCATCAATCCAAATTTTAAAGTTTAGATGAACTAGTAGGGTTGACTATTCTGACTGGGGGGGGGGGGGGGTCAATTTGGCCCCTGCCTCCCCCGTACACAATCCAGGACTGCCACGTAACCGCTACAAATCACAACCTGGCTTTCAATGACTTTATTGTCTCGCAACTTTTGAGACCAAATTTGCCCCAAAATTGGGACAGTCCATGCTAGAGGTTATGCAACATTACTTAACCACACGTCTAGCCACAATTGACATTTTGCATAGTACGTTTGTGTACAAAATACTGCCTTTTCTAAATTGTTCTATAAAACATGTCAAGTTCAAATGTGGGTCAAAGGCAACAGGTCAAAAGGAAAACAGACTTTCCTTGGGATTCCATTATTGCTAAAGAGTAAACTACCAGAACCCAAAATTCACCTCCTGATCTGCTTATAGGGCCTAAGATGCAGGCAAGACAACGCTTGGCGTTTGCCTTGTTTAATGATATATTATTGAATGTGTTAAAATAGGAATTTAATTTGCATGAATTATAATAAAGTAATAAATGAGTGATTTTTGTAAAAAACAAACATCAAAGCAACATTTCTTTGCATGTGCATTGCTGTCCATGCAAAATTTCCCATCAATCAGACCTTCTGTGGCCAAGATATTGTGGGGGGAGGGGGGGGGGGGGGTCAAATTGACTCCGGAGCTCTATGATCAATGTATATGTATTTTTTTTCAGGTAAAAAGTATACAAAAGGTAACATCCCAGAGGTCTTCCTGGAGCACATCAGCAGGGCCAAGAGAGACATGGACATGAATGCAGACGACATCCCAGCCCTTATGATACAAGAACTAGAAGAGGTATTGTCCCATATTCTTAAGGTTCCAAAGCACTTATTTGTAGGCACTTGGTAATTGAAAGAGGTAAACTGAATTTCACATAAAACAAATCTCAAAATTGTGAGTTTAAAATATCTCAAAGTTGTAATATTGTAATCTATAAGGAACTCAAGGTTAAGGGATTTACATGGAGAATGATCTTATGCTGATGAAAAATCATTGGTAATTTGTCATTGATAACAAAAAACAAACAATTATATTCATGGCATAGAAATTGCAATTTTCCCACAAGTCATATATTACGTACAATGGCACTTTCGCCCAGACGACTGGCATGGAAAACTGCACCCACATGCTATTTCATCCTATTTTCAAATTTGATTTTTCTATTTTGATTCAACATAGCAAATGTTAAGCTGCAGATAATTATGAAAAGGGTATAAATAAAAAAAAACAGTTTCCAGAACTTTGCATTGTGTATATTATCTGGGCTCAACATATTAGAATTATAGTTAATTTATATGTTCTTTCCTTTTTATTTGAATTTCTGATATTACAGGATATCCAGTTATCCTCAACACCATCGGCTACTACCAGAATCTTCCTGACAAAGGACATCACAGCGATATCCAAAGTGGTCAGCCAACATACCCGACACGATGTGCATATATTGCATATTGTCCAGTCCCCAGTAGGAGATATTCAAGGTAACTATATGCATGTTCCATGTCTTTTATTAAATATCTTATGAAGCTGACTGTTATTTCGGTATTCAAAGCAACATAACAAACGTTTTTGTGGTTGTGTAATAATGAGATAGCTGCAGTGTGTGTTAAAAAAATATAAATTATTAAGAAAGAATGTTACCGTATAACTTCCAGTGTGTTAGATTGGCTGCTCGATCTGAATGAAAATTCTTTCTTAAGAAATCCTCCTATGAAGCTCAACATTCATATAAATTTTTGTTTATATCACTTGGATTTTAAATATAATCTTGAGTTCTGGTAATGACAGAAATTAACTTCTGACAGAATCCAATGACATTTACAATGAATGTTCAAAACTTCAAAAAATAATGATTACTGAATGCTTTTGGGGGAAAAAAAACATATAATAGCTGACTAATGCTGAACAAATGAAGATAAGATGCTTGCCATGTGATCTCAAACACATTACCTCCAAAGCAAGCTAATTATATTAATTAGACAACTGCGGAGTAATTGTGAAACAAATGCATTTCTAATGTCTGGGTTTTTATTCCTAAAGAAAAAGGTGCATTCAGAACTCAAAAAATCACATTGTATCTGTTTGAAAAGAAATTGTGCCTCATGTGAAAAATCACATGTATGTATATTCGTTTTACTTCTATAGGAAATTAAGGCTTATTCATACTGTTCTAAGTAGCCATATAAAATGTGCATATATATTTTATCAACAGATGTCAACCATAATGTCTGTATGCAGTATGGTATTGTCGTGTCTAGGAGGAGGGGTGCTGGCACTAGCCAACTCTACATGCCATCAAGATCAGACTTCTACAAATATGCAGTGGAGCATTTCACTTCTATTGATGAAGTGGTTCTTGACGTTGGAGACGGTAAGACATTTTATCTATATACAGATCCAATTAAATTATGATACAGTTTTAGAATAAATGGGTAGATTAAATATATAGAGATACCAATAAAGCAACATGAATACAAAAATAAAATAAAATGTAAGGAAAGGAAAGTTGTGAAATAACGTCCAAATTGTGTAAATTCAAATTGGCTTTTTTCAATTCAAGTATATTTACCTATTTTTCACTATCCATAAATTCTAGACGCATAATAACTGACATTAATAGCATCAAAGTTGCCCAGTGTTGCACAACAAAGATTTTAGTCACGAGATTTGGGGTCGTGCAAAATCATGGTCAATATCAATAAGCAACCCTGTGCCTTGTCGGAAATTTGTGTTAACCCTAACTTTACCGGAAAGGTCTCAGATGGCGCCCCCCCCCCCCAGACAAATTTTGTTGTCAAACCCATTGCATTTTCAGCAATAGCTAGCGCTTCATGATTTTTTTTTCAAGTGTTATAAATCTTATGACACTGAGGTGTTGAAAATCAGACCTTTCATGATAAAAGGTCGAGCCGATTTTTTTTTTTTTTTTTTTTTTTTTTCTTCCAGTTTTCCAGTAGAATGCAAAAAAAAAAAATGTTCATAAAACATTGAAATACATAAGAATTGAAAAATATGCAAAAAAAAGGCATATAAAAACTGTTTGAGAAGAAATGAACTGTGTAAAAGCTTAAAGACTTGAGATGACATTGTGAGCATATAATTTAAAAAAAATCCAAGTCAAGAGAGATATAGAGAGCTTTATATCTTCTCAAAAACTCTGAAACCAAAAACAATTTGGAATGAAACATTTTAGATAGGTTACAAACAGAGATTTTTTATATATATTCTCACCAGGAGAGAAATTAAAACGGTGGTTATTAGAACCGATCGTTAGATATATTGTTTTTAAACAATGGCTCACATATTCACTATTTAAAAATACTTTCCATAGATATTACAATTTGAGACATTCAGATTGGTCTATTTAAACTATAACTCATATGTGTATACCATTTTCGAGAAATAAAATCAGATTTTAAAAATTCTAACAAGAAAATTGAAACGTCAGTGCCAAATTTGGTTACTTAAGGGGTAGGCTCTGAGGCCCCCCCCCCCCCCGCCCCCCCTCCAGTCTTACAAATTTCAAAATAGCCCCATTCAGTAAGGGTTTATGCTTTTTTTTTTTTTTTTTTTTTTATTGATAATGTAAAAGTATTATTTTAGTAAGACAACCAAAAATTTAAAAAAGGGGGTTTATCATTTAAGTAGAAATGTATTGATAAAGAGATGTTGAGCAAATTTAACTCGAAAACCAGCTTTGAAAATCAAAGACAGACTGAACTTTACTAAAGCATTCCATATTGAACTTACCAAAGTAAAATACAAAAATGAACAATATGTAATGCATTTGGTATGGAATTAGGTGCTCGTTTGCTGTGGTTAAAGCCCTTTACCTAGTGTTGCGTCTAATAACTTGGTTCTTCACAAGCTTCACCAGACAAACAAAATTAAATATTCTTTTCTCTATTATATTTTCAGGACTGCTGGCAAGGGTTGCAGCAGAATGTGGACGAAATGGGAGGATGGTAGAGGAGACAACACTGTCCAGCACAGAAATAGAGGCCATGATGGGTGCTGCAGACTCGGAGGAGATTCTAGATGCAGATCTAGTATTAAGCATGGACCAGACGTGTTCTATACCTTAGTGCATTTTGTTTCTCTCATTTCCTCACCTCGATCACTACCTCATTTAGTTCTGAAAAATCTTGTTAAGATATGTGACAAACTAACGTTTTTATGTAAATATTTTTATACAGATATGGCTGGTAGGGTGTTTATATATCATTCTTTTGGCCGCTGGAGTTGTATTTTCATGAGGGAAAATAAAACTCCTTTAGGTAGGCTAAAGAATATGTATTACATACATAACAGGAAATATCTATTATAATATTAGATAACCTTGATTAAGACCAAGTCATGGTTTTTACATGAAAGTCTGAACACGAACAGTTTAATAGAGTCTGATCTACAGTAGATATCCATTGTCTTCGCCTTTCTTCTCTGTGCTTAGCTGTTATTAACGAATATTGTTGATACATGAATACATTGTCTTAGCTCAAGCGCGTATGCTCCTACTGTTATCGTTGACCAGCTGGTCAATATAACCATCCAGATGACCGGGCGTGAACTGTTAACAATAAATTGCAGTCCCCATATCACTTGACATGCTGTGGACCAATCACACCTTAGCAACTCTCTGAGCTATCTAATACAAGTATTTAAGTCTATGTGTAGATGTGTTTTTAGTTTAGTAGATAGGTGGCTGGACTACCGATCATTAGGTACATGTATGTGGTTCAAATCTCGGCCACTTCACTAAGGTCTAGCTTTGGCAAGACCTTAACATACATTTACTACACTCAAACTATGTTGTACCAAAATATGTAGCCTAGTTAAGGTCAGGTAACATACATGCAGGAGCACCTTGCTATATAGATGAGCGCTATACTAGAGTGCAATATTATTATTATTATCTTTTATTAGAGCATATTTTTGTCTTGCCAAGTGAACTTGATTACTTTGAAGGTAATTTCAAAGGCACAGGGTTGGTGAACGTGACTCGTCACCTTATTTATTTTTCTAAAGCATCAACACAAAAACCCACATATTATTATTTTATCAAGGATAAAAACTCGGTCACAACTATTGGGCCCTTGATTTTGTTACCATCTTGTCAAAATGAAACACTCGATCTAACTCATTTCCAAGCATCAGAAGACGGTTGTTGATATCAATGATGTAGTTGGAAGATCATATACTTCAAAGTTATAATCAAGGAATTATCAGAGCTGGAGTCCAAACTGAGGATAATTTATGCAAACATCTGGCAGATTCCAAAGGATAGTCAATAGAATTATTAAACTGCCTTGGTTCTTTGATATTTGATGCGCGATGCCACCAAAGTAAAAGAAAACATTTTAGAGAGGATGTGAACTTTGTGGGTTTTTGTTTGCACAGTTGATTTATTATATCAATAAACATAGAAAACAAATAGGCAATTGTTTAGTAATTATGTACGATGCCACTCTGAAAATCCCATTCCTCAACAAGCAAGATTTCTTGAGATATTGCCTTAAGAGTGTAATAAATATGTACTGCTTCAAGTACAATATTGATCCCTTGCTGATTGCTTTTCTGATTTTCATATTTTATATGGTACTATCAAGAAAATATTTCTATTAAATTAAATCAACCAGAGTAAAGTCCACATGTGTCCACTCATGGAATTAGCAACTTTAAATCTTGTATTTTTGGACGTGTATCTGTTTGCTTACACCTGGTTATACCATTCATGAGCACTTTCTGTGTAACCAATTATCATTATATTGAATACCTTTAATTGCATATGTGCATCCTCTGTAGCAATACTGGCCGCGGGTGTTTCATCGTTAGTTCTTTTGAATCAATGTGCATGTATTCGGAGAGCGCATATATATTTGTCGTGGTTGTTGTGGCATTGAGCCTACTTCAGAGGAAATTGTTAAGCTTTTACTCCAGCTGTAATTACTCCTTGTTATTATATTAAAGTTTCACATCACTTTAAGAGGGTCAATTTGTAGGATCACTGTGTAAGTTTATACGTATGTTTATATGTATAAGTTTATACATGGCACGCACCCTCCAAATCCATGTATAAACTTATACGTTTTGGATGGTCTGTACGATGTATAAATTTATACGTTTTGGATGGTCTGTACGATGTATAAATTTATACGTTTTGGATGGTCTGTACGATGTATAAATTTATACGTTTTGGATGGTCTGTACGATGTATAAATTTATACGTTTTGGATGGTCAGTACAATGTATAAACTTATACGTTTTGGATGGTCTGTACGATGTATAAATTTATACGTTTTGGATGGTCTGTACGATGTATAAACTTATACGTTTTGGATGGTCAGTACAATGTATAAATTTATACGTTTTGGATGGTCTGTACGATGTATAAATTTATACGTTTTTGGATGGTCTGTACGATGTATAAACTTATACGTTTTTAAAGGGTCCATGTCATGTATAAAGTTATACGTCAGAACAAACAGCATGATATACATTTGTATATTTTGCAAGTTGTGTTATTTATAAAAGTGATTGACAACCTATTTTGTGTAAATAATTATTTATTTGTTATCAGTGCATTTATTTGTATTGCCAAATAAAGAAACATGGATTACATTTCAACTGCAAAAAGCATCATTAATTAATTATTTAAGTGTATTGTGTTAATGTTTGTATAAATGCGATGTCTTTCTACTACTGCATGAGAAAGAGAGAATTTACTTTTAGTGATTTCATAAATACTTTAATGAGGAAAGCGAAGGAGTGAAAATGAGAAAGTTAAATATACAGCGAAAATGTCATATAAAGTGTGATGGAGGTGATAGTTGGCTATACCATGAGAAAAGCAAAGCAGTGGAGGCTATAAGCCCTATAAATGAGAGAGTTCTCAAATTATAAGGATTTGGCATGTAATTTGATTTGAATCTGGATTACCCAAGTCCAGATTGAAATAATTCTCTGTTCATTTCTTTGACGTGTATACTTTTAATCTGTTTCTCTTGCACATTCGCGCTGCAACACTCACAATTCAACTTAAAATTTGCCAACTTTAAAAACTTGTTGAAATGTATAGTACTGTCATGATTAAGACATATCGCCCATCACATGAAGTTACCCAGCTAGCTACCTATATTTCACGATTGTGCAATCGGGTCTTTTTTCGGTCTTGTATACGATATACTATTATACTTCACCAAGCTCCCTCTAGATATTTCTCTGAAATCTGATTAAATATCCATTTGAAACATTTCTCATTTCCCGTTGCAATTTTCTACCAGTCCATAGGCCTACATAGCCACGATATAAGGACTTCCTCTTAATGTTATCAAGTTGTACAGCATTTATGTACAAGCACGTAGCCAGGATTTCCTTTTAGGGGGGCGGCAGTGAGCACGCAAAGCGTGCGAATCACTTACAGAGCGCGCGTAGGGGGGTTGGTGCAGGGAGGGGGAGTTTCATCAAACTATAAGAGAAAGAAGACGATTCGTTGGACCGTTCTCGACTCTTAATCCTAATCTAAATTCAGTTTCTTTTGACGTTTCATTAGAGAAAGAAGACGATTCGTTGTACCGTCCTCGACTCTTAATCCTTTTTTTAATCAAGTTCCCCTTCCTCCGCGCGTAGCGCGGAAGCTCTGAAGTTTCATGAGATTATTAAAGAAAGAAGACGATTCGTTGTACCATTCTCGATCGACTCTTAATCCTTGTCTGAATTCAGTTCCCCCCCCCCCTCTCTCTCTCTCCCGCGCGAAGCGCGGAAGCTTTGACGTTTCATAAATTATTAGAGAAAGAAGACGATTTGTTGTACCGTTCTCGACTCTTAATCCTTATCTGAATTCAGTTCCCCCTCCCCTCCCACGCAAAGCGTGGAAGCTTTGACGTTTCATTAATTCATTAAAGAAAGAAGACGATTCGTTGTACCGTTTTCGACTCTTAATCCTTTTTCTTCCTACGTCCTCTTCCTTTCTTCTTTTTTTCTCTCTCTTTTTTTTTTGGCCGGCGTTTTAGGGGGGGGGATAAATAATGCAAGCTATAGGAAACCCGTTTACTTTCTAGATCTTCACTTTCAGACACTGTACGTTGAGTGAGTGACTGACTTATTTTTTTCTTTGGTAATAACAAGTTCAAGTTCAGTTTCAAGAACATGCATAACATGAGCATTGTCTACATCAAATAACCTACTACTTGCAATGGCCAAAATTAAACTGATTGAATCTTTGTGCAGCACAAAACACTTCCATTCGGTACAAGGCCGGTCTGCTAAATCAGACTTTTTACCAAAAGGATTGCAATCCCTATAAGTCGATTCGACAACTTACGGTCGTTATTTTCCCACAAAAAGACTTTTCCAAGCCCTTTCTTTTTGAGGAAAGTTCTAAATTCAGTATCATCTTTCAAATACCGATGACATTTTAATAACCATAGTGCCCTTTAGTAAGGCATTAATCCTCATTACCAGGTCCATCGCGGAGAGGACCTAAATCCGTCGGTCTTCTGGTTGCTAATTACTAACAAGCATTAATTTTATGCTTTTAGCAGTCAGGTAAAATAACCACCACTTAACTACAACTACTATTCTTTGGCCTGCAAAATGATGCGACATAGTACCTTTAAAGGAATATTTTTGGACCAAATAACTCGATATCAATAATAGCAGAAATCGAGAAAATACAAGAGATGTCACACAGATATACATATAGCACATATTTTCAGTTTAATGCACATAATATTACTATATCAAATCAATACAATACAATACAAAATAAATACCAACATTATATTTTGGTAGCAGTAACTTAATGCCACAGATAGTAAAATGAATATTTAAAAAACAGAACATGCATAATTTGTATCGTTTAATTTCGAGTTTAATGCAGTTTAAATTACAGATACAAAAGTAAAATCACATCATTATTCAGAATTATAGTACTGTTGGAAAATATGCTGTATTAAGCATGCATTTTGATCCAATTGTGTGAAATTACAGGCCAGGGTCACGGTCCCATTAGTTATATCTTGCTATGAATGTAATTGTGATGATTCGTTCTTCATTGAGCTAGAATTCTTAATCTCATATTCTTCAAGTGACTCTCATAATATATTTATGAACAATAACATAGCTAATCTGCACAAAGCACCTAGAGAGGAAGCCCATCTGCTCTAAATTAAGGGCTGTCACAAACATTGAAATATTTACTTCCTAGTATACCAGATACCCACAAAAGTGGAGAGTGGTCAACTTTGTTAAATGTTTTGCTAAGTTCATTAATGTCGAGACTGGAACTCATGAAATGTGAACAATGTGATCTAAATTAATCACGTATCCATGGGAATATGACATCTCTATGTACAATATACGTGCAATATTCATGATACTACTACTAGTACTCTGTTCTGTCACTATTTTATACAACATATAATAAGAAACAATGGTCGAATGTCTCTGACCCTAAGGCCACGTAACAAAACGTAACGAGTTTCTTGTCTGGACTAAAACAATAATGGAGGCAGCGCTTTACTATTTACTATTTTTTCTATTTTCTCCCAAGATGGCCACCGTATGATAAATATGGATTGTCAAGGTATATTTAAATAATGTATTGACATATATTGAGCTATTTGAGTATACTAATTCAATGTTACAAAACAAATGGTTTGTATAATTTTAGTCCACTTGCTAAGCAAGTTCAAAATCAGAAACAGTGAAACATGTACAATGTGTTCAGCTTAAATTAGCAATAGGAGCTATTCAAACAAAATGTACTACATCATAGCCTTTTTTCTTCTTCTTCTTCTTCTGAATAGTAAATACATGTAGTTAAAAAAAAGGGGGGCGGCGGATAAAAAAGGAGGCGGGTGGGGACGACAGTTTTTGTTATTTGGCCTAATATATTGTTGTAATTTACTAATTTTAACACCCTCCATGACCAACCTGTTTTATATGCCTATTGTACACTGTGGACCAATTACAAATATACTGTTTCATTGTTTTACTATGTACAATGCAATCCCATGTACTTTATTTATTTTGTTGGAAATGGAAATAAACGAAATGAAATGAAATGAAAAAAAAAATCCGCATCATCACCAAGTAGCACGATGCGGCGGGAGAGCGTCTTCCAAAATAGGGGGGGGGGGGGGGGGGGGTGCAACAACAAAAAAGGGTCACTTTCTGGAAAAAAGGGGCACCTAAAAAGGGAAACCTTAACAATAACATAAACCATCTTTTAGATATCGGTATATACCCTTACATCGTCATGATTATGATTACACTACCAGGGAAAATATCAATATGTGTTTCTTTCTTTACACGGTACATGTACAATATACTGCTTAATTAAACTTATACTTTGCAGTTGGGTGTGATGGTCTGAATATTAATTTTCGAGCGAGCGAAGCGATCGAGCAAAACTTTTACAGATTTGTGAGGTCCCAGTGCGAAAAAAATTACATCTTTTAAAGAAGACAAAAAACAAACCCAGATGAGTATTAAGTACAATCTAATGAAGAAAGACTGAAAAGTTCTTTTATAAGTAACATAATCGTACCATCTATAAATGCAAGCGAGTGTAGCGAGCGAGCTCTATCGAAAAAATAAAGAAAAAGGGGCTCTAAGTCGCCTTGAATTAGGGGTGCATGTTATGTAGAAAGGATAAGTAGGCACTTGTTCTATGTAAAAAAAAAAAAAAAAAAAAGCTTTTCAGGGTGTATCTGAAAGAGTAGGGGCACCGGGAGTGCCGCCTTTGGCATAATGGGCAAAAGTACTTGAAAAAAACCCCGGAAAATCATGTAATTTCAGCAATATTCATAAATCACTGGTATCGAATTACAAATAAACCACAAATTGATTTTATTTGGGGTCAACTGCCCCCCCCCCCCCATGTGTACGCCAGTGCTCACTCACGCTCAGAACACATGAGTGAAATCTCAACCAACTTGATGTGGGGTCGCTGTTATTAAGTAACACACTGATTAGAAATTAGCTAGATTAATCTTTAAAACAGAACAGGAACATTGAAAAGGTATAGTCTAGCTAATGTAGACTCTTCTCATTGGTAGCCTAAGAGGACACTTTTTTTTTTTTTTTTGGTATCGAAATTTGAAAATTTGACATTTTGCTCCGTTGGGGGGGGGGGGGGGGGGGTAAGGTCATCTTTTTGAGGTCAGCCATGGGAATATTTTTTTTTTTTTTTTTTTTTTAACAAAAAAAATCCCAAAGGGGGGGATGGGGGAGTTTTAGGGAAATTTAGAGGGGGGGGGGGGTTTACACACAAAAAAATACCAAAGGGGGGGGGGGGGGTTAACCTATGAAAGACAGCGAACGTCCCACGGAGGTAGAACCCCGATCAAAACCTTTTAAAAAAGAGCCCTTATCTCAGGCTTCGCCATTACCAAGACAAAGCAAAAAACCGATCGAGAAATCTTCGCCTAGTTCGAAACAGAAGCCAGAAAAGAAGTGGCCATTTCGCTCGAAGCAGAACGGGTAGAAGGAAATGCCGCTGTCTATTCCACTGAATGCAAACGATCAGAACAAAAGGGGAAGCTTTGGATGATGAAGCAAGTAATATGCAAGACCTTTACCAGATCAGACCAGACAATATAATACCTTACCCATGATGGCCAACAGGCCAAGAATAGGTTGGTTTGGAGGTGCGACTCAGATATTAGCCTGTAAGGTTTTCCATGATCTGATGGTGCCTCATGTTGTCTTTATTTCTACATTATCTGGACATGATCATTATGATCATTAAAATTTTGGAGAGAGATTTGTGCAGTTTGTGTACTTTGTTTTGTATAGCGCCTTGAGTAAGTTATTATTATTATTATTATTTTAAGCAAGGCTAACGTAAGATATTTAGATTCCTCATTTTCTGGTATGTTCCATTTGCAACACCCCAGCATTATCCTGTCCATGCAATATCCTACAAATACTGTGTGAACCAATGTGTTTATTCTGAGTACAGGTACATGCACCGGTAATTAAGTCGACAAACAAAAAATTTCCAAACTTAATTTAAGCTTTGAAAAAGGCAAGATTTTATTGAATTTTAGAAATGATATGCAGACCCTGTCTAAACGACACGGGAGAACAAGGAAATCATTCATGACAATACATTACTGAACTGACATTCAGATATGTGTAAATAATACTTATTGGTTCACAGATACATGTATAACCACCCATGTTGGTTTGTGTCGAGTGGTTGGTACACAATACATGAAATGCATCATAGCTTAGCATACACTAACTTAATTTAACATTTGATATCAATCATGGAATTAACTTAAAGCTTATCTGTACTAGTTTATAGGAGGGATTATACATTGGACAGGTGGTTATCTCATTAACTCGGCTCTCAATTAAAATTAGACAAAGAGGTTCATGGGGACCAATGGTCAATTTCAATGACATATAAATAATAATTGTATAATTGTTACAGATTGTTGTCATAAATGAAGTAAAATTAATACAAAGAGGAGCTTAAACACAGCTCTACCCACGAGGGCCCAATCAGTCTTATAAGTTATATCTGACTATCCTACTAAAGATTGCTAACAAGTATTCTAGAATAAAAAGTTTATAGTATTGCATGATATTATATGAGTACTGGTAGCATTGTAACACAGCTCCAGTCTACAGAAGGAAAAAAATATGGAGTCTTGACAATGCTAATAATACTAATCATAATAGTAACAATACTAATGATGATAATCATAATTCTGATAATAATAATCCTGATAATCATACTAATAATTAAAAATGAAAAAATATATCATTTATATGTGGCAGAAAAATAGATTCCTGTATCTCGGCCATCACTTCACTTTTTTCGAACACATGTAATGTGCTTGGCTACTGCCTAAAGGTTTAGTGATTGAATCCACTCGAAACCCTGCATCCTTGAGAAACTCTGTGGCTTTCTCTCGCCCCCAACATGTTCCTAACCCCACACTGCCCTCAAAGAACAGAGATATAGGCAGGCAATGGAATAGACTCATGCTATACAACATAGAGCAATAGTCATTTGAAGAATTCTCTGAGTGCTTGGTCTTGCAGTCTATATCTATCATGGAAAAGACACCATCTGGTTTGAGGATACGATTCAAAGCCAACAAAACATTGTCAGCATGCGCAAGATCATGGATGACATCAAATGTGTAGATGTAATCAATCGTATTGTTCCAATCATCAGGTATGCATGCAGCGTCCTCACAGACAAACTCTACGTTGGTAAGGCCCTTTTCCTTGGCCCGTTCTTTTCCATAGTTTATTGCCTCTTCTGAGAAGTCCAGTCCGACAACAGTGCTGTTTGGATAGTTCTCTGCAAAAACAAGAGAGGCCAATCCTCTCCCGCAACCCAGATCCAATATTCGGATACCAGACTCTGAATGACAGAGAAACAATGAAAGATCATATAATATATAATTACACACTGTTGAACATTACCCCCCCCCCCCCAAGATATCAAGAATCACTGATGGATTTTCTTTTCTTCTTCATACATGTAGCCTACAACGATTTAATGCAATAGGTGCGTTTGGCCAAAAACCTCTGTTTCATAATTCAAACTTACCGGTATACAAGTTGTAAGTAGATTCCAAACTTAGTACAAATACCTGATTTTGTTTTCTTTTTCTATTGATCCTTATAGCCTGGTTATACTGTCACCAATATATGCACACCCATTTTGTAGCATGCTAAGCTCAGGTGAAACCATCGGATAGTAATGTTAGCCTTACAATGCTGTTATAGGAGAAGGAAGAAGAATGGAGTGTGACGTATTAAAAAAAAATATCAGAAGTATCTAAGTAAATAAAATTCTAGTCAGAACATACAGTGTCATTTAATTTAATTTGTTCTTAAAGACAGTGTGACTTACTCATTCGTTCTTCTATTTGAGGCATGGACGGTATAAAATCTTGGACCAGATGTTGCAGAACCCATATACTGCTATGATTGGACATCACAGTATGAAAATCTGTGTATTCTGAGTATGGCAGTCCTGCAAAGACAAAAATGTGCAATTTCAATGGTTTCCAGCAAATCGGGTTAACAAAATTCCTGGATTTTTTCCCTGATAGAGTTCAAAATTCTAGGATCATTATTTAAAAATATTTCTAATCAGAAACTACTTCCAATCCAATCGTCCAGTAGTTATGCTGTTAAGATGCAAGGACAGCTAGGAATCCTAAATCATTTTTCCCCCTTTTTTTTTTGGGGGGGGGGGACATGAGTGACCCATGCCATGTGATGCAAAACTAAGATCTTAGGTTTCTGGAACCATTCATGTGGTCAAATCACTGTACCTAATTAATATTCACACTAACATTTAACCTAAAGCCCACAGCACACTTTACAATCCAACTATGTTCCCATTTTGGAAGAACGTGCAATATCAGTTGATACATTCAAAGATGTAAAATCTTGATGACCAAGGGTCGGAATACCGCCGGGGGGGGGGGGGGGTAATCACATATTAGCACATACGGGGGTGTGCCGCTCTAATGGGTCACCTTTTCACAAAAATGCCATTAAAAATGGGTCCGTTTTTTCAAAAAAAATTCAGGTGTTTGCCATGCAAACAACCAAAAACACACTAAATTTGAAAAATGGGTCTTTTGTGAAAATATCATTAATCATGGGTCCATCTTTTCAAAAAAATTCGGGTGTTTGCATGAGGGTAGAACAACACGTAGTATGAACAGCAAGTGTCATACATACTTGTGAGAACCTTTGGTTTACTTTGTAATGCGCTTACAAAGACCAACTGTGAAGAAAGATCATGTTTTTATCTTCCTTGAGTGGACGTTATAAACAGGTTTCACTGTACCGTGGACTTATATTTACCCAGTGGGCCATCTTTCTTGAGACAATCTAACAGCTTGTTGTAGACTGCACCATACATGGGTAACTCTGTGAGTGTGACTGCTAAATTACTGACACTACTACCAGACAGGAAGAAAGGTATACGATGAGGGGGAAGACTGTATTTCTCTGTCTCAGGGTTGATGTCGACGATGTCAGCTGAAACCATCACTCCAAGCCATTCTTTCACATACCTTAAATAAAGAAAAAGTGGACTCTGTTTGCAAATCTTAAATAAGTCATTCAGTGTACTTTAAAAACAGCATGTCTTGCAACATACTTTGAATGCCTTTTGTTTAATAAATTCCATCTCTTACATTTGATGGTATGTCAAGCATTTATACAGCATACAAATATAGAATTGTATGCATATTCAATTCCTTCGCACTAAGACTTGACATATTTGTTAGTGAGAGAATGGTGGATCACACCTAGATCACTACCTTTCCTTGAGGCCGGCTGTATCAGCAATCTCCTTGACAGTCCTCTCCTCATCCTTCAACTTAATAAGAGCATCAAAGAGACCTGATTGAATTCCTAGAGAGGTTGAAAGGGAGACAAACCCATGGATCACTAGGGTGCTGAATCTCTTCTCAAACTGTTCATGAGTCTCTTTCTCTCCTGCTTCAGCCATAATTCTGAAAAGAAAGAGAAGTACAAAGTGTATGATGATTATTGATGATAGGAATTGGATTGGATTGAAAGTGCTATAAAACAAAAAAATCTAATGTGGTAGATTTTAACTCTTACGATATTCACCCTAGTCGGCGGCAATAGACCAGTTCACGGTTAGCACATGTCCCAATTACCCCGAATATCCACAGATATCTCCAAAACGTGAAGGACCCACTTTATACATTCTGAAAAATCACTCCTGTAGCGATGGGTGCTACACTTATCCTTTGTTTCCTCTTTTCAAAGCATACTTCCACTCGTGTATCATGGAGTGCACTGCCGCTTGTTGTGCATATGAATAAAGATTAGACTCTACATAACTTTCATGAGCACGTTTTCAGTATTTTGTAATTCAAAATTTGTTCTGCAATGCCTTTATCTGCTCGTGCTCAGACTGCAACCGTGGTCTGGCTTATTAGGTTAACTTCAAAACACGCAAGTATGTGGTATGCAGCCTTGCAGGAAGGCTGCTGCATGGAGAGCCATTACAGACGTAAATAATCATATCAGATTGATAGTTGATACAGGTCTGTAAAAACTCAATACATACACACACACACACACACACATTGCATTATTCTAGCAAAAGAAACAGAACAGGCAAAATTACTTCAAAAATTCTAAAAAAATGCAGAAAGGTAGTGTGGTAGAAGTACAATAGCTGTATCACATAGTCTAGAGTAGATCGAGTCACAGATCCATTATCCTATTGCACATAACACAATAGTTACAACAAAATAGTGAGTTAGTGGGGCTGAAGATAAGATCCTGACCACGTGGCACAACAACAAAAGTTTGAAACAGTCCGTTATATAATTCCTCTGCTTTCTCGTCATGTAACGAATTCCTCTCATGGTACATGTATGAACTTGAAGCAAATTACATATATTGTTTGATCTGACAGCTAGAAGCTATAACAAGACATATACGTACCAACACGGGAGCAAGATCACGCTGCATGGGCGCAGCCTGCAAATACTTGGTTGGTTCCTATAAGCCTTGTCGCAGAGTAGCAGACTGTAAAATATCCCACTTTTATGCGGCAGATCTGCTGCAGATTGTTCTAGCTGTACGTGGCATACTGGAATGCGGCGAGTCTCACTGAAGGATGTCGATGGGGGGGGGGGGGGGGGGGGGGGTTTTGGGTGTTCAAACACCCCCCTTAATTGGCAAACAGGAGGTGTTTTAGGTGTTCAATCAACCCCCCCTTTGCAAAAAGGGGTGTTTTAGAATTTAAAAGCACCCTTTATATTATTTTTTTAAAATCTATGTCCCCTTAAAGGTAATACAAAGTTTTGGTATGGGGTCATGAATTTGGTTCAAATTAACATATTGGAAGCATATCCGATCCTACAATATTCAGTGATCGTTGTCGCGGTTGAAATCGAGTCTAAAGTGATGAAATTTTAAATGATAAACTCTTTATGTTGTATAGCTCCCTCTCATCAAGGTCAAGATATTAATTTAGCTATAAAACAATGTTATTTGACTAAAATCGACCAATTTGCTATTACCGTTTGGAATATATATATCACATCTGCATATTCTGAGATTTTCATGGTCGCAGCTACCATCGTATGGCCGTAGGCGCTATTTGAAATTTAACAAAATTTAGCACCGGTAAATTTGTATATTCAATTTTTCTCCAAAGCAGAAGTGTTTTAGGAGCTATTTTTTTAGTGCTTAACATACATCCATAGGGGCATCCAAATATATCAAAATTGTAAAGAATTACTATCCAGCCGATTTTCAAAATTTACCAAAACTTTGTAATACCTTTAATACCCCCGGCAAATAAAAAAAGAAGTAAAAAATGTTGTTTTTTGCTCATAAGGAGGGGGGGGGGGGCAGATGTTGAGTGGAAAAAAGGAGTGTTCTTCCCCCTCCCCCTCAATTTTTTTTATGTGTGTGATTTTTGATGACCCCCGGGCCCCCCCCCCACTCATTTTTCTTTTAATAAAAAATACAAAATAAATACATTTTGTTTTGTGTGTAAAAGGGTGACCCCCAAAAAAGTGACCTTACTCCCACCCCCCCCCCCCCCCCCCCCCCCTTATTCAGCGGCTGGCTGAGTCGTTGCGAAATCTTGGGACCCAAAACATAATTTAACAAGGGAAACGCTCTCGGCGGTCTCGCCTGCATTACGCAATTCGATATGATGAAAAATTGAGGTTGGAACATTATTTATAAGCAGGGTGGCCCATTAGCAGGCCCCCCAAAATGAAATCCTCTGAATATAATCAGAATTTTGAAGTGAATATTGACCAAGAATCATCAGAAGAATATTTACTATTAATTGTACCAGGATCGATAACTTGAATGAAATATGAACAAATTATTTTCTTAAAATTATTTATTAATTCTCATATTAAGTTGTGAAAACATAATTCAAGTCTACTGACCTAAAATGACCTTTGACCTTGTGACCTGGAATTTGTGTCATATGATTTGTGATACTTAATAACCCTTTGGTACAAGTTTCATCGAATTTGAACAATTTTCAGTTGAAAATATGCTAAAAATTCAAAATCTTGATGTTTATGCCACAACAAAGTCTAAGTTTGTTGACCTTAAATGACATTTGACCTTAACTTAGTGACCTGAAATTCTACTCACATGATTGGGGATACTTGATAACCTTATATAGTCCAAGTTTCATTGACTAAGAACTTATACTTTCAAAATTATATCAAAAATTAAAAACTTAACCTTAGGTTAAGTTTTCGACGATGATGCCACAACATAGTCCAAGTCTGTTGACCTGAAATGAACTTTGACCTTGACGTTGTGACCTGAAATTATACTCACATAATTGGGGATACTTGATAACCCTATAATCCAAGTTTCAATGACTAAGAACATACACTTTAAAAATTATATCAAAATTTCAAAAACTTAACCTTAGGTTAAGTTTTTGATGTTGACGCCGCCGTCACCGGAAAAGCGGCGCCTACGTATGGCTCTTACACCCCCCCCCCCCCCCCTTGAAATAATCCTTCGTACGTCACTGTTAACACCTGGTGATATACACGTGCGAAATCTGGGAATAGCGCGCGCGCATGATTGACTAAATAAAATGCCACGCCCCAAACAAAAATATAACAACAGACCTCTTACTATTTTTTGGAGAATCTCGATAATCAGCGCGAGTTTTATCCAAATGCCAGTGCTAGTTAGTAATTGTTGGGTCTACCATAAGATATTATGGAGCCTCTAGTTCACATCGAAATTCAATCGAAACTTGTATCCGGAATTGTATACATTAATTATCACATATTTTAAAATTTCCCCTTTTCTATATGACGTATATTTTTTTTCAATTTCTTTTTCCTTTTCAAAATCGCGCTGCAACTCACAATCCATCCTAAAACTTGCCAACTTCAACAATTTGTTTAAATTTACTGTTTTGTGACATATCGCCCATCACATGAAATTACCCAACTACCCATTTCACGATTTAGTAATTGTTGGTCTTCCTATTTTACATACCGTAGTTCATCCACCCCCTCACCATCTCTCTCTTTCTCTCTCGTGCGCTCTCTCTCTCTTTCTCAAAAATCTGATTAAATATCAAATGAATCAATTTCATTTGAAACACATGCATCTCTCCTTTCCCAATGTACTTTATTAACAGCCCATAAAACAGTTTATCAATAACCTTTAGAGTACATAATATCTGGACCACCAGTTAATTTCATCAAGTTGTATTATATTATTCAAAAATATTGTAGTAAAATATATTGTTATAGGAACATTCTAGGGGAAAGTAAATCAATATCATGAATAGTGGAAATCAAGAAAATACAAGAGACATCACTGAGAAATACTATAACACATATACTCTTTTAATGACATAATCATGAGTTGTATAATCACAGTACAGATATAATTGGTTGTTGTCATAAATGAAGTAAAATAGATACATAGAGGAACTTAAACACAGCTATACCTACCAGGTCCCAAGCAATCTTATAAGTTTTATTTCTTGTAATTCATTCCATCTGACTATCCTGTTAATGATCACTAACAAGCTTTCTAGAAAATAAGAAATGTATAACATTACGATGATTGCACAGTATATATTATATATGAGTAGCATTGTAACACAGCACCAGTCAGAACAAAATTAATATGGAGTCCTGATAATAATACTAATACTATCAATACTACTACTACTACTAAGAACGACATTTCTTTAGCAGAACAAAGTGCAGTCGCACACGTGGTCACTCACTTAAGCTTTACAAGCTAAAATGCCGGAAGACACTAAGAAAAAACTCATTCAGCCAGAGAATAATCAATGTGTGGAATGGTCTTCCAGGCAATGTTGTGGAGAGTACCACTATCAATTGTTTCAAATCTGGGCTTGAGAAATGGTGGAAAGATGCCCCAGATAAATATGATGACAACCCCAACCAAACGAAACCATGGATAGGAACAACAGTCTAAAGACTGAATAATCCTGGATCAAGTGAGTTACAAGTGAGTTACTACAACTAATACTGCATTTACTGCTATACTAATAGTAATGAAAGAAAGGTCAATAAGTTCACTCTTAGATGCTTTGCAGTTGATGGAAGGGTATTTTGTTCTGAAGGCAACAAAACAGCCCTTGTAGCAGCACAATAGTAAAACAAATGTAAATTAAAAACATCATAATATTCAAATAACCAATTACATAATTATATACTTCATGATCTGTATCAGCAACAAAGAAGGTGTTCAGTGACCAGCTTCAAAATATTGTATGTGAAAGCTGTCACCTCCTGCAACCGAACCCAGCACAGGCCATTGTTCAGCGTGCACAGAGGCCTGAGTGCACACCTAGGCCCAGCCACAGGAGGCAACAATCTCACATTACTACAGTAACAATTAAACTAGATGGAATGATGCCTCCTCTATAGAGCGATTTCACAAACCAAAACAGAAGCAATTTTTAAAATTGAAGTTTAATTGTAATTCATTAACAGGTTTTCAGAATATCGTGATTACAAGCTATTTTTGGTATAAATGTATGACCCTTTTATCTTTGCATAACCCTCAAATCTAATCAGTTCATTGGCTCTGCAAGATACATAAATGTCTTGAGTTTGATGGTAATCCGTCCGTCGGTTCTAATACACCTGTACTAATGCGATCACAAGCCATTTTTGTATATAATATGAGCCCCATGACCTCAAAATCTAATCAGTTCATTGGCTCAGCAAGATACATACATGTACTGCGTTTGATGCTAATTAATCTGTCCATCGGTTCTAATGTGATCACAAGCTATACAAGACCCCAAATCTGATCAATTATAATAGTTGGCTCTGCAAGATACATACATGACCTAAGTTTGGCAGGAATCCATCAATCGGTTCTTCAGATAACGGGATCACGAGAACAGGAAGTACGTATGTACGTATGCACGGACGGACAACCCGAAAACATAATGCCTTCGGCTACTTCGTAACGGAGGTATAAAAATAGATCATTTATATGGCAGAAAAATTTGATTTCTTTATCTCGCCCATCACTTCACTTTTTTGGTACACATGTAATGTGCTTCGTCAGTGCCGACAGGTTTAGTGATTGAATCCACTCGAAACCCTGCATCCTTGAGCAACTCTGTGGCTTTCTCTCGCCCCCAACATGTTCCTAACCCCACACTGCCCTCAAAGAACAGAGATATAGGCAAGCAATGGAAAAGACTCACGGTATACATCAAAGAACAAAGCGCATTCGAAGCATTCTCTGAGTGCTTGGTCTTGCAGTCCGTATCTATCATGGAAAAGACACCATCTGGTTTGAGGATACGATTCAATGCCAACAAAACCTTGTCAGCATGCGCAAGATCATGGATGACATCAAATGTGTAGATGTAATCAATCGTATTGTTCCAATCATCAGGTATGCATGCTGCATCCTCACAGACAAACTCTACATTGGTAAGGCCCTTTTCCTTGGCCCGTTCTTTTCCATAGTTTATTGCCTCTTCTGAGAAGTCCAGTCCGACAACAGTGCTGTTTGGATAGTTCTCTGCAAAAACAAGAGAGGCCAATCCTCTCCCGCAACCCAGATCCAATATTCGGATACCAGACTCTGAATGACACAAAAACAATGAAAGATCAAATATATATTTTTTAACAATCCACACTGTTGACATTACTCCCCCCCCCCCCTAAGTTAGCAAGAATCACTGATGGATTTTCTTTTCTTCATAATCCATACCGTACATGTAGCCTACAATGACTTAAAGCGGGACTGCACTACTTGTAGTTATAGCTTGCTCCCTCTATATAGAAAACCAGATGGAATTCGAGATGATGCCTCCGTCATAGAGCAATTTTACAAACCAAAACAGAAGAAATTTTTCGAATTCAAGTTCAATTGTAATCCATTAACAGGTTCTCAGAATATCATGATTACAAGCAATTTCTCATATACATATATGACCCTTTGATCTTTGACCTCATGACCCTAAAATCTACTCAGTTCATTGGCTCTGCAAGATGTCCTGAGTTAAATAGTAATCCATCTGTCAGTTCTAATGAGAATGCGTTCACAAGCTATTTTTGCATACATAATGAGCCCATGACCTTTGACCTTATGAACAAAGAATCTACTCAGTTTATTGGCTCTGCAAGTAACAAACATGACCTAATTTTGGCAGGAATCCATCAATCGGTTCTTGATCACAAGCTGTTTTTGCATACATAATGAGCCCTGTGACCTTTGACCTTTAACCTCGTGACCCCAAAATCTAATCAGTTCATTGGCTCTGCAAGATACATACATGACCAAAGTTTGGCAGGAATCCATCAATCGGTTCTTCAGATAACGCGATCACGAGCTGTTTTTGAATACCTAATGAGGCCTGTGACCTTTGACCTTATGAACAAAGAATCTACTCAGTTCATTGGCTCTGCAAGTAACATACATGACCTAATTTTGGCAGGAATCCATCAATCGGTTCTTGATCACAAGCTGTTTTTGCATACCTAATGAGGCCTGTGACCTTTGACCTTTGACCTTGTGACCCCAAAATCTAATCAGTTCATCGGCTCTGCAAGATACATACATGACCAAAGTTTGGCAGGAATCCATCAATCGGTTCTTCAGATAACGCAATCACGAGCTGTTTTTGCATACCTAATGAGGCCTGTGACCTTTGACCTTTGACCTCGTGGCCCCAAAATCTAATCAGTTCATCAGCTCTGCAAGATACATACATGACCAAAGTTTGGCAGGAATCCATCGATCGGTTTTTCAGATAACGCGATCACAAGAACGGACAGACGGACAACCCTAAAACATAATGCCTCCGGCTACTTCGTAACGGAGGCATAACAATGCCTAAGCAGTGCCCGTTTGTCCCCCATGATCCTCTTTTTCTTATGTTAATTGAGAGCTGAGTTGATGAGATAACCACCTGTCAGTGACCAGCAGGGTGGTCTAATCCTTCCTGGCCAAAGTGGTCGAAGTGGACTGGACTGTCAATCACAAGGTCTGCGGTTCAAGTCCCGCCGCAGCACTTATGTCCTTTAACAAGACATTGATCTACATTTGCCACACTCAACCCAGGTGATGTAAATTGGTACCTAGCAGGAATTAATTACTTTAAATGCTAGAGCGCCATAAATGGCAGGACAGCTAAAGCCAGGGTAATAATGTCCAAGTTTGGAAGCGCTTAGAGACTTAATTGTAATTAGTGCTATATAAAAGCCAAGTATCTTTATTTATTACGACTATAAGCTTAAAACTGTAGACAATTGGTCAGATGTCACTACCATTCTGAGCGAACTCATCTTTTCCTACTACCGTATAAAGAAACTTGCAATGCCCCAAATAATTTATTATTAATGCTCGTACGACTATTCAGGCCCCAATTTTTATGATTTGACATGTTTGAATATATCCATATCTAATGTTATTACAAATTCTTCCCAAATTAAATTGTAGTCAGAACATACAGTGTCGGTAGGCTTTACTTATTTTTTCTTTAAGCTACAGTCCCATATACGTCCCGGACCGTCCCGGACCATCCCGGACCCCATCCGGGGTGATCTGGGATTCGGTCCGTGTTGGCACCGGGGTGGTCCTGGATGGTCCTGGATGGTCCTGGATGGTCCTGGGCGGTCCGGGAGTCAACCCCGGATGTTTTTGACGGTCAAAAACTGCCGGGGTGGTCCGGGACGGTCCGGGACAATAGTTTGATCCGGGGTGATCCGTGTAGCCACCGTGCTGGGTCCGGGGTCATCCGTAGTGGCGCCGGGGCGGTCCGTGTTGATCCGTGGCAGTCCGGGAGTGAGTTATTGACCGCCCAGGACCATCCAGGACCATCCAGGACCATCCAGGACCACCCCGGTGCCAACACGGTGTCAACACGGACCGAATCCCGGATCATCCCGGATGGGGTCCGGGATGGTCCGGGACGGTCCGGGACGTATATGGGACTGTAGCTTAAAAGCATCACACTTTTTTGAACAAAACATCCCGGACCATCCCGGATCACCCCAGACCATGGTCCGGGATGGTCCGGAGTGGTCCGTGCTCGTCCGTGCTGGTCCGGCTTTATATGGGACTGGGGCTTTAGATCAGTGACTTACTCATTTGTTCTTCTATTTGAGGCATGGACGGTATAAAATCTTGAACCAGATGATGCAGAACCCATCTACCGCTAAGATTGGACATCATGGCATGAAAATCTGTGTATTCCGAGTATGAAAGTCCTGTAAAGACAAAAATGTGCAAAATTCCTGGATTTTTTTCTTCTTGATGGATTTACAAAATTCCAGGAGCATTATTTAAACATATTTTTAGTGTGAAACTGCTTCAAATACAGTCATCCAGTAGTTATGCGGTTTAGACACAAGATAATAATCTAATAAAACACACCAAATTGAATTTTTCCTAATCCCCCCATGATTTGAGTGATTTTTTTTCCCCCTTAAATTTCCCGGACTAGAATCATTGATGCAGTGAGAAGCGTATGGAACCAAATACCGTGGACTTGCCCTCCATTCGAGGGTTGAACAACACCTAGTATGAAGAGCAAGTGTGATACGTACTTTTGAGAAATTTTGGTCTACTCAGGAATGTGCTCACAAAAGACCGCCTGCCTAAAAACTTAGATTAAAAATATTTAGAAAAATCATATTTCTTTTTTTCCTTGAGAGGTCACTACAGGTTTCACTATACCATGGACTTGCTCAGTAATATATACTTACCCTGTGGGCCATCTTTCTTGAGACAATCTAACAGCTTTTTGTAGAGTCCACCAAACGTGGGTAACTCCGTGAGTAAGACTCCTAAATCACTGACACTGCTACCAGGCTGGAAGAATGGTATACGGTGAGGGGGAAGACTGTATTTCTCTGTCTCAGGGTTGATGTCGACGATGTCAGCTGCAACCATCACTCCAAGCCATTCTTGCACATACCTTAAATGAAGAAAAAGTGGACTCTTGTTTGCAAATTCTATATAAATCATTCACAATGTACTTTTTGGAAGAACATGTATTCCGACATATTTTGAATGCATTTGTTGTTGTTTAATAAATTCCACCTCTTACAGTTAATATTATGTCAAGCAAATATACATTTCATATTTGGTAACAGTGCTTCATTTTGGGGGATTGCATGTGTCCTGGCAAATGAGATTGAGGCAAATGACAGAGAGAACTTATATTGGATCAAACCTGTATACCTTTCCTTGAGGCCGGCTGTATCAGCAATCTCCTTGACAGTCCTCTCCTCATCCTTCAGCTTTATAAGAGCTTCAAAGAGACCCGATTGAATTCCTAGAGAGGTTGAAAGGGAGACAAACCCATGGATTACTAGGGTGCTGAATCTCTTCTCAAACTGATCATGAGTCTCTTTCTCCCCTGCTTCAGCCATAATTCTGAAAAGAAAGAGAAGTACATATGATGATGATTATTGATGATGATAGGTTCTGCATTGGATTCAAAGTGCTATGAAACCAAAAAAATCTAATGTATAGATTCTAAGGGTACACAAAACTTTCCTGTATGGTCCAAATTCAGATTCAAGCTCTAACAAGGGAAACGCTCTCGGCGGTCTCGCCTCCATCACGCAATTCGATATGATGAAAATTTGAGGTTGGAACATTATTTATAGGCAGGGTGGCCCATTTGTCTCCCATCAATTACAAGTTATTGCATTATATAAAAATTACTTTATTATTATTATTATTATTGTACCTGTTCCAAGCTGCATTTTACGTGTTCCGAAATTTCCATCCTCTGTATTATATGGTTCCGAGTTCTGACTTTACAAACTTGCATCAATCGAGTTATAATTGCATTGTACCTGTTCCAAGCTGCATTTTACATGTTTCAAAATTTCTATCCGATTTGGGGGGATTGTATTATTTTGCCTACACACTCCCATCATTCAAGTTATGGCATTGTACATGTTCCAAGCTGCATTTTACGTGTTCCAAAATTTCTATCTTTGGGTGATTGTATTGTTTTGACTACACACTTGCATCAATCAAGTTATTGCATTGTACCTGTTCCAAGCTGCATCTCTTAAACCCATACTATCGGGTATATTAGTTTTGAATGTGACCATCAAACACTGAATAAAAGTAAGTGCTATTGACATAATAATACTACCTGGGTACTGCATGCAGTGATGACTTCATCACTCAAAGAAGCAAAGTCAAATAACTTAGTTTTTCATGTACATGTTCCAGAGATACAGATTAGGTTCAAAATCAGTGATATCCAGTTATCTTTGGTTACATTCCAATTAACATATCTTGAACCTATTAGGCAATTAGAGATTTACATTACCTTAGCTGCATTCTTGCAGCATACATACGCTGCCGAATGGTATTATCCGACGGATAGAATGCTGTATCCGTTATTGAGGGCCTCTTTTCTACATCTGGGAACAGGACAGTGTGTAGGTGGGCTCTTAGGTGTCGCTTCATCTCGTTCAAGTTAGTGACGCCATGACCAACCAGGTCCACAAGTTTAGTGGACACAGTCTTGTGCATTGGGTTCATAAACCCCGTCAGCTATTAAGTAAGATAGAACATTGGTAAATTTCAAATGAATGTATATACATTGAGTTATATTGATGTTTCAATTCATGTTTTGTTTTTATGTTTTATGTTATTGTTTGTATCATTGTGGAGGGCTCCGTTGGAAAGCAATTTTTTTAAACTGAATCGGACTACCCTCCACTGTTTTATCAATTGTAATAAATAAAACATGAATAAATAAAATAATAAATAAATGTACAAATAGGAATTATTCAATTTCAACCATTCATCTAGTGGCAATCATTTTATATTGTACAAATTGCAGCTTTTTTTACGTAAATGAAACCATGTACAAGTCTAGATGTTTGTCTTTTTTTCTTTCCTTCAGGGATTGCTCTTAAAGTGCCGGTTCAAAGATAATCACAAATATGTCAAATAATGTATCACAAGAAACTGGTAAGCTAACAGATGGCCATCGTACAAGTCTTAGGTCAACTACATATCGGGTGATTTGTAAAAATACAAATAAAACCACCTCCATAGCAGCTGGGATATACGAGAGATTCGCCGGAAAAACAACAATGTTTTAATGACGTCACTATATGGACCAACACTGCCCAAGCAGACGACATCCCATAAAGAATGAATTGCAATGCTATTATTTCTCAAATTATAAAGAGTTTAGTGTATATAAATGTGATGGAATTTTACACCATTCAAAAGGGGATATGAAACCTATTCTGAAAACTGAATTCTTTTGTTTGTAAATACACAGGATAGGGGTTAATGAACAAGCAAAGAAACCACACTTTCAAATGTTAAAACTCCCGGAACGATAGCATGGACGGCATTTGTCCCTCTTGAAACACCGAACATACCGCGGTGTATGCAGCTGAAAAAAAGAGACAGATTTCTTTATTTCTTTAATCACTGCATTTTTTCATCAAAATAATACCATGCACAGGTTTAGAGAGAGGCAATAGATTAAACATTTAGCTTGATGGTAGTGAATTAATAGAAATAACTGAGGAGAAGATGACAAAACAGGCACGGAAATGTGAGAGATGTCATGGGACGTCATGGGACGTCATTGGACATCGTCTGCTTGTGCCAATCATGTTCAACATGTGACGTCACACATCTCAGCAGCGATCAGAGAGCTTTACAGGTGCTATGCTGGGGCTGTATTTAAGTGTTTTGTAGTTGACAATAATCATTACTTCAAATGTTTCCAAGCATTGAATTTTGAGACCCTTGTCCAATCAAAGCTTCACCTTTGCAGTAATGACAATAAAGTTAGTTTTTAAAGTCAATGAACCTTCTCTTTAAAATGTGTGTGCCAATGAGTCTTGCAAGGTAGTTTCTGACGGTTGACTGCTCGTAGAAGTATCTTCCTAGAGTTATCTATTGGAAAACACCTTTGCATAGGCGATAGGTAATGATAGCTGGCCAATGCATATCTTAAAGGTGTAAAGAGGTGCTCAACATTAACAAGAAATTTTACACACAGGACTCACACAGGTGTGTGTTAGATTTTTAAACAAAATATTCATGTAGACAAGAAGATACAATAAGGCATACATACATGTAATTAATATTTTAGGTTGGTTGCATGCAAAAGATACCTTTCCAAGTGTATGCACACTCTGGTGATCAGTCTTGCTGGGTAGCCGGATGTAAATGCGTCGCTCAAAATTGAACTTATCCCCATTTCTCAGATCTGCTCGGATATGGTCTGATATGGCCCTCTTTGACATCCCAGAGTCGTCATTAGTCTATTAGTTATTCAGGACAAGAACAAACAAAATTTCTTTGTTACCATAGTTCCAAATGGAAGGCTAAAAATTTAACCCTAAAAAAGTGGGGGGGGGGGGGGGGGGGGCAAAATCCGCCACCCTTAGACGTTTCGCAGGGCCCCAACACGCAAAGCAGTTGATGCAGTGTTTTATGACTAATTAGCATAATTAAAAATAAATTGAAATCATTTTGGAGCAATTAACTATACAGTTTTGTAGATTAAGTTGTGGATGGATGATGCACGTGCCGATTTTGGCGTGATTGCATCGTCGATGGCCAAGATTTCAGGGACGGGGCGGAATCTACCACCTTCCTCCAGATAATGCATAGCCAAAAAAACCAGTCTGATTACTAGGGTTAAACTAAAACATGTTCAATGTACGATAAGGACAACCTACAGAAGATTGAAGGGAATTGGTCAAAATTACAACAATAAAAACACTTTTGTGACAAATAAACTACGCAATTCGATATGATAAAAAATTGAGGTTGGAACATTATTTATAGGCAGGGTGGCCCATTAGCAGGCCCCACAAAATGAAATCCTCTGAATATAATCAGCATTTTTAAGTGAATTTTGATTAAGAATCATGAACAAATAACAAAAATTGATTGATTCATTTTCATATTAAGTTGTGAAAACATAATCCAAGTCTATTGACCTAAAATGACCTTTGACCTTGTGACCTGGAATTTGTGTCATATGATCTGTGATACTTAATAAAGATTGGGTACAAGTTTCATGGAATTTGAACAAACACTTTTGAAAATATGCTAAAAATTCAAAATCTTGATGTTGATGCCACAAAAAAAGTCTAAGTTTGTTGACCTAAAATGACCTTTGACCTTAACTTAGTGACCTGAATTCTACTCATGTGATTGGGGATACTTGATTATTAAACCTATAGTCCAAGTTTCATTGACTAAGAACTCATACTTTCAAAATTATATCAAACCTTAGGTTAAATTTTCGATAAACTCCCTATATAATGTGAAATAAAAAGTGTATTTTCTACAATTTAATTGCTGCTTAGTATACTTTTTATACATCGATGTTATACATACATCATAGTCTGTGAAGCGGATAACTTCCTTCATTTCTATCATTGCAGGACAGCCCTTTTTCTTTGAACCCTGCAGACGTCTGTATTTTCTCTTTCTGGGCAGAGGATGGTCTTCCTATATATAATAAATGGACATTTAAAATAACGTCACAATGGCATTTTGAAAAATATATCTAAAATTGGGCACAAAAACCCAAGGTTGATCACATAAAAATGAACGACTCGGATGTTTCCATGTACTACATGAAGGTGTGGCATTTTGCAATCTTGATGTGGAGCAAATATCCTTATAACACTGAAGTGGCACATTAAAGAGAGCATCAAAGATTGGCAATCTGAAATTATGAAAATATAAGCTAAAATCATTTATATAATTCTTCACCACACACAAAGCAAGTTTGAATAAAATCCTTACAAGGTTTCCCAATATACAGAGGGAAATAATGATAACAGAAAAGCATTTCACCCTGTATAACCTTCTATTCAATACAATTAATTTTGACATCTTTTCAAAGAATTAATTATATAATGTGACACTTTTAGTATATTTCATATTATGTTCTAATTTTGTCAATTATGTGAATTCTTTTTTGTGAAAATGTGAAACAAATAAACCTGAAACTTGACCTGGAAACTTGACTGCAGGAAAGACTGCGTTTTCCAGTACATCTGGTAATAAGGTAATAACAAGGGAAAAAAATATTCATGGGGCTGGAGTAGGCCTTTATAAGCCCACCTACATGGAGACCAGTAGGTAAGAAGTGCTGTATTTAAGACCTATCCAAACCTCCTTTTTTTTACTTCTATTTTACAAGATCACAAGAGCACATACTAATAGAGTCTAACCTTCATTGCTTTCTCTGCCAACTCTTCATTTTTTCTTTTAGCAGCTTGATTTTTGTCCTTCCCATACATGCAACGTAGGCTGTATCGAGAAACGATGGCAAAGGGAACACTGTCAGCAGACACCACGTTGTCTTTTATGTCCGAGAACCTGACCCTTGGCATATGAATCAGCTTACCATCTGGATAAATAAACAAAAAATAGAATTTAGGTTTGATACACAATTTACCATCTGAAAGAAATAAACATAATAAGTAGAATGTTGATACACAATTTTCGTAAGGTGAGTTAGCATTAACATGTGTTTCTTCTCCATTCCAAAATAGCTCAATACAATTTATCCTCTGAAGGGCAGTATTAAAACACATTTCTTAAAAGAAGATGCATGCACAACTTATTTCAATGGCAACAGGAAAAATAGAATAACCTAAAAAGGCTAAAATGGAGGGAGTTTTCAACCGTCTTAATTACCAATCTTACCTCTCTAATCTTATATATTAAATATCATTTTTAACGACCTTAAACTAGGCCCGAGTCAAAACGTTTAACCAACTGTTAAACGACTGCATTCATCAAAACCGTTCAGCATTTCTCGCTCCGTTTAACCATTATTTTTGTGCAGTTTGTTACATGTGTTTTGTTTTTGTTTTTGAGACTTCATTGCCGATACGGAACTCCTAAATTAATAATTATTGACGAGACTTCATTGCCGATACGGACAACAAAGTCTTGCCAATAATATTGTGTTTCAATCTCCGTCGGGGCAACAAAACCTTGCAGATAAGTATCGTTTTTTGATCTCCGTCGGGGCAACAAAACCTTGCCGATAATTATTGTTTAAAGATCTCCGTCGGGGCAACAAAACCTTGCTGATAATTATTGTTTTTAGATCTCCGTCGGGGCAACAAAACCTTGCTTGCAGATAATTATTGTTTTTAGATCTCCGCCGGGGCAACAAAACCTTGCCGATAATTATTGTTTTAAGATCTCTGTCGGGGCAACAAAACCTTGTAGGCCTACTATTAAATACTGCAGCAAGTTTTATAGGCCTAGATCTATTCTAGACTCTAGTCTACGTCTAGAGTCTATACCAGTGTACTATACGGTAGACTATACCACATGATGATAGCTACGTACCTGGGTTCTGCAGATGAAGGATCCCATTCCCAAACCCTTTTCCTTTTCGGTCACCAACAAATGTAATGCATTCGGCAACCTGCAGTTGTTCCTTGACATCTTCTGCCTCGTCGGTATTGCTAACCCAACCTCTAAGGTGTTCTTCTTCCTCGGTAGATCCCCCAGGCTCATGGACGGGGGTCCAGACTTGAGTCCATGTGGCAGCCATCGCGTCGGCAATGGTTCAGTCAGCCTCGATCTCGGCGGCGCGATGCTAATGTTTACGTACCATGTGCCCATGTGCGAAGGTTAATTAAAGAAACATGAAACATTGATGCGCACTGTGCTGGTAATCTAGACAGAAATAGACTAACCGTCTGATATGAGTCATTTCTTTAATAAAAACTGACATTTGTTGACATTTCCCATAGAGGCGGACAGCTAGATGAGCCAGACGCAATCTCAGCGGAACAACCGTCGATATCAGAGACTGAAGCTTTTGTTCTACAGGGCCTGGGCAGCGTTTCTCGAAACCGTCATATAACTACAAGTTCACCGACATCCCATTGAAACGCGTGTTAAACTTATTACACGCGTTTCAATGGGATGTCGGTGAACTTGTAGTTATGACGGTTTCGAGAAGCGCTGGCCTGCGCTGCTGGTAATCGTGTTTCTTCTATCTAGTTTGGGAAAAGCGCGCGCATTGTTATGATCGACTAAATCAAATACCACGCCCCCATTTACAAAAACATCAACAAACCTCTCACTATTTTGGAGAATCTCGATAATCAGCGTGAGTTTGTCCAAATGCCAGTGCTAATCAGTTGTTGGGTCTACACTACCATAAGATAATATGGAGCCTCTAGTTATATTTATAGCGTCGAAATTCAATCGAAACTTACACAATTGATGTAATTATAATGTACATCTAAATTGTACCCGGAATTGTATACATCAGGGCGGGCGGGCATCAGGGCCGTATAGCCAGAGTTTGATGTTGGGAGGGGTGGGGGGGGGGGGGGGGTATATGTAATTGATCGACGTCCTGGGGAGGGGTCTAAAAAAGTTCAACCCCCCCCCCCCCCCCCCCTACGTGCCTGGTATACATATTTTTAAAATTTCCCCTTTTCAATTTCTATTTCTATAAACTTTCTCTCTCCTTTTCAAAATCCTTTTCAAAATCGCGCTGCAAGTCACAATCCGATCCTAAAACATGCCAACTTCAACAACTTGTTGAAATTTAATGTATTGTAACATATCGCCCATCACATTACCCAGCTAGTATTTCATGATTTAGTGAATTTGATTTTTTGTTGGTCTTCTTATTTTACATACCGTACTTCATCCATCCCCCTTTTCTCTCTCTCGATCTAGCTCTTTCTCAAAAATCTGATTAAATATCAAATAAATCAATTCCATTTGAAACATGCATCACTCCTTTCCCAATGTACTTTATTACCAGTCCATACTAGTGTGGTATATCAATAACCTTTAGAGTAGATAATATCTGGACTGCCTATTAATTTTATCAAGTTGTATTATATCACTCAAAAATATTATAGTAATATATATATATTTTTAAGGAACGTTCTGGGATTAAATAACTCAATACCATTAATAATGGGAATCAAGAAAATCAAAGGGATATAACTCGCATATACATATAACACATATACTTTGAATTTAATGCACATATAATTACAGTATCAAATACAATATAAAATAAATATCATGACATTCTGGTAGTAATAGCTCAATCCCACAGATAGTATAAATCATGAAAAGTAAAAATTAAAAAAACAACAACATGCATATTGCATAATTTGTATTCTATACTTTTAAATTTTATGCCAATCAAACTACAAATACAAGGGCAAATCACATTATATAAATTATTTAAACTATAGTACTGTAGGAAATGCTGTATTTAGCATGAATTTGATCAAATTACAGTATTTGTCATGAATGTTCACATGATATTTGTTCTTCATTGAGCTAGAATTTTTGGTCTCATATTCTTCAAGTGTTCATAACTCTCATAATATATTTCTTAAAGGTAAAGACCAGTATTGGAAACGCCCCAATTTCAAAAAATGAAATGGAAGCTCTCATTACCTATCATGTGAAAGAATATGTTTTGACTAATACATGATGATAAAAAATTTGCCCGGAAACCGCCTAATTCATATATTTGGTAAATTTGTTTCTCTCATGGTCTGTGAGAGATATAGGGTAGTCCCATATACATCTTTCTGTGTATAGTGCTTGTAACTTTACGAAGAATGGGCCAAATTTCTTATCATTTTGATGATTCCAGAACCTTGCAGATGCTAGATGCTAGATGATCAACCTTTTCTGATCGATTCCACAACGTTTCTTTCACAATGCAATTGCACGACAATAACTGGTCTTTACCTTTAACAATGAACATAGCTACACTGCACAATTAAGGCACCCAGAGAGAAAGAGTATGTTACCCTGGCTTTAGCCCAGCTGTCCTAAAGGGCTGTAAACCGTGAAAGAATTACTTCCTACCAGATACCCATTTACTACACCTGGGTTGAGAGTGGCAAATTTTGATTAATGTTTTGCTACAGGGCATTAATGCAGAGACTGGAACTTGAACTGTGAACCATGTGATCAACATTTGATTGATGTATCCACTGGACCATGACATCTATGTACAGAAGAATGATACTCATGTTACCAGCCCTTTGTTCCGACAATTTTATAAAAACATATACCGTATATATAATAAGAAACAACATTATTAATATGTTTTCTGACCCTTATTAATGCCCTTGCTTATGCTTGAAATTTTAAATCCCCAAAGGAGAAAAACATTTTACTCACATTTTCACAACTGCACTCATTCCTATCAAGAGTCACATCCATATAAATGTCTCAAGAGTGATTAGTGATGTCTATACCATGAACATTAAACAGAGACTAACCTTTACTATCTTTCTGATCTGAAGTGAAAAGTTGGCAGGAAGGAGTAAAGTTGTGATAGTGTATATTGCTTTTCTACTACGGTAGATGTAGGTTGACTTTTGGGCCCAATGAACATGTCATATAGAATTAAAATTTACCAGGAATCGATAGGTCTATAACAAATGAATTTTAAAGACAAAATTATAATTGTATATATTTACAGTAGCAGTACAGATATAATAAGTTGTCATGAATGAAGTAAAATAGATACATAAAGGAACTTAAAGGTAATACAAAGTTTTGGTATGGGGTCACGAATTTGGTTCAAATTAACATATTGGAAGCATACACGATCCTACAATATTAAGTGATCGTTGTCGCGGTCAAAATCGACTCTAAAGTTATGAAATTGTAAATAATAAACACTTTATGTTGAATAGCTCCCTCTCAAGGTCAAGATATTAATTAAGCTATAAAACAATGTTTATTGACTAAAATTGACTGATTAGCTATTCTCGTTCGGAAATTATATACCACAACTACATACTCTGAGATTTTCATGGTCGCAGCTACCACTTTACGGCCGTAGGGGCTATTTGAAATTTATCAAAATTTACCGGGAGCACCGGTAAATCTTTATATTCAATTTTTCTCGAAAGCAGAAGTGTTTTAGGGGCTAAAATTTCTGGTGTTTTTAATACATCCACAGGGGCATCCAAATATATTGAAATTGTAAAGAATCACTATCCACCCATTTTTCAAAATTTCCCAAAACTTTGTAATACCTTTAAACAAAGCTCTAGCCACCCGGGCCAAAACATTCTTTGAAGTTTTGTTTTTGTAATTCATTCCATCTGACTATCCTGCTAACAAAAATTCTAGATTCAGAAATGTATAGTATTGCACAGCATATATGTGTGTTGTATTGTAAGATAGCACCAGTCTACAGAAAAAAATATGGAGTCTTGATAATAATACTAATACTACAATGAGTATGAAAATAATGAGAATGATTTGATGGTGCATACTGCTTGAAAGAAATGGCATGCAAATGGATACCTCGGTACAAACACTGTAAACTGCACAGAACTATAACTAGAACACTGTTGAATGCTCAATTATTGGGGGCTATACTAGTTTAAGAGCAAATAATTGAAGAGATGAACCCTACTACAAAGATGAAGAATTGCAATAAAATACAGACATACTCCAGCGTTTCTTCTTGCACTCGTCGGAGTAAATCACAAGGACGAACAAGAAGCCAGAGTAATTGATCAAGAAAGGAGGATAGGATAGGATATTTACATGCAACTCTGAGAGTCAACAGGCACTTATTGAAACACTTTCTCCGTGCAAACAAATATGGCAAGACAAACACTTTTGATTGCTTCACCAAATCTGTGTGAGTAGTAGATCCATAATCAATGCTGAAGAATTTGCAGTGAAGTCGTCAAAACTCTTTATCTGACCTAGAATTGAATGACAGTGTAAACTATTTTTCTTAAAAATTCATTCTTATGTAACTAGGTATTGCCCCTCTTGCGTTTATGAAAGACATAATAGAAATTTAAATAACCAAAAAAAAAAATGAAGGAGTATATCTCTTTTAACATACTAAATGACAATCTTTTGGTTTGAATCTAGCTGACGTGTCATTTCTAACAATGAGTACCAAATCATTGCACGATATAGAAATTACAATTCTGAACATCAAACTGTACAAATTCTGTAAAATAATCAAAGTACCACATGATTCATTTAAACAAGTTATTGGTCCCAAGAAAGCACATATTTTATAGAAACCACTCACATATATATAGTATAATCATTGCCGAGGAATTTCGCACTTACATGTACATGTCATGATGTCAAAGTAAATTCTGTATTACATATTGCATGTACTTTCACCTCAGTTGTACCATCTACAAGTTCTTAAAGGTCTTCCTACTAGATGGTCTCTGTGAGGGCATATCGAGGGGTCAGTGACACACAGACGTACCTCCATTTTGAGAAAAAGTGGTTTATGTGTCACTGACACTGAGAACTTGGGCCTTAAGGAGTTAAGTCTATGTTCCACTAGCCATTGACTTCGATTGGGTGTTGGTGGAGTTAAGTCTTTGTGTTACCTGGAAAGCCCACATTTTTCTGAACACTTTGATATCAAAATGCTCATTTTGGCAAAATATGGAGTTACGTCTTTGTGTCACTGAACCCTCGATATCATCACTGCCTTCTGCATTCAGCCAAGTCCACCTTTCTTTCCTGGGTAAAGAATGGCAAATGTAGATGAATGCCATGGTGCAGCTTGAATTGACCTATGACTCTAGAGTACCAATTCAACCAGTGTCCAGAGGTGAAGCAACCTCTCAAAGGGGCTACATAGTCTTTAGATCTTCCATCCCCAACCATTTTTCTCATACACTTTCCAGGGGGGTGTTTCACAAAGATCCTAAGTTGAACTTACCGGTATCTCTAAGTTGGACTTAACGATTATAGGAAGCCGTTAGCGTCTATGAAAATATTTTGTAAAAGTTATTTTCAAATGCATAAAATGTAAAATGTTGATTCAAATCATTCATATTTTCGATCATCAAGGATATTTCATGTTCTTGATGTGGAATTTATGAAAAGTCTAAATTACTTGAATTTGCTCTTTTGCATATATTTTATTTTTAGGCTACTAATGGCTCTACCTAATGTTTAAGTCCAACTTCGAGTTAGGTTCGACTTAGGATCTTTGTGACGAAACACCCCCCAGGGACCCGTTTCACAAAGCCTTTTTTCAATGACAAATTACAAATATCAGTGACAAATCTGCTGATAACCAATCAGAAGCAAGGATTTCAGTAGCTTATAACAACAACTGTCATTTGTCACTGATGACAAGTTTTGTGAAACCACTCCCAGATCAGACACGGACAGGATGCTTCTTGAACATCTCCAAGCACTTCAAGGAGCAGCACAAGGCCATCAAAGACACATTGTTGTTCCCACCCAGTGTAAACTGCTGTATCCAGGGTATCTGAAGAAAGTGTACATAGGCCTGGGTGAAGATGACCTTGTCGCATCCAGAGGGTGCAACGCAGTGTGCAGTAGGGCATGACACAAAGTCTGCAAGACTCTTGGGCAGGGAATCCACATCCAGGACATCTGATGAAAAGAAGAACAAAGGGGATCGTGGCAAATAAGATGAACAATTTAATTAATAATAAGCACAGGGAATGCCAGTTAGAATTAATCATAGGGCCTTAAAATCATCTAGAATTAGCTATTTTGTACACAAAAAAGCCTAAACTATGGTCTGAAAATAACTTGCCAGGGCCTGAATTCAGGCTATTGCCTGAAAACTGGCATCCCTGTAAGCAATATGAGAAAATATTTTGAAAGAAATGATATACCAAATATTATAATATACTCTCCACATCAAATGGAGCATCTCTGTTTTGCACTCTGCAGTAGGGTACATAGAGAGTGTGTGTTATTGTGTTCTAAAGACGTGGAGCAATCAGATATGATTCCTTACATCTGTGGACCGACCTTTAACATCAAATCCACAACCTTTAACATCACCATCCACAAGACGTGAATCAGTTCCAAACCGGGGACTTCAGGGTCAGTATGTAGGCAAAGACAAGAGTTGACCGTTAAAGGTATAGACCAGTTCTGGTCATGCGATTGCATTGTGAAAGAAACATTGTGGAATCGATCAGAAAAGGTTTGTCATCTAACATATAAGTATTGGTGTGTACTGCACGGTTCTGGAATCATCAAAAGGATAAGAAATTTGGCCCAGTCTTGGTAAAGTTACAAGCACTGTACACAGAAAGATGTATGTGGAACTACGCCATATCTATCCAGGCCGAATAGATATGATAATTTACCAAATATATCAATAAGTAGGCGGTTTCCCGGCAAAATTTGTATCATCACGTATTAGTCAAAACATATTCTTTCACATGATTGGTAATAAGAGCTTCCATTTCATTTTTGAGAAGGGGCGTTTCCAAAACTGGTCTTTACCTTTAAGCAATTAAACAAAGATCCATATGATTAAAGGATAGAGAAGCACACTATGCTTCAGATATTTATTTTGCTTGCCTCTAGGACTTTCTTGACATCAGTAAGAACCTTCTATAATGCTCATTTTCCTCAGCACGGTTGACCAATATTTTATTTTATATTTTTGATTAATGAAATCCTGTTCAGTGATTGGACAACACAGCATCATGTGACTAAACATTACATTGCTATGATGTTACCGATAAGAAAAATGTGCTACCGTGACGTCATCCATGGTATTGTGCAGTATACCATGGTACTATACCATGGATGACGTCATAGATATGCAATCGATCAAGATCAATGTGATATCGGTGTCGGCCCAGTCGCAATACGGTCGTCTGCGCTGCTCACTGCACTCTACACTTCTTCAGTGACAGTATACATTATTGTTATTATTATTGTTATTTTAATGAAGGTTGATTTGAAAAATATTTAAAAAATTTCAAGCCATTTGTGAAATTATGGATTCCTGCCACCTCGATCCATAATTTCAACTACAGCCTCTCAGTGTACTATAGCGTATTTGTTTACTATTTCAACTGAGTTCACTGACCTCATAAAAATAAATGAACTTAGTATACCTTTATGCTGGTAGACAGCAGTGAATGCCAGCTCAAGAAGTGTACTGGGTTGTTGCATGTTTGTCTTCTCATCGTGATACACCTGTATCTCTGGAGGTAGAACTCCACGCAGACCTCCTATCTGAATACATTTTTCCCCCGGAGGCTTTGCTGATCCACATCTTCATAATAAAACAAACAAAAGAAACATATTTTTCAAATAATGAACAGAATGTAAATTTAAAGATAAAATTGAGTTCTGGTCATGCGATTGCATTGTTAAAGAAATGTTGTGGAATCGATCAGAAAAGGTTGATCATCTAGCATATAAGTATTGGTGTGTACTGCAAGGTTCTGGAATCATCAAAATGAGAAGAAATTTGGTAAAGTTACAAGCACTGTACACAGGAAGATGTATATGGGACTACACGAACATGTGGCATAAATATCTGTCCCGATTTTTATGATATTACATGCCATATATAGAATATTAAGGCATTTGAAGAGCCATGCTTTTCATGGAGCATTTTTTATCTGATGTACTTCCACACTTGCATATTACAATGATAACCCTCATGAATGATTTTTTTTCACCTCTTCCCTTCTCTTTAAAGCAAAGAAATGGAAAACCGGATACATGAATGTGAAATTAAAACAGCGGCGATTGATGGAATGATGTTGTTTTTCTCATCATTATAGTCCTGAATCTCTGAAGGAAGAATTCAATGCAGTCCGACCTCCTATCTGAATACACTGTACATTTATCTCCTTGAGGCTTTGCTGGTCCACATCTTTATTGCAAAAAAAATATGTTGATTAATTAGCGGCAGTATAAAAAGGATTAAAAACTGAATTGGATCACTAGAAATGTATGTCAATACAGGGATATACATGTGTCTGATATACCAGAGTGCCAGTTACTTTTGCAGTTTGGAATAATTATCCTACATACTTGGACTTCTTTCAAAATCCCAGAGTCTTAATAACTGCACTAATAAAACGACTTGGCAAGGTGTGAATTTTGAACTCTTCTACTGCATCTTAAATGCTAATACACCAGAAAATCTGTTATGCATCTTTTACAGATTGGTGTGAACGTATCCCTCTGCGCCTCAGGGGGGTGTTTCACAAAACTTGTCATCAGTGGCAAATGATAGCTTTTGCTATAAGCTACTGAAATCCTTGTTTCTGATTGGTTATCAGCAGATTTGTCACTGATTTTTGTCATTTGTCATTGAAAAAAGTCTTTGTGAAATGGATCCCTGAATAGTTTACTAGATCGATGGCGCATAACAAATGCTGTAGTAATATCATTATCCTTTGGTATGCCATTATTATCAACTTTACTCAGCCCTGATAATTTGGGACTTTCATTTCCATTTCAGCAGTCTTATTTTCTTAAATTCATCAAATATTAGGCTCAATCAAGCATTTTTTTAAACCCAGTCTTATGCATTTAATTTTCTTTTTTAGTGGACTCTCGGTCTGTGCCTGATTTAGTTATTGCACAGCTCGTGAGCCCTCTTTTGATGTAATTATAATGATGTATACTTATTGTTGTTATTGTTTATATGTCCTTTTTGCAATATTTAGTGATAATAGTTTAGTTATTTGATATTTTAACTTATGTAACTTATGTATTTATTCATTATTGCTATTTTAATATGTATATTTGATTTAAATTTTATTTTGTACCCAAGACAGTTGTCAGTCTTCGGACTGTTTGCACTTGGTTTTTGATGTTTTGATTTCAATAAAATTGTATATATATAAAATCATCTATTTCAATTGAAAGACTCTTCTCACCTACAAACTCCTATCTGCTTGGTGTACAATGTGAAGGGTATGGTGCATAGACTCGGATTGCTATCCACATAGAGGTGTACAAGACTTGGAAGCCACCCCAATCCTAAAGGAGAAAAAAACATTCAAAGACAAAGTAGGGGTGTGGGGTTAGTTTAATAGGTGAAATGTTTACCACAAAATTCATAAAATCTCACTGGAATTAAAAAAGAAAAGGCATACACTACTGTACTCCAAATACTCCAAATACAACCAATAACATTTTGGAAATTTAATTATTCTAGTGATAACAGCCAGGGCCCTGTTTCTAAAATCTTTTTATCAATAACAAATGCAAGCATTCTAAGACAAATTTGCTCTCAGCCAATCAAATGCCATGATTTCAGTGCCGTAGTTAATCATATTCATTGTAACTTGTTATTGATAACAAGTTTTATGAATCGGGACCCTGGTTCGGTATTATCATGAACCCCGTCTATTAGGCTAAAACTTCTGTATACTGTATACGCTGTATATATAAAGAACATTTTGACAATGCGTTAGAGCCTACTTACCATACAAATCACAATGACAATTTCTTTGGGGTAATTGTACGGTAAAATGAATATCAGAGTGCTACATGTAATTTTATCATGAAATGAAAATTCACAGAATATTCCTTCATAGGTATCTCTTTGAAATAGTGGTGGTGGTTATTTTACCTGACTGCTAAGAAAGCATAAATGCTTGTTAGTAAGCAACCAGAGGACTAAAGGCTTTAGGACCTCTCCTAGGGACCTGGTAATGGGGATTAATGCCTTACCAAAGGGCACTAGAGCATCGACTTGGTTTCGAACCGGGGTCGCCGATTAAGACACCACTGCTCTACCAGCTGAGCTATCGCGCCTCCTCATAGTAATCATAATAACCACAAACCAAAAAAGATGTCATCAAGCAGCTGTCACGCTATAAAAATGAATCTACTTACCCTGGGGTAAGACTAAAAGATTATTGCCTGTTGCAGAAAGTTCTTTGAGATGATGCAGGGAGATGAGATGTCTGGGCAAGGAGGTAAGCTTATTCCGATCCAGGTGAAGTGTGTCAAGGGACGTACATCGCCCGATCTCTGATGGAATGCTTACTAGTTGGTTATCCATCAAGTTTAATACAGTCAGCTGCTTTAGATCTCCGATTCCTGTTGACAAGCAAAACAAGAAAGACATTCCACAGAATTCTTCAAAAGCAAAGCAAGGAAGGCAATATAATATTTTTGTAATACGATTCAGAGAATGATGTATCATTTCCTCTTCCTAACTACTAGTAATACAGAGATTTCCAAACATGAGAAAGAAACACATTTGTCAATAAATTGATAAAGTCTACATGATTCAACAATTTGTCACATCTTTATCAAATATATGCAAAACAAGTGCTCTAAGTCATAACGACTCTTTCTTCCCAATAATCAAATCATCTAAAATTCTAAATATAATACAAAGACTTCCAAACATGAGAAAGAAACACATATGTCAACATATTGATAAAGTCTACATGATTCAACAAATTGTCACATCTTATTCAAATATATGCAAAACTAATGCTCTAAGTCATGATGGCTATTTCTTCCCAATAATTATATCATCTACCATATATAGTTACAGTATACTTTATAAGTTTTTCAACTCATCTCTCATGAGGGAAAGGAAATCAGAGAATTTGTGAAATGCTTGCTAGCTTGTACACATACACATATGTGGTGCGCCTAGAAACAATGTATTAGGCGCATTATAAATGTGAGCTATTATTATTATCATTATTATTAATACAACCATCATGTATGCCCATTGGCTTGATGCAATAGATGGTCGGACATCAGAATGTTGTCTCTGCCCATGCCCCTTCAAACCTAAAACTCAACCCTTACATTTCAGATAAAATACATGAACATCCTAGAGCAATTGTCAGGTCACCAGAAGTTTGTGATGATTTTTTACCTGGAGGCAAGGAAGATAGACGATTAACAGTCATGTACAACTCTTTAAGGCCAGTACAATGACAAAGAGCATTAGGAAACTTGGTGAACAGATTCTGACTCAGGTCCAAAGATTCCAGTGACTTCAACAGACTCATTTCTAGAAGATTAAAAAAAATTCAATTTAAACATCAATTTTCTTATTTAACATAAAGTAAATTGTAAACATTTTGTGGAGTACCGCATTAATTTCTAGCACTCCTTAAAAGATATTTATGTCATGACCATTATTGCCCTAGAATTATGACATTCACAACAAATAATTTGTATCAAATCTCTGTATTTTTAGGAAATTATCACTAGAAGCTGTATTTCTAAAAATTTATCAACATGACATCATATCATAAACTCTGATTATTGTCAAATGATCAGATAGAAGAAAAAAGGGCATTGTAAGTGAACAAAGGAAAAGATGTGATTTAAATGATTTGTTTAAGGCTATCTTTTTTTCCCCTTAATTTGACAAAATTAGAGGATGCAGCTGCTTGGAGCGCCTTGCAAATCAGTTTTTCCTTCAAATGTCTGGGGACACCAAGGATAAAATGAACATTGTATAGAAATGGAAAATCTCTTTCATTCCCAGAAATCACAGCCATACAAACGTCCCCTTAGAATTTACAAAGAAAAGAAAAGGGGTGGGGCAAAATATCCTCACCCTTAGGAAGTGATGACAAGTTGTTTGAATGTAGATATCTGAAAAGATAAGAATTTTGTATTTGAATATTGCACACCGCAAACCTGTAGTCCCATCAAGAAACGACCCCCAAGTCTCTGAGAGTCTTCAGGTGAGGGGAATGTAAGATTATGACTTTCCATATGGGGCACTAATTGGTGGGAAATGCAGAGGATAACATAAGGCCTGATCCTGGCGATTGACAACACCTGTTATTGGGTAAACACCCGAATGGTGTCAAATTATCCACAAGAGCCCATTGCTATGCCTTATTTTAACTTATGATCGAACCGAAAGGCCTTGCAACAAATTAACAGAACAATAAAAGGGAATACATGCCCTACTTTTATTCATCAAGTGATCTTGTGATCTTGTGTTAATTTAAGAGGCCAGTGAAGTTCCAGAAGTTTGTTTCATCCCCGTTGATAAGGGAACTAAATATTTAATTTATTTGATAACTAGATGTGATGACTGCTAGAAAAAAAACAATTGGAATTTGGAAAGGCAAGGCATATTACATGAATAATTACTGAACAAAATAACTAATAGTTAAAATCGGCTACTTACAGGATTTTAAGGCCCGACAACCGGTGAATATCAGGGGGCTAGATGTCGAAATAGAAATAAAAAACAGGTAAAGTGTCATGATTAATTATTCAGGTCTATAGATATTTTGCAAATTCATTCTACAAAGTCCTAAATAATGGCATTAGTTGCATAGGTAGCCCAAGTGTACATGTAGTGATGTACATTGCTGAAATGTGCTTGATAATGATGATATATAGTGAAATCATGAAACTAGGATAAGAATCAAATGATCATTATCACAATTCCTGAGCAGTTATTTTCCTACTTGTACCAGTAAATATTTTGTGGAGCCCGGTGGAGGAGGGCTAAAGCCTAAATGCATATTGGTTTAGTTGTCATCATCATCATCATCATCATTAATACCAATATCATCATCATTAATACCAATATCTTCATCCTCACTATCATCAACAGCATCATGATCACCATGATCATCATCAACTCCCTCTTCTCCTCTATCATCGTCACCATCCTGACTTTAGAACACCATCATCAACATCCTTCTCCATGAAAGTCTTCCTCCTCCTTCTCATCGTCATTGCCATCCTCACCACCATCTAACAATCCTCCTCCTCCTCCTCCTCCTCCTCCTCCTCCTCCCCCCTCCTCCTCCTCCTCCTCCTCCTCCTCCTCCTCCTCCTCTCTCCCCCCCCCCTCCTCCTCCTCCTCCTCCTCCTCCTCCTCCTCCTCCTCCTCATCATCACTGCAATGGTCATTTGTGATTACAACAATGAAAGTGTTCACAAAAATTACACCTTTATAATACTCTTACAAGATGGGTGATCAGGTTTCTCTTCGCATAGATAACTTGGATGTGTGCGTAGTCATCTTGACTTGTAAGTTGAGGTGGGAACTGCACCAGTCCTTTGTAGTTCAGGTGGAGAATCCCATGCTCCCGGTTACGCAGGGCTTCTTTGAAGATGTCTAAAAGACTACTATTCTCGTTATGATTATCTTCTGCCATCATCGATGCACCTCTTGTCGTCAAACGTACGTCAGTCCCTTGGACATGGTGCATTGCTGAATTGATAAGCTAGCCTGTAGATTTTACTGCGAAATAACAGCAAATATTTATTATTGTAAAGCACTTAGAGACTTCTGATAAAGTAAGTGTTAGGCGCTATATAAGCAAGGATAATTATTATTATTATTATGTATTAGAACCTCAAGTCAACAAAGACATGAAATTTTCTTATAACTCAAGATTTAACTTAGTTTTGATTTCATCAGAAGGAAATAGGTATAACTATAACCTAAGACTATATGGCCTTAGGGTTTACAGGGTCTTTACAAATACTACAATGTTGTCTAAAATTGTCTACTCTACTCTCCAATTGACTATGGAGGGGCACGTTAACACACAACACAGGCCTCAGTCATTCGCCTGAGCTGAGCTGGGTGGGATTCGAACCAGAGATCTTTGGTTTGACAGGCAGAAGCTTTACTAGACCGAAAGCTTCAGTCTCTATAATCGTCGGTTGTTCCACTGAGACTACGTCTGGCTCCACTAGACCTCCGGTTATAGAGACAGAACGATCGCCTATGCCAGCCTATGTTGAACTTATTCCGCTAGATTTTAGCCGCTAGGCCCCTCCCACAAACTTGCCACGGCCGTATTGTTATGCCCCCAAAATCCCCCAAAATGTCATTTTACCTTGTTCATTTCCAATTTTAAATTAGGCCTAGGCTATAATACATCGGTTCCACTTACTAACTTCATTGATATAATCCGTTTAATGGTCCCTTTTAAGGAAATTATCGGTCAAAATCGACATCCATGTTGAAAATCTTGCAAGCCGTGTTTAACTCTCGCTGCCGCCAATCTCATCCTTTCTAGTCTACGCCGAAGGCAAAATGATTATGAAGGAAAAACTGTGATAACGCCATTACGAACGTGTAGATGGCGCACAGTTTTTCCTTCATAATCATTTTGCCTTCGGCGTAGACTAGAAGGGATGAGATTGACGGCAGCGAGAGTTAAACACGGCTTGCAAGATTTCAACATGGATGTCGATTTTGACCGATAATTTCCTTAAAAGGGACCATTAAACGGATTATATCAATGAAGTTAGTAAGTGGAACCGATGTATTATAGCCTAGGCCTAATTTAAAATTGGAAATGAACGAGGTAAAATGACATTTTGGGGGATTTTGGGGGCATAACAATACGGCCGTGGCAAGTTTGTGGGAGGGGCCTAGCGGCTAAAATCTAGCGGAATAAGTTCAACACAGGCTGGCATAGGCAGTCGTTCAGTCTCTATAACCGGAGGTCTAGTGGAGCCAGACGTAGTCTCAGTGGAACAACCGACGATTATAGAGACTGAAGCTTTCGGTCTAAAGCTTTACCATTACCATAAACCTGGGCTAGGACCAGGCTTCCTTGAATACCTTGAATACCAAAGCTTCTGGAAGAAAGCCGTCTCCAGCTGCAAAGCTTCCAGGTCTAACTTCAAGGGGGGGGGGGGATGTCCCAGCTTCCGTCTAATTAATTGCATTAAATATTAAATTAACATCTTTTAAAAATAAAAATAATAATAATATTAGTCTAATAGGGTCTAACAATACTAGTTAGATCTACTACTCAATACTTTTTAGGCTACTTATAATAATAATAATAATAATATAGGCCTAGTCTTCTTCTTTACTCAGATGAGGAGCTAGGACAAGGAGTGGAGAAGCTAGGGAGAGCTGTAAAGCCCCTGAATGTGTGAATTCATAAATGACAATTGACATAATTACATGTAATGGTAATGATGTGATCCTAGATTTACCTGGGCTTTGGACTGGAAACTAAGTCAAGTTATATTTAAGGTTTACCAGGCAGTAATAAGTAATAAGCTTTGAGTTTTGTATAGCCCTGGCCCCTGCTTGAGTCCTTCCTTCTGTTCTGATCTCAGCCTCAGGAAAGATCTCCACAAACGTACACTTGTGGTACCGGTATTCCAAGTTCTTTTGATCTGAGCTCTCTAGCTCTAGGTCCCCCGAGCTCACCCGCCTGCTGATCCTGTTGCTTCGCTGGGCTGCAACAGGGGTACGGTGCGCACAAAGAGACCATAAAGTCTAAATCCAACTCGACCTCATAACATATCGCCCGGCCATATCCATCTTCGATATCACGAAACTCTCTTTGCAATGACGACCTTCGTCATTGCCTTGTTTTCGTTCACATTCTGCCCCATAAATATTCTTCTTAGTATCGTCAGGAAATCGCATTCGTTTTGCACGTAGTGCTTGTTATTCCTAGTTAGGTGCTTTCCCCATGTCCATTTCCTTTCAAATTTCGTAGGCATCATCTCTAGCATCTCATCCAGGTCACTACTTTCTTCGATTTTCGAAATCACTCATGCATAACCGTCCAGGCGCCATTTTGTCCGTTTCTGGTCCATTTTAAGGCCTTTCTTTCTTCCTTCCCATCTCCACTATCCTAGATCCTACAAACTTCTAACAAATTCCTCTAGATAGTCTAAGAGATGTTCTTTTATCTGCGACGTATAACCTGACCTTCAAAATGCCATCTTCGTACTCAAAACTGAAATCTGAAACCGACTCCGTCAAAAATCTCTCAAGTTCTTGAAAAATTGACCCCTAAATAATCTAAAACTGCCTTAACTTTCTCATATGAATTCTGTTTTGTATTTAAATCTCACAGTATCTTTATCTCATAATTGCACATAGCCATGCCAAATTTCACGCTCCAATGGCTATACAAAACATAAATAGCGCCCTCTAAAGTTCTGGTAATTGGCTTTCTTTCTGTGGCCGTATCTCCATTATGGCTTGGCAAATCCGTACCCTTTTTTGGATTTAGATACTTGAAGATATGCCCTTTCCAGCCATATACAAAATTATATACCCTAACACTGACCGACTTTGCGAAAAATGCCCTCCAAATTCGCCATTTTCAAGAAAATTGAGAAATAACTTCAACTTGCTCTAAATTAGCGATCGTTATACCTACATCAATGAAACTTGGCACACATATGTATCCATATACGTGACAACTGTCTGTCAAGTTTAATAAGTTGTAATGCCCTCGTCGCAAAGTTATCGCCAAAAATGATGAATTTACTATGCATTACGTTATAGCGCGTTAAATGCGTGCAATACATTTGGCGGAGATAACAATAGTGTCAAACTGACCGCAATGAAGTGCCCTTTCGCATGATACCAAGTACAGTATATGTTCACACAGAAAATTGTGAGTAAATCGCATTTTAACAAAGGTCACTACACGAATTCCGCCCGAATCTAACACGTATCGGCTATGACGTCATTTTTTCAGACTGCTTTTCGCCCCCTAAATGTCCTTTTTTTTCCTTGAAAATTTGCAGTGGCATGCCGAGTTCCAATACGCAGGGCACCTCTTGGCCGGATTTTCGAAATTGGTCAAGGGGGCCATTCAAGACGCCATTTTGTTCTATAAATCTATTTTACATCACGTGTTTCGATAGGATTATCATAGATAAAAAGAGAGTAGTTTACAATAACAACCATGAAATTCTCTTTCTAATGATACCAAATACGGCCTATAAAGAGACATAAAGAGAGAGAGAAAAAACAATTTAACTCCGGTCATAATACAGATCCTGTACGTTTTCCGCATTGTCTATGGGGCATATCGGGTTCACGCTTTTGGCCCCCAGAACGATGTTTATTGCAATGACGAACATGCACCAAATCCCCTTGGTTTTTGCACGCAGTGTTTAGTAACTCTTTCTAGGTTCTTTCCCCTATCCCAATTTCTTACAAACTTCGTAGGCGTAGTCATTACCATGCCATCAAGGTCACTCTTGAGGCCTTTCTTTCGCCCTACCTATCTCCAATATCACAGAAGCTACAGACTTCGAACAAATTGCTCTGGATAGTCCGAGAGAAGCTCTTTCGTTTGACACGTAGAAACATGGCGTCATTGCACGCACATCGTTGTGACACGATTGCATTTCTAGTTGCAATGACGAACCTTCGTCATTGCCTTGTTTTCGTTCACATTCTGCCCCATTAATATACTTATCCTCTTCCTTATCGTCCGGAAATCCTATTCGTTTTGCACGTAGTGCTTGTTATTCCTAGTTAGGTACTTTCCTCAAGTTCTTTTCCTTTCAAATTTCGTAGGCGTAATCTCTGATATCTCATCAAGGTCACTACTTTCTTCGATTTTCGAAATCACTCATGCATAACCATCCAGGCGCTATTTTGTCCGTTTCTGGTCCATTTTAAGGCCTTTCTTCATTCCTTCCTATCTCCACTATCCTAGATCCTACAAACTTCTAACAAATTCCTTTAGATAGTCTAAGAGATGTTCTTTCATCTGCGACGTATAACTTGACCTTCAAAATGCCATCTTCATAGTCAAAATTCAAATCTGAAACCGACTCCGTCAACAATCTCTCAAATTCTTGAAAACTAGACCCCTACAAATCTAAAAATTGCAATAACTTTCTTTAACCAATTCCGTTCCGTCTCATCTTCTCGCAGTATCTTTGTCTCATAATTGCACATAGCCATGCCAAATTTCACGCTCCAATAGCTTTGCACTACATAACTAGCGCCCTCTAAAGTTCTGGGAATTGGCTTTCTTTCTGTGGCCGTATCTCCATTATGGCTTGGCAGATCCGTACCCTTTTTTGGATTTAGATACTTGAGGATATGCCCTTTCCAGCCATATACAAAATTATATACCCTAACACTGACCGACTTTGAGAAAAATGCCCTCCAAATTCGCCATTTTCAAGAAAATTCCAAAATAACTTCAACTTGCTCTAAAATGGCGATCTTTGTACCAACGTCAATGAAATTAGGCAGACATATGTATCCATATACGTGACAACTGTCTGCCAAGTTTGGTAAAATTCGAACGTGTCAGCGCAAAGTTATCGTCAAAAATGATGAATTTACTATGCATTACGTAATAGCGCGTTTAATGCGTGCAATACATTGCGCGAAGATAACAATGGTGTCAAACTGACCGCAATAAAGTGCCCTTTCGAATGATACCAAGTATAGTATATTTTCACACAGAAAATTGTGAATAAATCGCATTTAAACAAAGGTCACTACACGAATTCTGCCGAGTTTCGCCTGAATCTAACACGTATCGGATATGACGTCATTTTTTGAGACTGCTTTTCGCCCCTTAAACGTCATTTTTTTTTCCTTGAAAATTTGCAGTGACATGCCGAGTTCTAATACGCAGGGCACCTCTTGGCCGGATTTTTAAAATTGGTCAATGGGGCCATTTAAGACGCCATTTTGTCCTATACATCTATTTTACATCACGTGTTTCGATAGGATTATCATAGAAAAAAAGAGAGTGGTTTACAATAACAACCATGAAATTCTCTTTCTAATGATACCAAATACGGCCCATAAAGAGACGTAAAGAGAGAGAGAAAAAACAATTTAACTCCGGCCATAATACAGATCCTGCACGTTTTCCGCCCATTCATTACACGCATTGTCTATGGGGCATATCGGGTTCACGCTTTTGGCCCCCAGAACGAACTTGATTGCAATGTCAAACATGCACCAAATCCCATTGGTTTGTGCACGCAGTGCTTGCGAGCCCTTTCTAGGTTCTTTCCCCTATCCCAATTTCTTTCAAACTTCGTAGGCATAGTACCATCCCATCAAGGTCACTGTTGATGCCTTTCTTTCGCCCTACCTATCTCCAATATCACAGAAGCTACAGACTTCGTGCAAATTGCTCTGGATAGTCCGAGAGAAGCTCTTTCGTTTGACACGTAGAAACACGGCGTCATTGCACGCACATCGTTCTGACACGATTGCATTTCTAGTGTTTAATTTGTTTCCATTTTACAAATAAATATGGAGAAGAAAAAAAAAGTAGTAATGAAGCTTCTAATAAAACACAGGCTAAAAATGATAGAGTATAATTTTTTTTTTTGAAAATCAATTACCGGTAAATACCACTTGTTTGAGAGCTACTTTCTCATTTCCAGGCACGTATCCAGAGTTTGATGTTTGTGGGGGGGGGGGGCACATACATGTAAGCATGGAGATATAAGAGTTTAAACTCTCACCTCCCTGGTATCAGCAAGATTTTCTGCAAGAATATGGAAATATACGTGGAGGCTTATCAGAACTTCCGTATACTAGAGTATTATAATTTATGACTATATACAAGCCGATGGAATTTGAATTATCTACTTGTTATTCCTGCATGTGATTTCTAAATAATTAGGAAAATTTACTTTTCAGGGTTGTAGTTGTACAGGCCTAGATGTATTTCTTTGTTATGTTTTTTTGTAACTCATAAATAGTCTAGTCTATATGAATCAAATACGTTCTCTTTCGTTCTTGTCTCCTTAGATAAAGATTAATGTAATCTTGATCTTCGAAGTAGTTGCTACAACCGGCCGTGTCAGACACGTTGCCCCGGGGTGCAAGATAGGACTCTTGTAGCATGCCCCCATTTAAAACAATTATACAATAACAGTTAACATTACATTTAATTAATAGTGTGAAACTATTAGAATTACTCTCATGTTCTGAAATATATAGATTGTGCCTACGTACAGTTTTATGGTATACCGTTTAAAGGGGGTGGATCGCCAGTTTCCATGTGCAGAAGGCCATAATTCGCTGACACCAGACTTGGTGGAAATACCATTAATGGGGGTACAAATTTGCACACAGCAAACCCATAGTCCAGTCAAGAATTACCCCTAATCTCTCGGAGAGCTCGAGAGTCTTCGGGCAATTCAAAGCATTACATAAGGTCCAATGGTCATAAAACTCAAGGCTAACCCTGGTGATTGACAACACCTGTTATTGGGTAAACACCCGAACGGTGTCGAATTCCCCATGAGAGCCGACTACTCAGTGACTAAAGTACTGAGTTTAATGTGGACGGGTTGTTTGAAAATATAATACCCGGCGTGTACGTTAGCGGCTAGCCGTTGCGACAATTCTTGCTGAAAATATTTGTTTTAGTTGGGGGTAATTATGCATTTTCTGTGGAAAAACCTGGTTAGATCTGGTTCTGTCGTTACACCCTATCTTAGAAGAAGCTTCAGTGAGAATCTCCCAGTGCTTACTTTGTATACCAAGGTATGATTTTGTCTTTATTTCATGATATGATAACATCATGATAATTGACCGTAACTCCAGGGAGCTCCTCCCCTGCCCTGGCCCTGGGCCCAGAAGGCGTCCGACCCCTTCGCGCCTTCGGCGGCTCCTGTAGGCTGTAGAATACCGGCGGGGGGGGGGGGGGGGGGGGGGGTAGCTTGGTGGACCTGGGGTGGTATTCTGAACATTGTTGTAAGTTTTGTGTTATCTTTTGTTGTATCTTCCAGAGATAACACAGCGCTAATATTGTTGTAAGTTGGTATTCTGAACATCATTTTATCCCTGTGTTATCTCTTGAAGGACCGCCTCTATCTTATCTTTGACCGCTGTTGACACGCCCATTTTTATGGACCCTACCAATCAAAATCTGTTTTATATAAGCATGATAAGTAGGTCATCCAATAGAAATACTTTATGCCATATCTAAAGATGCGCCTAGCGCATACTAATCTTGGGCGTAATTAGTTATTTGAGCACTTATTACGCGCGTCATCATTATGCGCTGTTGAATGTGGATCATGAAGACAAATCACGCTTTCACTATATTGGTTAAGATGAGAGCATTAAAATAGTCCTATCCTAGCATGTAATATCTTAGAAAGTTCTCATCTGTGATGTTTCCGGTCAACACACAATCTTCTTCTAACTCGTCTATTGGCACGAAGTTGGTTCTGGGCAAAAAATATTGCCGCCATTATATCACCACGAAAGATACAACAACCCCCTACCTGTTGTAAATATTGTTGTAAAAACCATGCGAGATAAGATAAGATGAAAGATACAACAACTTTCAGAATACCAATTATCTCGACATATTATCTCCCGTGCGCATATGCAAATGAGGATTAAATGCCACTTTATTAATAATACGCACAATATACAAGCGCACCAAAGTATGAGCGCAGGCGCGGCCAATAAGATGAGAGAAAAGATACAACAAAAGATAACATAAAAGTTACAACAACGTTCAGAATACCAACTTTATCTTATCTTCAAAGATACAACAATATTAGAGATAACACAGGGTTCAGAATACCGCCCCTGGGGAGGATTTCACCCTCCTTATTTTCACTAACTAATGTCGTTTTTTTAAAAAAGAAACTGAGTTTGAGGGGCGCAGCCATGGCACATGACCCGATTGCTTGCCTAGGGTCTAGACTATTAATAAATAATGTAATAGCACTCGAATGGACGTAAATTGCGGTTAACACACACACACACACGCACATAGTTTGCAAGAATCTTCAGTCAATATTGAAGGAGGCAGACTTAATCAGAAGAGGAAGAAGAACACACCGACACAGACAAAATTAGGAAATGCCCCTTTCTCATATTATTTTGAAAGTTCCATGTTGTAGTAGTAGTTTGTACCCGTTTCTTTGTAAATATTTACAAGCTCAGGTATAAGATGGAGGAAGATTAGCGCTAGCTACTGCACTGTCACGAACTGTCTGCACTCTGCAGTCGATTATTAAGGAAGGCTCCAATAGATGGCGCTGCAACAATTTCTGAAGCCAGGGAATTCCAACTCCTTACTGTTCTTGGAAAGAATGAATGCCGATGCGATTCAGTTCTTGAATATGGCACTTGATAGGAATGGGTTGGGTGGCTCTCTTCATCGACTGTGTGACTTGTGTGATATAGACCTGTGCCGGAAGATGAGCGAGATAGTTGTGTATTTTATACATCATTGTTAGTCTGTCATTTTCTCTGCGCTGTTGTAGAGAGGTCTAATCAAGTTCTTTCAGCATACTGCTGACACTTGAGGTATTATGGTAACGATTCAGAGTGAATCTTGCAGCTCTTCTCTGCACCATTTCAACTTTGTGAATGAGGTTCTTGGAAGCTGGGTCCCAACGGAGGGAGCATACCAGTACTCTACGATATTTGTTCAAAAAAAAGAGAAAAAAAACAGATACAAGATTGACGACTGGAACTCTCTGCCTGAAGTAGTAGTTCAGGCTCCCACCATAGACACCTTCAAAACCAGGCTTGATCGTTGCTGGAAGGAACAGTGTCATATCTCTCAATACTCGAACTGATTTCTTTAGTTTCTTTGCTCCTGGGACATTGTACATGGTACATTGTCCAGTCAAGGTAAAGTAATTGGGAAATCACTTTGCTTCATCTATTGTTTGCTTTGCATCATTGATTTGAAGAGTTCAAATGAAAATGAAAGAGCAAAAATTAACAGAATGATCTATCATTGTAAATTGAGATTTCTTATGTGTCTTTTTCAGGAGCAATGTTCACTATGTGATGATGCCAAAGAAATCTTACAGAAATTCTCAAAGAAGGTAAAGAAAATGATGATAATTTTCTGTTACACATGTAGAAAAAGATATTTGATTGCAGAATGATTTACCTCTTTCTATATACAGAAATTAATATATATATGTATTTGTACACAATGTTCATGAACTATATCATGCAATGAAGCTGAAAAGATGTGACAATGTGTAAATTTGATGATTGACTTTTCATCCATATTTCTCTCTTTCGTAGTTTTTATTCATAATTGCCTTGGATAGCATTTAAACTCTTTCTTTGTTTGCTTTATTTTATTTGAGGAAAAACAAGAAGCTTTGATCAATCATAAATTTGCAACTCTATCTGCATTTGTGCTCAGAACTAATGAAACATAGTCATATAGCTTTAGAGAAATTCATGCATGAACACTGTATGCACTTTAAAAAAAGTTTGTGTTTTTCTCTCTGTGTGGAATTGCCAATCATTGATTAGAGAAATAGTGTGATACAGTGATAGCTAGTGCCTAAGAGAGAACAAAATATTCCAGTGATATAAAAAAAGATTGAAATATTCTAATTGTTTTGTTATGACTTCATGTTTATTTTCAGTTTGTTCTGGAAGAGGTGGATATAACCGCACCAGGAAATGAGGAATGGAAACAACTGTACCAGTATGACATCCCCGTCTTTCACTTCAATGGCAAATACCTCATGAGGCATCGAGTTGATGAAAAACTGTTCCAGAAAAAGCTTGAAGAGAAATCCATTATATGAGCAAGTATTGTGCTACAAGATTTTAGGGTATTTTACATGTACCTCAAATATGGCTGCTCATGAAGCTCTCTTTAGTTCACCCATGAAGTTCTTCTCCTCACAACTACTGTGTTTTATCAAACAGCAGGTATGCCGTAGATTGTGGCATTTCTCACCTAGTTCCATCCAAAACTGCTCCTCTCAAATACATTGGAGGACTTGCTCAAGTATTCTTCATGGTGTGCCTCATCAACAGGAGAGGACTGTTTCAGAGCAACATGAAGAGATAAAGCTTCATAATGATGATGATAATTCAGATTCAAGACCTGTACAAAAGTGTCGCATCCTAACTGCTACTCAAACCACCACTGGATTAGATAGAATCAAGATTGATAAAGAGGAGAGTGAATGCTTGTGCAATAATGCAGAAAGGACCATAAAGATGTCAAGAGGTCATGAAAGCATAAGAAATACAGATCCTTCCTCCTACCAATCAGAACAAGTGTATTCATCAGAAACAGAGCTCCCCAGCTCAGCCAAACCTAGGAGGCCTGTGAACATCTATGCAGATGCCTCAGGTCGCTACGGCCTTGGCTGTGTGTGGGATAAGAAGTGGATCGTAAGCCAATGGGAAGATGAGTGGCTGTCCAACAACTACCAGTGCATGGAACTCCTGGAGATGAAGGCCATCCTGGTGGCTATCCTGACCTGGGGTCACGACTGGGCTGGATCCCTCGTACGAATCCACTGCGACAACACAATGGTGGTCGGATACTTCAATCACAAGGCGCCTCGACTGCATCGCCAGGTTTCAAAGGCCTATGAGTCTATCAAACTTGCTGCAGCAGAGCTCGGTTTTGAACTGGTCGTGGAGCAGGCCAACAAGTCTCATGTTCAGTTTCAAGGACCAGATAGCTTGTCCAAACTGGATTTCTGCAGGTTTCATAAGCTGCTTCCATACATGAACAGTGTGCCTGATTTTCCACCAAGTGATCTGGAGTTCTTGCTGCCAAATGTGTGGGAAAATGTATGTGTGTCTGTCAAACTTAGAAGTCAGGACTGTCTAATAGGCTGCAGATGAATAACAAAAAGACTTTTTCTTTTTGATATGAATTTGTTAAGATTAAGGATGAAATCTGATATATTTTTGCATTGCAATGAATTAAAATGTGGTTGCCACAGTATGTCCAAACAAAACAAATAGTGTTTGTTTCTTATTCTTAAAGGATGACTACCTTATCTTGTTCAGATACAGCGAGGTAAACATCTACAAGAAATCTGCCGTTGTTCATTTTTACGTGTAAATGAATTGCAACTGCGCGCAACACAGGACTTGAGTGTATTCATTGAGCTCTGTGTTATAAGATACAGAAATGTGATGTATTACTTTTTACGTTATCATAAAAAAAATGTCTTTGTTTTGCCGCGTGATATCTGAACGAAGCTCAAGTCTGCATTATGAAGAGCCAAGTGTCATGCTCTGTACTTCGTACAAATTATTGTAATGATGTGACCGAATGAACAAATGAGATGCATGTAAATCCAGTCATGATATGAAAATGATATATTGGTTTCTCGTTGACATGATTTTGTCTGTTCATTTAGTTATGGAAAGATAGTCATTTGTATGGGATGACATGGGATAAGAGGTTGAAATTTGGTGCTTTAATAAATCGGTGGACTAACTCTAGCCATTGAAACCTAGACCAAAGTTAGAACGCTGTCATGAATACCGGCCGTTGAATTTTTTTTAATTTAGCAGACATTTAATAGTGCTTTAAGAGTATAAAATCAGATGTGTGAAATTGATTTAAACATATGCTCTAACTGCTTCTTGTTTATATCATATTGTATTTACCTGGCAAGCTGTTGTGATACAGAATGATACAAGTATGTTTGTTTGGTGCTTTTGGACTGTTCATTCAGGGCGCTAGGGTTCATATGAGGAGTCCTGTGTGTAAGCCGTTTGGTTGCATTTGAAAAAAAAGGGGGAAGGAAATTCTGGCAGAAAAATAAGAAAGAAGATGAGATGTAACAAAAGCTTTGGGAGAGACGAGAGGGAGGGGGGGGGGGGGGGAGAGAGGAGGGGGGGGGGAGAGAAAGAGAAAGAGAAAATAAAGAGATGTACAACAAGAGTCTCTCTCTCTCTATGATTAATTAATCTATTTCCTTTCTCACCACTCTTCTGAACAGTTGATTCCTTTGATTATAACCATCCCTCCCTACCAAATCACTAAAACTCCTCTTTCACTCTCTCTTCCCCTCTCTTCCCCTCTCTCTCTCATTCTTGGTACTACATGTTTTTCATGTTCTTTTGTCTGTAATTCTGGCAGTAATTATATTTTTCCAATCTGAAACTATTGCAGTCTGTGAACGTTGTTGGGTTTACATCAGGTGTATCTTACATGCAGCAAAACAAAAAAATAGAGACAAAGTTCCTGAATAATTGCATTGACCATAATTCTAATTTTTATTTCATAATTTAATAATATGATAACAACATATATACAAATTTGATTTGAATGGTACCGTACGACTGGTTTCTTACTTTTTGTTAATGTAATACATTATTTTTTTTAAAGCAGATAATCCTAAAAGATGAAGCGTAAGATCAGAGTGGGTAAAAATGTAGATGTAGAATGGGAAACGTTTTGACAGTTTATAGAAGACAGGTAATAAAGCGTACATGTTTTCAAAATTTACATGCTAAATTAGAAAGCATGGATCATTTTAATGGTACATGCTGCAAAAAGCAGCAATTCAAGACATAAATATATTCTGATCTAGACCAATAAAACACATCTACCCGGTACATAGTTTTTAAAAATGACATGCCTAAGGCATCTATCGAATTATAAACAGCACTTTAAAAGTAATGTACAGCAAGAAAAATACAATTTCAGACTAGTTTCTATATTTTCATAATTACACAAGGCAAAGGAAATGTGATGCTAATTCAATATTCAATCTATCTAAAAGTAGAATTAAAATCATTCAACTATTCCTTTTCAAAATAAATTGAAGAATATTTGGTGTAATAGAGCAGCCAGAAGATAGAACATGTACAGTATGACAAAAATCAGCCTTAGATATGGTCTATTTCATGTTTTCAACAATAATATATACACACTTGAGAATATACATGAGCAAAAATGATTTCACAAAATCATATTTTTGACCATTGTTTTGAAGAAAAAAAATCACCTCTCTCCTGAGTAGACTAGTAGAATATACAAGTAAATGCAAACTGTTCCTGAAATAAAGATATGAGTATAAACATTGTGTGTTCATGAGTCGTCCATCCACTGTATAATTATTTAGAGTAAAACTATATGTGCAAAATGATCATACTCTCTTTGAAGTACTTGTACTTCACACTTTAATACATGATAATAGAGCATTGGCATAAGTGCGATTTTATCAGATAACTTGCAAAATATACATATTACAATTGACCTTTGAGTCTTGGTAAACCTTGATACCCATCCACAAGAGATTAACAATCCAGAATTTAGAAAATAAATCTGCATGCAGGGTGCAACTTAAAGGGGTGCACCTCCTTGTATATGACCATGGTACTTAAAATGGTGGCAGTTCAACAACAAAAAATGCGATAAAACTCTTCAAATACACCAAGTTCAGAATATATTACAGCAAAACTGATTTAAAACCCAAATTACCATTCAAAACCGTTGTGATTTACAAGATTGCTATAAAAACAATTGCAATTTACAGCTGATCATACATGATATTATAAAAACATTTGTCACTACATCCAGTTAAGGGAAGTCTTAAAGTTGAGTAATAATTGAAGATGTGTAAAGTGACTTCATAGTACCTAATATTTTCATGTTAAAATTACTGTATTTATTTAATCAAGTAGAAATAGTCTTTAAAAATATCACCCATTCATCAGAACAAAATAAAAACATGGAGGACAAAACAATGCCCAGAGCTATCTGCCGACAGATATTATTTGCGATTGCCCCATTGAAGCATGGCTTTGATCCTAGCTATTTCCATCCCATTCAATACACCTCTCTTGGTTACAAGCCAAACAAATCACTATGCCTAGAGACGTCACATACTTCATAATCATTAATATCTCTTTCATTGCAAATCACAAAAGTGTTATCTCGCAGTAATTGTCACTGTTTGGTAATCGATGTTCAATCATAATCAACAGGTGCAATCAAACATTGACTGCCTGCTATTGATTCTATGTTGCCATGGCTACAAATAGCCGATTATCTATTGACTTTGCCGTATGAAGAATATATTGGTGTCAAATTTTGTTTCATCCGGGTTTCTTTCACCTAAGTTTATCTAGCTACCATTTCAGGTTCTATAAAGTTACCTATTTTCATACTTGAACTTTTGTTTAATAGAAAGTCTATAAAGTTGACCCCACTGTATTTTCATACCTGAACTATTGTTAAAAGAATAAATAACTACTTGTATCATTCAGCATACAACTGATGTGCAATTGATCGATGGCAAACAATTATCAAGCAGATTCTTTGTTATTTAATACATGTGTAAGTCTGTAGATTTATGTTTACTTTGTACATTTCAATTATGGTATTAAAATTTCTGTCATATCAACCCACTTCATCCCTAGCTCTTAGCTAATTGAAAGAAGCACTTTCAAACTTGTTAAACTGCCATGAGACTTTTTTTCTTTCAATGCTCCAATATACATTCTTTCTACAATAATTCTTTAAAAGAAATATTTTTTGGTCTGTACAAGCTTTGGCAACATGAAAATATGATTAAATTATATTACATACTTATTTTCTTTTTGTGAGAACTTTTAGCATCAGCATCATGCCAGCACTTGCTGATCAATGTTGAGTTGCTCGGGTGGTGTTCTCTGCATTCTCTGCATCGATCCATTCCTCTGATTCTTCACCCATACCTGATGGCCCCTGGTATCCTCTTCAGTATACTGGAAACCACTCTTCTTCAGATCTACTGCTGGGCACGGAGAGAAGGCCTTGGGGATGTAGTCGGCCTTGTAGTTGGTACGATCGTCAAAGGGTTCCGAGCTCTGCTTTGCGAGGTTGTCAGGAGCCATGCTCCTTGCAGGCTGTGCATGTTTGGCCAGGTAGTTTGTCTGGTAATGAGATGCACCCTCAAACGGAACAGATGGTCTCTCGTACGGGCGCTGGGTCGGGTCTCCTCTCTTTGTTGGTGAAGAATTCCACTTCTTGAAGTCTTGATTGTACTGGGTTCTGTCGTCAAAGGGGACGTTTTGTCCGTGGCGACCTTCTTGTGGACGGACTGCGACGGCTGGTTGGACCTTGTGCGCAGGGAATGCCAGGGTGTGGGTGGTTTTCAAGTCTATGTTGCCACCTGGTTTCGACCATGCCTCATGGACATGTTGGTACGGACGTTCCACATCCCACTTCTGGTAGGACTGCCTGAACGTAGTGTTGTCGTCAAATGGCTGATCGGACCTGAGCGGCGTGTTGCTTGGTTTGCAGCTGTCCGGGACAAAACCTTGCTTGGCATTGAAGTCCCTCTGGAACGTTGTTAAGCCTTCAAACTTGCTAGGATTCTTCTTGTACTGGGGCTTGGCAGGAACAAACTTGGGTTGCGCTGCATGAGGAATATAAGTCATACGATGTGATGTCTTGTCGTCAAAAGGAGTGTCTGAAACCTTTGCCTCATCGTTTGGTCTCATGCTCTGTCTCATTGTGCCCTTCTTAGCAGGAAAGTCCCTTGTGAATGTTGAGAGACCATCAAAAGCTGCACTGGGTGGGATATAAGCATGGTGATCCTTCAGTTGCTCCTTTGCAGGTAGGCTCCATCTCCTGTAGTCATCTGTGATACAAAAACACAACAGGAAAAAAGGCTGTTTAATATATGACACTTGCCACAATTAAGCCAGATTCATACTGTTTTATGAAGATCAAGTCATAGAAGTCATTTGAAATACCAATTTACATCATACTTGCATTAAAATGTGAAAAAAAAGGAAACATTGATTATACCAAAGAGAAACTTTTCCTAGCTAGACCTTAACATTTAATCTGCTGATAGTCAATAAGGACTCTTTCGAAGTATATTAGTTAAAGCTCAGCAGATGATCTGATATACTTTTGTTTAAATGTGAATACTCTGCTCTCTAATAACAGGAACTTGAAATAAATTAACTTAATCAACAAATGACAATATCTTTAATACAAACATCAAAGTCAAGTTTAAATAACTTACCAACATATGTTGGGGTCCCTTTGAATGCGCCTGGAGATACGGCCCTGGTTTGGTTGCCACGGAAACTCTTGGCAGGCTGGGCTTTACGTTCAGGGTAGTCTTTCGTGTATGAGGTCAAGTGGTCTATATGACCCTCCTGGGGTTTGAACTGTTCTGGGACATGCATGGCAGGTCTGCCTACTTCATATGGGATATAGTCAAGCCTGAAGGAATACAGAGAATGAACATTAGAGTTTAAATCAAAATATTGTCAAAATGGGTAAAAGCAAAAAAGAAAAAAACAGATTTTCAACCATTAAATATTATTGATATACTTCAAAGGGACATTGAATTTGAGAATGAATTGGCTGTTACAATTCTCGAAATCACAATTTAATAATTGTTCAGTTATTTTAAGGTATTTACATGCAAGAGCACAACATTTAAAAATGATACATAATAATACCGAAATTGTTATTGTAGCTTCTTTTCTTAAAGCAGATCATACAAATCACTTACAAAAACATAAATAATACAAATATAAGAGATGGGGATTGCCAGTTACAACCTTAAACAACAACAATACCCCATTAAATATCACATAACAATCATTTCATTTGAAAATTTATAGTTACCTGTTTGTGGTGGCATCAGAGATAGGAACGTCACTCTTTAACATTTGGGCCTTCGGCTTGAAGTTATCCCGCATTCCATTGCCGGGATATGCTTTGTACTTGTTAGAGTACTCTGAGATGGTGCACGGTCCATTGGCCTTGGCTGGCCCCTTCGGTCGATGAGGACAACGATGTCGTCTAAAGAAGAAAAACAAAACAAAATAACATCGTAACTTTGTAAACAAAGAGTATCACATCAATGGATCATATATTAAGAATAATTAAAAATAATTGTTGCATGGAAGGCATTTTTCTTTTCCAGCAATGAAGCAGAACTATTTCATTCCTTTAATTAAAACATCGCAAAAAATGCTCTTCTAATTCATCGCCCCATTTCACTACATCTTACAGATATAAAATAAATACCTTCCTATATCTGTATACATGTTCATTCTGATTCAGATTAATTTTATTGGTCCATTTGGAAATTCAGTTGTTGGAATTAATGAATGAAATGTTAATGAAATGATGCAACTGAACCGCATAATGTCTGGCATTTATAAAGTATCAATGACAATCTTATTAGAATTGAATTTTTAATAGTAAAAATTATCATTCCTAATGGCAATAAAGCATTACAAACTACTGAACTTATATGGAACGTGATTCCCATTTGATGTAAATTAAAAAAGGTCTATTCTCTCTCCAAGGATTTCCAAAAATGTGGCAGCTGATTTTTATCAAAACCAATAATCAAACTGAATAGCATTATTTACACTTTACTTGTAAAAATCAATTAGAGGAAACTTATTATCTTGCTTCTTAGAATAATGCATACTCCTATTAAGCACCAGGATTATACAAGTGGAATAGCCTAGATACTAAATACACAGCATTATGAATTTCACATCTATTTCTCAATGCATTGCGATAAGAAATCGCAAATATTAAACGCAATTATCTGCCAATTCATTAGCCTCTTTAATGAAGACTATTCCCATCTATCGCTTTCACTTCCATGGTTACATTGATACACAGGCTCCCGTCCACCGCGCACTTGTTTACCGTCACTATGGAGATGGTATTGTTTCCCTATCCTTGACTGTTCAACCACACATGCATGCTGCTCAACATGTCTGACAGTTTTCTCGGTTAATTAATTTTTACACCTTCTCCAAACTTGAAACCGATTTGAATGACTCAATTACATTTCCTCACCACATTAAAGGTAAAATCTTATTGTGATCTTAAATTGCATGAAGTCAAATTTCGCCAAAAAGGTGTCATTTTTTTATTATTATAAATTATTTTGTTAAATGATTTGTCATCCTTAGTAGAGGTATATTAATGTATATTATGTAATTAAGATTTTTGAATCCTTGTGAAATTTGCAAAAATATAACACATTAAAAAACATGGTTATTAAACAATTTCAAGTTCAGAGTGCTACAAAACATTGAGGGAACTCAATGTAACAGTAATATTATTAGGTGATATATTTCTATTATGATTAATACTATCATAATCAATTGTATCATTTGTTATTTCTTATTATAAACAATTATCCAGATAATATTTTTTTCAAAAAATGTGTTACCCTAATAACAATATCATTTTTACCTCTTAGGGTGTATAATAAATGAACACATGTCGGGTTACAAATATATATGTGGGTACTAACTGTAGAATAAAAGCCAATTCAATGCTAAAACTTCCAAAGCGTTATTTCTTAAACATGAAGAATATGACACGTTTAACAGCTAAGAGGATAACCTCGAGTGAGCTATCTTTCGCAAGAGAACAAACTAAAGAGTCTCATGACTGTTTTGGCATTAACTAATTTAAACTTTTCACACAATCTTGCCAGGTCATCTCAGGCAATGATGGGCCGCTAACTCTTTGTTTATCAACCATTAAAGAGATTGACCCTTTAAATACTCCTGCCACGACTAGAGTGTCTATTTAAACAAGAACTATTCAGTCCTTGTATTGTGGCAGTAGAGCTGCAAGTAATCAATGCACAATGGAAACCATAGTCTTGAAATCGATAGTATTGCTATTGTTAGACCCTCCCTTAGAGCTAATTGCGAGAAAGCTAGTGGGTTTTGCCAACAATGGTTGGGAACAAGGGAACTGTAGCTCAAGGCAACTGGCCAGTTGGGCATGAACCCAAACATGCTCCTTCAGCCTAGCCATGCCACCCCACCCCTCCTAAAATCAATTAAGCAGGTGCTAAAGCAGGCTACTTTTTTTTGGTTAATAGTTATGAAATAATACAACATTTTGTTTTGGGGCACAACATTTTTAAAACAAGTAATTATTGATCATTTTACATGTTCGATTTCATTTTCATATTATATATTTTTTTAAATGGAAGATTTAACTGTTGAATGAAAAGGAATTATTTGTTTCCTCTCTATATTATGGAGATGAGTTGAAAATTTAAACAATTCGTTTTCACTTCTTGCACTGCTGGAAACAGGCATGATTGTGTAATAATTGTGACTTTAGCAATCCGTCATTAAAACCATTAGATTTAGAGAGTTTTTCTTCAACCCCACGCACACATTATCATCTCAAACATATTTCTACTTACAACATACATATCATATTACATTACATACTATTATAATATGATGATTTTATATGCTAGAATAATCATATCCTCTCACACGAATGCTCAAAAAATAAAATAAACAATGGAGATAGTGATTTTTTTTTTTACTATGACAAAACTTTTTACAATTCAGCTCAGATTTTCATAGAGTGCGATACATAAATAAATCACTGATATGTTTACGACAAGAATTAAATAACATACAGCCATACAGTAAGATTAACCTCAGATAGTCAGAAGGGGGATTGAAGAAAAGAGGAATGTTAGAGAGGCATAGAATGAGGGTCAAGGAATCAAAATGATTCATGAACAGAATAGAACAAGTAGGATGGAAAAATATAAATATATTCACCCGCATGTGCAGATCTCGCATATACAACGCTTCGTCATTTTTGGTAGATATATCCCAAAACTGATGTATCAGGATTCTGCAAAAAGAAAACGAAATTCACCCTCGGGAGTCGAGTAAACTTGCAATGATTATTATCCTCCAAGGTTTCAGATTCATATAATTCCAGCAGCGATGACTGTCAAGTTTACATGTACAGTCCTCGAGTCACTGTCACTGCGCTGCGCTCGCATAGCGAAACACAATCGTCGTAGCGAGGGAAAATTTGGTCGCGTTATTTATTACGTTGTCAGGCCAACACTTACTGCCGACTCGATCGTCTGCGTACGCTATCACAACATGACCCCTCTGTCGTTGCCGAACAAACACCTGACCTTCGGAAGTCAGCTACATTATTTCACGGGGGAAAGGACCATCGTTACTGCTTGAGGGATTTAAATGAAAACAAATATTCGTCGGCCTAAAAATAAGGAATAGGATGTCATTAACCATATCAAAATATTAAAAAATCGCAGTCTTCATTTAAAGATTTTTAAAGCAAAATAATTTAGACATAATAAAAAATTAAGTGGTATCGTCCATGCTATACTGAACTTTCGAACTATATTGTAAAAGAAAATTGTATGGTGTCCTCAAACAAGCTACTGTAATACAAATTCAGCTTCATCTCTTCCACGGTTTTGTTTTAATTTCGATTTCTTGGGAAATGTGTCGACGTGAATGTCAAGGCATCTCGTATTAGCGTTATAAAATAATGGGCTAAATAATTAATTCAAATTAGACATCTGGGAGGGAAACGAGCTACTGAATGTACAAAATATCACTTATGAATACATGCAAGACATTTTTACCGCATTTTTACTGCCAGTAATGAATTCGGGAGAGAGAGAGAGAGAGAGAGAGAGAGAGAGAGAGAGAGAGAGAGAGGGGGTGGGAGAGAGAGGGGAGGGTGAAATGGGGAGGGTGAAATAGATATATATATATATATATATATATATTATATAGGCGCTGGGGAGACTAGAGAGTGAAGAATGGAGAAGTCCTAGTTCACCGATCACGGTGATTCGTGACTACTAACAACATCGTGACGAATCGAAGTTGTAATACGGTCACTATTTCACCATAATTATTACCAAACAAAATAGTTAACCATAAGATCATAGGGGATCACTTCGGATGCAAATGAAATACATAATTATTTGTTCGCTTTCTCTCTCTCTCTCTCTCTCTTTCCAGTCTCTCTCTCTCTCTCTCTCTCTCTCTCTCTCTCGGGCTTTCTCCCTCTCTCTCTCTCTCTCCATTTCCCTCTCACTCCCTTCCTCCCTCCACCCAGGCACGTAGCCAGAGTTTGATGTTTGGGGGGAGGGGGGGGGGGCACATACATTAATCGATGGGGGTAAAAAAAAGGGGGTCTTAAAAAGTTCAATCGATCTTGGAAATTTTTTGGAGGCACGTGCCCCCCCCTCCCCCCCCCCCCCCCCCCCCCAGGCTACGTGCCTGCCTCCATCTATATATCTGTACTTCTTGCACTTTCACCGTCATCACTTCTGCCTAATTCTCTTTTTTTCTCTCCAACACAAATATCAGTTACATCACCTTTATCACAATACCATCTCCTCCTGTAATTGTCTCGTACATCTCATATTCACTCCCATCTCCCCAACATGATATTTCTTTATAGAAATCGTTTACTTTTTATAAAGAATCACCACGTCCCCAAGTTAAGCTTTTGTGCAACCCTTCTTCATGATTTTATTTTATGTTAATATTACAAATTTACAATGTAACTACTTTACGTTGATGATGTATTGATAATACGATTTTTTATTTTGGAAAAAGACCATGAAGAGAAACGAATAAATCAAATCAAATCAAATCTGTTTATGGAACTTAATACATTTTAAAAGATTGTCGGGGCCAAAGCAATTTTTTCTTTGATCAATTCAGACACCATGCATGAGTTTATAGATCTACTTGTAAACGTTAGATAAGATAAGATAATAATATTTATTCGTTTTTCTTTCAAATGTCCGAGAGCATAATAACATTAGATCACTATACATTTACAGTGCAAAATAAAGAATTCATGATAAAAACAAAGTGAACCAAAAGAAAAACGAGGAGACCCTGGTAAAAGCAGAGCTTGTAAGTTTTAGGGTCTGGACCAAAATATAAAATGTATTCCCATCAGTCTGGTCAGACTTACTTTGGGAATCTTCTAAAATTGAGATGCACAATTAATTTACCCCCCCCCCCCCCCCCCCCCACCTCCACCGTATACCATCTACATAATATACTGTTAATGAAAATAACATCAAGGAATAATGTAATAAAACAATTTTGTTTCTTTTATCAAATGAAGCTGAAGAGATAAACTACCAATCACTTAAATAGGTAGGCGCCTATACAAACATAGTTTACGATCTTTCGTTACTGAACATGTTGCTAAACTGTGATGCATGTTTTTTTTTATTATTATTCCTTAGAGCACACCATCCATTTCGGAAATAATTTCGTTGCTTGTATTTAGTCGACAACTTCAACCCCTTTAATGTATCGAAAATGGCTTCACTTTTGTGCAGAAAATGTGCTTCTGTTTTCAGAAATGGAGGCTTGAGATACACAACCCTGAATCGTATTCCTATCCTGTTTGAAGATATTTCACTCAGATGTCTTCCTTCAGCAGGGTATGCAAAGAAAGCAGGTAATAATCGATTTGTTTGTTTGTTTTCATCCAAGATATTATGACCCTAGTCCCATCTGTAGGATTATTTGTGATGTTGAATGCTTCAGCGAATCTGATGTTCTGATGTTGGTTTAAAATTATGATGTCGATCGATGAGACCGAGGGTCGATTTTAAATAGATTCTGCTATGTATTGTTATAAAGTATGCTTATAATCTGAGTTGTGTGAAAGGATGTGAAGGAACAGAAATATGAAAATTACAGAAAGAAACTGATTGGAAAAAACCTTTATAAAAGTCAAAATGACCCCCAAAAAAGAGGAGAAGTAAAAAGCTTTTAAAAAAATTCTTTAAAAACAGACTTTATAATTGTATTATTAAAATAAGTACTCTACTAAAAAGACACACTTCAAAAAAAATATGCATGAGCTGAGTCATTGGTGAGAGAAAGAATGCATGAAAGAAGAGGAAGAAAAGAATGGGGAAAGAAGGAGATATATTTTGAATGGAATTTGGGGAAAAGGGAAAAGAAGAAGGGATGGAGGAGAATAACAAGATGCGAAGGAATTAGAATAGAGGAAGAAGAGGAAACATTATAAATGGAGAGGCAACTTGAGTTTTAAGGCTAGACTAAAAGTCAAGACCTACCTTTTCACACAATAGATTCCCAAATGTTTATTCTGTAATTATACAGCTTGTAATTTGTTATGAAGTGTTGTCTATGTACAATTCCACCTTATATTTTGTCTTACTTTTGTGTATTTCCATATATTCCTATTGTCATGTTTATTATGTAAGTTTGAACTATCCAATTTGTGTAAGTTAATTATGTAAAGCATTTAGAAAAAATCAAATGTACTATTGGTACACTATAGCATGTTGAATAATAAATTACTGTCAAATTATGAACATAAGCTCATAATTTGAAGAGCAACAAAATTTCATGATATGAAGAGCACTGCAAAATTCAGATTTTCATACATGGCTCTTTTTAATTTCACAGGAAAAGGTGGTGCCAAGGGTGCTAAAGCTGAGCGTCTCTACGACATCCTTGAAGTGAACACCGATCCCAAGTACCTTGTCACCCATTGTGCGGGGTCAAACTACTTCAAGGAAGGCGCAGATGTCAAACTGAAAGCTGACGAGGAATACCCGGACTGGTTATGGAGTTTGAACACTGGAAAGGTCAAGGAGCTGAATGAGTTGGAGCAGGATACACCGCAGTATTGGAGGAGATTGAGGAAGATGCATATGAAAAGGAACAATAGACTTGCCAAGGGAGAGAAATTCTAGACCCGAACTGTCTCAAATTTGGCATTTTCTGACCAAGACTTTGTAAATGATGATGTTTGACATTTTCAGTTATCATCTATGATATTACGGAAGCTGTGAAGATCGATGAAGTACCAGGCCAGAGTGAAAATGACTTTTCTAAAAACTAGAGTTTGACTCTCTTGACTTTGCTGATTTTGCTAAGACTTTGTACATCCCTGTTCCTAAAATTTAGTCCAGACAGGTGACAGGTCAGAGAGATGGCTAAAAAAAAAAAAACTTTTTCCACTCAGTAAAATCTCACGCCATAATTTGTATTATTTCTTTTGAGGCTATCTGAGGAGTGATAACCCCAAGCATTTTTCTTCCCAAACAAGTTTCTTCATGTTTGTGATCAGAAATTTGCAATCATGATTAATCATTTCACCAAATATATAAACAAAAGGTGATAAAACATTTTAACCTTCTATTACATACAGTATAGAAACCATTGATACTTGATAGGTATTTAATTATCCCTACCAAATGACAAATGCATGTACAAAGGTTATACTTGTACATTCAATTCAATTCAATTCAATTCAAATTTATTGGTCCAAAAGGAAATTCGTTTCGTTTACATGCATTGTTCACATAGAAGAATAAATAAAATGTACATGTAACATGATACATACAACATACAACGAGTATATAGAGAGAATGAACATATAGCACTTTAACATTCACATTATATAGATATTTTCTTTGAATTTACATTATATTCAATATTTGTTTATGTATCCAGAGTAATTACCAGAACAATATAACATTGAAACTATTATTACTATTATCATTATCAATATTACTAATACTGTTATTATTATTATTATTATTATTGTTTGAATTGTTATTATTGTCATTAGTTTGACTCATTATATCATTATGATAACAAAAAAATATAACAAGGCACACATAAAACACAAACAGTTTAACAATAAAACAGATTTATCATAATTATTGTCTATATGGTGGAAAGAAATAAAAATAACCATGTATATATCCTGATATTCTGATAGATCCACAACAATTATTGTCCCTATAAATGAAACCTAAAATATGAGTGCACTCAGTGCAGTATGTATGAGATATGAATACCTATTGAAGGCAGTATGAGATAATTATTAGTAAACATGCAATATATTACGACATGTGAGTATAAATAGAAAAAGAAACTTTTTCATTTAATTTGAGAAAAGATGGCTATTGTAAGAGTTTAAATATACTTGTCCTAGAATAAATACAAATGGAATTTTGATCATTTCCTACAATCAAATAGAACAAAATAAGATACGGGTGATACATTTTTACATTTTATATTTCATTCAGCAGACGGATAGAATACGGGACATAAGAGTTCAGGTACCTCGAAGTGCGGGATTTCTTTGATTGCCACCTTTTACCACTTCTTAACCTGACATAATTTCCATTCAGGGGGTGACTGGAATCCCTTGACAACTTGACAGCCGTTTCCACTGCTCTGTTTCTGCAAACATCATCAAGATCCATTGGTCTATCTATTATTTTGGCTGCTTGTTTCACAATGGTTTTGAGTTTTCCTTGGTCTTTCTTTCTAGCACTGTTGTACCACACTACAGAATCATAGGTCATTATACTTTCAACTACGGACCGATAAAAAAGTGACAGTATGGTCCTATCAACATGTTAATGTCAATGAATGTTTATGATTTGTCATTAGGGATTCACAATAGTTATTTAAAGCACTGAATTGGAAAAATGGGGCCTACAAATAGGTATGCTACAAAAGGGTCCATTGTGTTGTGCTTGGCATGGTATTCCTTAAAACGGTCCTGCATTACAGTTGGCGATGCAACGTTACTTTGTAAAGTCAAAAGTATAGTTTTGTATGAGAAATTGTATTTTCTACTTTAAAGGACACAAATACCTCCTTATTATGAATTGGTTAATTCTCCATTATGCAGAAACTATGGATAAGTTATAGTACAAACTATACAAATAATACACAAAACAAAATGTAGCTTATGGATGATGGAGATGTTCCTTGCAATTCAATGGATGTACTGAATGCATGGTAGATGAATATCCTGAACTGGGCCCGTCTTACAAAGAGTTGATATCAATCACAACTGTGTACATAAGAAATAGGAGATTGCAAATTTGCGATTGATTAGAGGACTTGCGATTGATTTGGATCAATCAAAACTCTTTGTAAGACGGGGCTCTGTGCAGTTTCATCCTAGTCTTCCAATAATTGGCTTGTAATTCATTATTATTTCTTGATTGAGGTTCAAAAATGAAGGAGACTGACTTTTGTACTTCCTATTGTTGGAATAAACTGAGAAATAAATGTATACCCTTCAAAAGAAATTCCTGTCATTATTTTTTGTACAGCTGTATTATTTCTCCAGTTCATGAAACAAACAAAATGAATGGGAATATATGTAACAGGTGTACATGTAGCATATTCAAATTCTATGTACTTGTAATCAATGTTGTTGATCTGAGACAACCATCCAAAGTGAAATTTTGCCGTCTTTCTTTTCTCTTCATTTTAAATGATCCACATGGAGCTGAAAAAAATATTGATTCTTTTGGTGAAATAAACACTTAACTCGGGACACTATGGAAGAGAACGAAAGCATTTGTTATCATTTCATTTTTAATGTGATCTTATCATCACAAATATAGGCATATAAAAACCATTTATCATTAATATATAAATGGAATAAGCTGAGAAATATACATAAATGAAAAAATTATACATAAATCAAATTAGTTTTCATAAATCAATTTTCACATCATGATTATCATGATTGCATCATCCCTGTCTTTTCAAGTACTGAATTAATGCTATAAAATACTTTACCACCAAACATATAAATACCATACCGTAACATTAGCTAATACACATGTAAAGACATTTTCTAAACATGTTATTAAAAAATACAGAATTGGAACCGTTTCTTTTCAAGTGTTGGTTAATACAAACATACAACAAAATCATATTCTGATGAATACGACAGGAATATGTTAAAAAAAGACAAACATTGGATTTTAAACAAAAAGAAGTGGATAATACTTTTCAGTTCGTATTTTTGTATTTGGACATGCTCAGAGTTTGACACTGTTTATGCATAGACTTAATTGCAATTCTGTCAACTTATCCCGTTTCTATTCTTATATTGTTACATGAGAGTTCCAACTTTCATGGGTAGAAACCTAACGGGTGACTGGTTCTGATAACTTCTTTGGTTTTATGCAATGAAATAAAAGACCTCAAATTTGACAATATGTATAAAATAACGGATGTCCCTAAAATATTAGTTACTTTATAGCATCCCAACAACTTATGAGTGATTCCTTGGTAATAAAGAGACACAAACATACTAGTTCTCAACATTAAAAATTGATTAGCATAAAGATAAAATCACATTGCATATTTGATTATACTCGAATCAATATCATTTGAAAGTGTCTCCATGCAAAACTATAGATGTATTCGATTTCTCTTGATTTTGATATTAAAATTGTGATTATTACGAAATGATTAAAAAATACCATATCACCCTGTTAAAGCAGATAATAGCCATCAACACTTATAGAAACTATATATGATTGAAGTGTCTACATTCTTGCGGTAATACACGACTCAAACATTCGCAACAGATAAGGCCATACACCGTAATGTAGGTACCATTTTGAACAGTCCCACAGAAGAGCACAATACTGCACTCCTGCATTAGGCCTAAACAAAAAGATGTATTGCCCTTTAGGTGCCAAAACTTGGGTCGGTCGGTCAGAATTTTTTTTTTCTTCCCCCTCTTTGGGCTGATATTTCTCAGTTTTGAGTGCTTTAATACATATTTTTATTTTTTTTCTAAAAAGAAGTTTTAAAAAAGCCGACCATAGATTTTAAAGATTTTTGGGTCAGTCGCAAAGGGCAAAACAACATTTTTTTTTTAAAACAATTTAGAGATATGCTTCTACTCATAGAGAATCCCTAGATATTCTTTGGATATAAAGCAGGTTAGAAATATCAATTGCAAATCCTTGCAAGTATCATTGAAATTAATAATATAATTGCTTATGTAATGATAGCACAATATTGAAATACATTTTACATTGTCAGATTATTGCAAAATATTTTGTGCGAGGCAATGTTTATCAATGTGAATACCGACTAAGTTATACACACATATTAATATTTCTGTGAGCATGTTCAACCGTGCATTTTTTGTGATTGTTGTGATAAAAGTACAGTCAAACCCGTCTTAGTGGCCACCTCTCTATAGTGGCCATGTATTTTTTCTCCCTCAAGAGAGAAATGTGTGCTGTAAAACCTGTCTAGAAAGGCCACCTGTCTACGGGGGTTACTTTGTCAGTTTACCTGAATAGACAGGTTTAACGGAAGTTCTACTCTTATCTTTATTTGTCTGACATGCTTCAAATCATAGCAATTTGGTAATAGAATTAAAGTGAATCGGTAACATTAAAAAACTGCCTAATTTTTGTATAAAATGTTACGTATTATATTCCTTCTACTGTACATATTGTACATTACATGGCAGGGTAAAGAATCTGTCATTTTGGCATCGGTTTGGTGAAGTGACTAACAAAACTGGGATCATTCAACTATAACAAAGTAATCCTGTAAAAAATACAACAAGTGGGATTGTAGACACTTTACACCCCCCCCCCCAAAAAAAGCCCCTATAACTGACAAAAGCAGAGCTCATATACATGTAAACATACACTACATGTGTATATACCTATAAAAGAAGCACCTATAATTTTGTTAATCTTAGTCCCCATTAATAGGTCCTAGAGCCACAGGGCATATAGCCTATCCGATATGCGTCGGGCTTTACAAGTATTCTAATCGCGTTTATATGGAGAGTAACATCGGCGCGGTCAGCCCGAGCGCCTATCATCACTGGTGCATGCGAAAAGTTTTATTTTCTTTTATGTACAATGTTTCGTTCGTAGAAAATCTACGAACCCCCTGCAAAGCTCTTTCATGAATATTTATGTAGCATGGACCAAAATAGGCCAATGAGCGATGGGGAACGCGGAGATGATATTTGATTGGTTGAATCAAAGTGATCGATCACCAAATAAGGCTAGTCTTATGAATCATGCATGAGAATTCGCTCATCACACATACGATACACATATATGAATAATGATGAGTTGACCAGTGATAATAGGCGCTCGGGCTGACGCCCGCGCCGATGTCAGTCTCCCAAACGCGATTAGTACACTTGCCATTTAGCCCGACGCCTATCGGATAGGCTACAGGGCATACTGATAAGTTTAATATACTTGGCTTTACTGGAAGTTAAGTTGAACAGAAAAATATAGAACAAAAAGGATAAAATACCTAAATTAAGAAATCAGAAAAATTAATACTGGTAGTTAATATGTTTATAATATGTATAAAGACTAACATAGCATCATAAAAATCAATATAAAAATGGAACATATAAAGATTCAATATAGACAAGAATATTTCAAAGTATGCACTTTAAAAATGAATGATTCACAACAAATTAAGGCAATTGTCCAATTTTATTGGAAAGTAATAAAACCTTACAATTCACTTCCAGTACATAATACGTGAACAAACTATCCTTCCACTGAATCGAATCTGTCTTACCGGTAATTGGAAGAAATTAATTTTGAGTTGCCTTTATTAGTTTTATAGTGGTGCAAAAGTACAAAGTTTAATAAAAAGAATGATTTTATCATCATTTCTGGATGTTTTCTTAACCTGTATCATGAATGTATCACGATTTTTATATGGAATTGCACAGCTATCATGAATTATTCTCTTATTTGATACTTCATCTCATAGAACGGATTCTCAAATTCAGAGCCAGCACTGTGCAACGAATTTGTAGCACTCCTTCGCAGTGTATGCACTTTCTTGTACCTGTATACATAGATATACAAGTACATTTAACCTGCACCAATTTAAAATTCATACAAAAGGGCCAGCTGATCATGCATTCAACATGCTCTCTACAAGGCCTGTGGGGGGGGGGGGGGGGGGTCACAAAGATCCTAATTCAGACTAACTCTAAGTTAGACTTAAACATTATGGAAAGCCATTGGAAGCCTTAAAATAAATATATTCAAAAGCGAAAATTCAAGTATTTTAGACTTTTCATAAATTCCGCATCAAGAACATGAAATCTCCTTGATAATAGAAAATATGAATGATTTAAATCAACATTTTATGCCTTTTAAAATAACTTTTACAAAATATTTTCATAGATGCCAATGGCTTTCCATAATTTGTAGGTCTATCTTAGAAATATAAGTTCAATTTAGGATCTTTGTGTAACACTACCCTGGAGTTCTTTGTAGAATTTTGTATCAATTTAAAATTGGTACTGGTTAAATGTACTTATAAATCTATGTGTACAGCTGGCCCTGCACAGTTAAGCTGTGCACAAAAATTACTGCGGAATGCCCTTAATATTAAAAACTGTGATAATAATAGATACAGAAGATTACAACCATTTATTTACATGCAGGCTAACCTGGATACCCTGGTAGCCTTCATAGTGTACTTAACAAATACTGCTTTGTGCTAGATAAATGGACTTTAAACCTGCAATCTCATTGTTTGTTAATCGTGACCTTTGTACATGAATACTCACATTGGTAACCACTTTTGGCTAAATGTATATTGGGGAAAAGATATTCATGATTAAGTAGTCCTACTATTGTACATTTTACAATTCATACCGATTAGACATTGTAATGATTAGATAAATATAATAACAGGAATTACTGGGATATAGAGATGTTATTCTTTGTACAATATATAATCCCCTGGTTTGATATGACTCCAGCTAAGATTTACCTAGCAACAACTGGATAATCACTCTCATGTTTTCACACACATAATTGTTTGACACTGATTGACTTGATTTCTTTCACTTTTTACCTGTAATGGCAGAAATATACAAAATACAAAAGTAAATGAAAAGCAAACATTGATTCTCAAGTTCAGGTTAAAGAAGAAATAAGGGTGGGTTGTCCAGGCCAGCAAAATGTAAACAAACCATAAAACAAAACACCCATTGGAAAGCTCAATGCACATAAAGATATGGGTGGGTCTACATGAAGGTGGGAAGACTTCCCTTTTTTCCATTATTTTTCTTTGCTAAATAATCAGCTTATCATGCATTTTCTACCAAATATATTTAGCTTTTTTTTCACTTGTGGTCTTGAAAATCAAATTAGATTTTGTTAAATTCAGGGAGGGGGGATACATTTTTCACCAAATGTGGATACTAGAAATTAAAATTACATTCAAATATAAAGAAGAGAAAATTGAGGAAAGATGACCATAGAAGATATCAGCATAATTAAAAGAATATAAATATCATCATACAGTACCAGCATTCAAATCACCATTTTATATTTGGAATCCCAGACAGTTAATACTCCAATTACAGAGCTTATTAGACCTAGGAGGCCTTGCAGTCCTGATGATATGTTGATGTGACCAAGATATGATAATGGCAGGAACAAGTCAGCAGAGTTTTTGAGAATGTCCAGGATAAGTCCTAGATGATACCTGAAGAGTGTCATCACAACCTGCTTCATTGTGGTGGTGTGGACACCGTGGTGACTGTTACCATTGGTCTCATGGCTGGGGCGTGTCCCTGAGATGGAGCCATTGGAACACTGCTTCACGGCTTCATCAGAGTCCAAAGACATCTTCGTTGACATATCGGTCTGCAGAAGAGTACCTACGACACCGCAGATTGCATACAGATCTGTGCTAAGACTAAGGATGAGAGTGGCCAACCAGAAGCGACTTGATAGGTGGCCGTAGTACTTGCTGTTGACCTCGACGAGACCTATCCGATGCATCCACAGGAGGTGGTCGATGAGAAGGTAGGAGGCCTTGTTGATGTTGGCGAAGGTGATGGTGAACTGGAGAAAGGGGTCTGACAGATGGACAGACTTCTGTGCTGCTCTAAAAAACTCCACACTTTTGCCAATTCTAAGTACTGGATAATGTCAGAAACAAAACAAAAGAACAACTCACATGAGTACTCTACTTTTATGTCTATGAAAATGCCTAAGTGATTTCACAGATAAGTCTCACCTTTGTGTAAATAATATTTAACAATTTAATGAAATTCTTATACAACCACTCCTCAAAGTCATTTAGATGGTGCAGATTATTACTGTTGCTAAATGTTTATCTTTTTATTAAAAAACTGTATTAGATTTTTACCAACAAACATGAACAGTTTAAAATCCACAAATAACATACTTTGTGACCTTGTCTCATTCATAACAATTACCTTAAACTAAAGGCATTGTTTAACAACGTTTCCAGTTTTACAAATCTGAGATGCTTGGCCCTACGTGTTATCAGTGTCTGTGAAATGGTGTAATATTGGAGCCCTAAACAAATTGCCCTTCGAAATGATCATGAAGTGCTTCAAAAAAGTAAAAATCTTTGATTGACCGGTTTTACCATACTCGTTTTCCCCAATAGACTGTATAGTGTTGTTCAAAACCTGTTGGCAAACAGTTTTTGACATTTCCAAGATTCATGAGACTTACATTTTCTACTGGTGCTGAGATGCGAGTCTAGACCCTGTAGTTTCTTCACTAAGTCTGGATCACGTTTGCTCTCCTGTATGCACCACCACACAAGTCTGCTTCCATATTGGCAAGTCCTGTAGCAGAGAGGTAACAGAGAGGGAGAGAGCAGAAATGGTAATTGGTAAATAAATATATGCCTCATATCATCCAACTGATATTAGAACCCGTGGCCATCGATACAAGATCGTTAAGAAGAAAGTCTACTCGAAGCTTAGACATGGATCATTTTCACAGAGATGTATCAATGAATGGAACAACCTCTCCTCTGTAGTTGTGGAGAGCACGTCACTAAACAGCTTTAAATCCAATTTGTTGAAATTTTGGTCCTCAAGAAAAAATCAATTTGACCCAGAGGAGTCCTTCGCTTGTCCATGTTCGTCAATTGCTGTATAGCGCCACTAAACATGTGTCAAAATATGGATTCTTCATCCGAATGTCAACGAGAGGCAAATAAGTTTTTAACTTTAAATGCCTACTTCCAAGGTATATTTCCAAGGTATAATAAACTACAGACAATTGATACAATGTCAAAGTATTATTACAAAGATTGGGTCACATCATAACCACAAATTTAACTAAACTTTGGATTAAATTGTAACTTATATAGTAGGCTTTAATGGTTGCACCACGTGAGAGAGGGGGGCTGAAAAGAACTTGATAAGCTTAAGAAATATTACCAACAGTCTTTTCAGGACTGCACGCACTCAAGAAAGAAAGATTATCGACAGTCCTTTTCAGGTCTCCCCAATCCCCCCCCCCACCCCCCTCTTTCACATGGTGCAACCGTAAGGCTACTGTATATCTACATCACCATACAAGTTGATACTTAAACAGCATCTAATTTGTAACTTGTCGTCATTTTAATGTCTTGGTACAGATTTTACAAATCACAGCATAGGCTAATTGCTTTCACAATTGTACTCTGGGTATGGAATGCCAATACAACAATCTGGAGACTTGGCTGCCATTAAACTAGAAAGAAAATATGACATGGTACCATGTCAAAGAGATATGAAAATAATATCTACATTCATATACATTCTGTATCATACTTATCCTACAAAAATATGGAATGATATGTGTGGATATTAGGCTTAAATATCTACTGAATAGAAAATGAATTAAACTGATGAGAACATCTTTAAAAAATATAGAGTATGAAGTGATAACTCGTCTTTGATTCAAAATACGATAAAAGGGCAATATAAGGAGAAAACAAGGAGCTGTTATCTCAAACTATGGACTCTGACCAACAATAAAAGCTTAGCAAATATAATGCATTGATCAGGAGGATGGTTATCTGAGAACAGATCTATGAACTTTGTAAACAAATTGCCTACATGTGCATGGACAGGTCAAGTGTACATTTTGATTTTTTTATTAACAAAATGAAAAAAATGAAAAAAATGGAAGAAAAAATCAAAATGAACAGACCAAACTCCTATAACAAAAAAAGAAATCACTGAATTAATACAGGGCAAAGGCTACAACTGCACTTAACTTCTTTATGGTGCACATGTATGTATTGATTGTGATTGGTTACCTGTAGAATTTATCTCTGCCACCTGTTTTATTGAGGAAACTGATGATATTGGTTGCTACTGATGCCTCCATACCTGGTTATGATGATAAAAACCTGCAAAATGAAGGAAGAAATGATAAAATAATGAAAAATGATGATCTGCAGTATAAAATAGATACACAACATTGACAAAGAGATGTTAAGATGATATCAACTTGCAAATGTAGTTAACCAAAGGGAAAATGTATTGTTTTTTGGCAACATACAGTTTATAAGTGAATATTACTTTTTTTGGGGTTAAATTAGTGCAGAATTGCTTTTACATTTGCATTAAAAAAAAAAAATCTTTAAAAAGAAATTCAAATCTAGACCCATTATAAAAATTAACAATTGCAGATGTAAATGATACTGATATTGAGAGCACTGACGGAAATATCCATTAAAAACTATTAGAGTTGCCCAACAATGGCAATTGGTAAAATTGTCACCAAATAACTTTAAATGATTTCATGATGAGTCAGATTTTGAACGATCAAGTCATATCTTAATTGAAACATCTTATGTTTTGTTACTTTGCTTTTTACTCATTTCTTTATAGATATATTATATAATAATAATTTGGTACACATTCAGGAACAGAACAATTTCATGTGATTGGTATCATTTTGCATCCCATCTCGATGGTGACTACTTTACTTAAGTAGATTTTGTGTACCTGGTTTAATAATGAAAAGAAGTCTAAAGCAAATCAAAAGAAAATACCAACATGTCAAAAGATATGTAGTACTACTGTACAAGTAAAAACTATATCAAAATTAAAGAGTCTGAGACATAAGGCATGCACACTTTTGGGGGAATGCAATGTAGTAATGCAATGTAAACACCAAGTAAATGAGAATCACCTTCTTTCAGAATTCATGTTACTTTCTGTTGGAAATAATAAAGTAGAGTCTATTATCCTAAAACTGCCATTATTGCACAATGGCACAAATCAAAGTCACAATACACACACATTGGCAAACCGTTATCGCTCTGACCTGTATTTGATCAAACATGCAATGTGAAAAATGTTTAGCACAATTGCACAATAATAACATATTCTCTGACACGTCTCAGTGCAGTGATTGCATAGACTAGATCTAGTTGCAAATTTACAAATACAAAATAGACCCTCTAGAGTCTAGACTCTAGTCTAGGCCTAACAGTTACAAGGAATTATTTCTCACATCAATTCTAATTCAATACATTCTACTCTTAATAGCACAATTACTGTAGTATATTAGTAGTCATTACAAGAGTACACAAATACATTGTTCTATAGATTCACGTCTTTTTTGACTTCACCAACACTATTCAACAAGCGCATGCACTACTCCACTGGCTACGGAAGCTGTCCTCGAGCAGGCGGCCTCGCCTGGCCTGGTGCACCACGCCTGACCTGGGCCGACGGTCTAGCTGCTTCTATTAAAGTTCTACTAGATCTACACTAGGCTCTAGCTCTAGACCTAGTTCATGTTTTTGTATATTTCATGTAGCTGCACAAGATCCTTCGATCGGCATGCCTATATCAAACACATTTGCAGTATTATTTGACTTACCTCAAATCAGGATCATACGTTTATATAAGAATTTCGAGTGCATTGCACAAAGGTCGATCGAAGAGAGAAAAGTCGAACATGCACCACAACTCATACCGTATATCATATGCCGATAGTGTAGTACCGGTCAAAGGTCAGGCGCGTGTATATATTGTTCAGCGCTAGCGCGGTGATGCTGCACTGGCATGGTGCGTGGGCCGGTGGAAGGGACGGAGCGGAGAACGTAGGCGCAACGGAAATCGGTGGGATCACGAAAAGGAAACCTATAGGGGTGGGGTAATTGAACAATATGGGGCGACTAAAAAGACAGGTAGCAAAATGTGATAGTCAAACAAAGGTCCGAAGATTCACCTTATTCACCACAGTCCGAAGAAAAACGTTTTGCTATCTCGAGGTGAATGAAATCTGCTATGTTGACCACCAATAATCAGGGTCTTCCAGAAAAGTGGGCGGGGCTGACCGCAGGGCTTTACGAAACCGTAGTAAGTTCCTCCCATCTCCCTGGTACAACTACACCGACATTCTTTTGAAACGGCATGTTAAATTTAATTATGTTTCAATGGGATGTCGCTGAACTTATGACTTAAGACGGTTTCGTGACACAATGCATAAACAAAGATGTAACAGGTTTTAGCACTGTACATAATCCTCTGCGTAAATCATTTTCTGAAAAGCACCCTAAAATTGGGGATCAAAGTCAAGTTTTGAATATAGAGAACTCGTCTAACATCTCCGTTTTTATTTATATCTTTAACAAGAATATCCTGCATGGTATTTTAAACCCTAGTCGGGGATTGCTGCTTTTGCTTTTTATCTTTCCTTTTTTTATCGTGTATTTCCACGGGATTTTAAAATCCTTCTGCTCCCGACAGGGGTTATCAAATTTCCTACTCTTTCACGTATCTCCCCAATTATCTCCAGTGAACTTGATATGACACCATTTTTCCTGAATTTTTCCTGTTTTTGATACCCGTAACGGGATGCACGAGTTTTGGTGAACACGGATGATGTCGATGATGTACAGGCCTCATTGGGGGAATCGAGATTTTTAAGGTAATACATGTACGTCACATGCAACCGATTAGATATCCTGATAAGGTGAAATAACTGATCCTGGTGGGGTTTTAAGTACAATCTCACAATGAAAGAATAAATAAGACCTTCAGAAAAATGCGAGCGAGTTTTGGAGGAAATTTGAGGAAAATTGCTCCACGGTCGCTCTAAAATTGGGGCACATGTATAGGGGCTATAATAAATTCATTGTTTGAGGGGAGATGAGTGCTGATAACAACATTTTGTCATAATATATCATCCCGATATATCACGCATTATGTCTCAGTCGTTTTAACATGAATCACACCTGGTGATGTTAATCCAGTTGGCTTGAGTTTAAAAACTTGACATTGTCTGAACCTCTATATGACAATTGATTACCTTGGCCTAGAGAAAGGATGTTTGATAGCTTTGGATACGAGCACGATCAAAATTATTTCAAAAGGGGCACGGTTAGACAATTTGGGGGAATTTTGCCTTCAACCCCTCCCGGCTCCACTGCCTTCCATCGTGGTGGTATATGACTAGATTCTTGATGTTACACAAAGCTGCTCCGATATTTTGAAAATTATATATGGCACTTTAGATGACCAAAAAGGTGCACAATATTGTTGTAAGCGACAGTGGGAAATGTAGGTAAAAAGGGGCACTTATCAAAGGGCAATTACATCAAAAGTTGAGGGGAATGTATCATTGTTTCAAATGGGCATTTATCAGAGGTGAAAATGGGCATTTATAAGAAGGGGAAGTGGTACTTATTTAGAAAGGAAAAAAAGGGACTTGTCAGATGGGAAAAGGGCACTCATTAAAAGGGAAAAGGACACCTGTCAAAGTAAAAGGGACACTTATCAGAGGTAAAAATGGGTGTTTCTCATACCTAAACATGCAGGGGCGCTGATCGGAGGTGAGGGGGTACTTCTTACATGGAAAAAATATATTATATTACAAAGGAAAATGGGTCCTTAACTGAAGTTTTAAAAAAAGTACACGTTTTGGGGCACTTGAAAAAGTTGTGGAGAGAGAGAGAGAGAGAGAGAGAAAGAGAGAGAGAAAGAGAGAGAGAGAGAGAGAGAGAGAGAGAGAGAGAGACTGAGAGACACTCAAGACGTTGGGTTTATGTTTAAAAAGTTGCAACACTTTATGCTCGGTTTAATTTTCTTTTTAAAATTGACTTATAAGAGCGAGTATAAATATAAACGCACCTCAGTTTTCATTTTTTGGTAATTATAAGGGTCTAAGGGTTACAAAAAAACATTGCCTCAGAATAAATATATTGATATTAAAAAGCCGGAGATATTCGAGGATCGGGGCTTATAATAATAATAATAATAATAATAATATTTAATTTTTATATAGCGCTTAATACAAATGTCTCTAAGCGCTTTACAAAATTACCCCGGTCATTAGATTCAGTGCTTGCCTGCACTGCACACTGTGTGCACAATCTCCACTCCCTGGGGTGCATTCCAGCCGGGCGTTACTTGACGCTCAAAAACTGTTTGACCAACAATGACGGCCGCATCCTACCGGCACTATGAACATGACTGACAAAGAAAGCGGACAAAATATACAGTTCCTCAGGTAGACAAAGGAACATCCCTTCACTGCTATTATGTAAAAATGTGTAGAACAGGTGTCACATGCATATTCACTTTTTACATAATAGCAGTGAAGGGATGTTCCTTTGTCTACCAGAGGAACTGTATATTTTGTCCGCTTTCTTTGTCAGTCATGTTCATAGTGCGGGTTCCCATTTGACACCTAGGTGGAGAGTAGGAAGTGCAGGTTAATATCTTGCCAAAGGATATTAGTGCCGTGTTGGGATTCGAACCCTCGACCAGTTGTCCAGTTGTCAATGGACTTTGGGATAGATCATTTTCCCACTCTGGGAATCGAACCCGGGCCACTATAACTCAGAACCGCTAGACCACTTCACCAGTATGAGGCGTCCGTTTTCCCTCTTTCATAGAAACAGGAAGTGCCCCCTCCCCCCCCCCCACAAAAAAAATGTGAATCAATAAAATAATAATAATAAATACAAAACTAAACAGTAAACTCCAACATGTTTGGCTACAATATTCAAGAGAAACAAGACAGTATATGGCTCGTAATATTGATAAAATTGAATTATTGACGGATGTCACCGTTTCCCTCTAAAATTACCGGCGTATTAACACCTACTGAAAGTCACAGATAGCTTCACATCACTTTTTGTTGATAGTCAGGATATACACTAATTAACTTCTGTGGGTCATCTTGTCAATATTATTGAGTTGTACTGTTTAGTCTCTTCACTTCTTTTAGTAAATCCTATATCTGAAACCTTAACACAATTTAAATAGTTTCTCTCCCAGCTAGTTCCAATGCATTTTTTGTAGCATGCTATAGAAGCAGGCGCGGATCCAGTGTGCCGAGGTTGCCCCCCCCCACCCCCGCCAAAATAAAGAGAGAGAGAGAGAAGGAAAAGAAGGGAAAGGGAATGAGTACTTTTTTCTGCCCCCCCCCCCTCCCCAAACGTCTTTTCTCATTACGCCACTTCTGGTCACCATCACGTACCAATATTTGCCTTACATGATTTCAAATTTGCCCCCCCCCCCAAGAAATCCTCGCGCGCCTGATAAAAGAATGTGTGCTTGGCACACCATCGACCATTATCGTCACCAATATCACCGAGAGTCCGAGACCAATACAAAAGAGAGAGAGAGAGAGAGAGAGAGAGAGAGAGAGAAGAAGAAGAAGAAAAGAGCGATGAGCAAATGAAAAACCTTAAAAAAAGTATATACTACTTACTTAGCGTTGGTAAATGGTATTTGTTGCTACTAAAATAATGAAAGTTGGTCGTCCTACTTTTCTTTGTTGGATGATTAAATTTCACGCGTATAATAAAAGGCATGGCAGATGATTGCTATGGACAGCAGGATAATACATGCAGACTGCACAAACGTCACCGGGTGACTCACTGCGGTTTAACCATGAACTACATCGGGTATTTACTTCTTGCAAACCATCACACATCTTGAAAAGACAAACATACAAACAGACAGACAAAACGAAGAAAAAAACAAGCAAAAGAACTTCTTAACGATTTTGGCATCTTACATGGGGGGGGGGGGGGGGGGGGGGTAATGAGGTTATGGAGAACAACTGATGAAACCTTGTGCTTAATTAATTAATTCCAAGCTGACAAGCATTTAGACCTTGCCAGTGTTGAAATGTCCCTATCCACTGTTGTTGTATTGCAGTTATCACCCGACATTACGCCGCACCATTCATCAAATCCCAAGTTGTATTTCCATTGTCTTGTTCTTGAAATGTCGCTTGTAATCATTATCAGCAATCACTGACTGTAATTTCGAAGGTAAGGAGAAATTAGTATGCCAACAACAAGAAGCGCCATTGTCGTGCAACATTGTTTAGCAACTTAAAGGAAAAGAAGAAACACTCAATGCTGAACAAAAAACTTGACTTTTTCACCCACTATCATTCTGGGATGCTCTTTATTAATATCCCTCTCGTCTATCTCCCTCTCTCCCTCCCCCGCCATCCCTTTGACCCCCTCCCCTCCCCTTCTCTCTCTCTCTCTCTCTCTCTCTCTCTTTCCCTCAATCCCTTTCTCCCCTCTCACCCCCCTCTCTCTTGCCCCTCTCCCTTTCCTCTCTCCACCTCTCTCTCTCTCTCTCTCTCTCCATTTCTTCTTCTTTCATTGTACTACCTCTTACTAGAACTCTCTCTATCTCAGTCATCCCTGTTTACTCCCTTAATCTTACTGCATTTGGTTTAAGCATTCTTCTATTTCTTTTAAATTTGACAAATCGTATTGCATTTTATTCACTGATTTTTATCCTTTGATAAACAAACATTATAATTCATAAACATCGTCAGATCGTAACATTTGATTTAACATACTGTAAATAAATTGAGTGATTATGCTCTCTTTTACAATGTCAGGTTATAAATCATCATTGATTTCAATGATAAGAATAATCCACTCTTTTGCCTTTTCATGGAAACAAGAAGCAACATAATCCAATTGTGCGATCTCCAGGCCAGCCTTTCGATCGCACGCATCAAACTTTCCACTCGCTGCGACGTGTTCCCTCTTTCCTATTCGCTGAATGTCATTACGAATCTTTCCTCTCATTGGTCGAAACTTTCTGGCAATTTGGCACTCTACTTTCCCCCTCTCTTACTCGCTCTCTCCGATCCTGAGAAGGGGTAAAGCAAGGCAGCTCACTAGATATCAGGCAGTTCAGACTAACAGGATTAAACATGGGCTTCTTCGCTGCAAGACTGTTCCCAACCGAGAAAGACTGAACTGTTCGACTGAGGAGTTTTTCGTCTTCAGAGGGGCTCAGCGCTCTAGCTCTGGATTAAGGGCATTAACTCGTTTTTCAGCGGTTCCGATCCAGTTTAATACTCGACAGTCCGATAGCTTGGAAAGCGATTAAAGCACAATGGTAAGTTTGAGAATTAGGAAATGACATAATTTAAATAACGAACCAATAGAGATTATTTGCGATGATTATTGGGTGGGGACGCACGATGTCATGTCTTCCTTTTATTATGGACATGGTAGATAAGCGGTTTATTATTTTAAAAGGATTATCCCACAACGGTGTCATGTTTTTAAAACAAATAAAGTGCACGTCGTAACCAGGAATTTTTGAAAAGATCGTCTTAAAGGTATAGAATAACAACTATTTGCCTATGACGGAAATGAACAAGAATCCCAAGGAAAATAATGTGTGAAAAAATGTTGAAAATCAAATTCGTGCACAAGTGTAATACTTTTTGAAAAACTAAAAAAACGCAAAGCAAAACTAAAACTAAACTAACAACCACAACACAAAACCAAACAAAATATGAAAAACATATATCCGGCTCAAGAAAAGGAATAAGCCATTTTTTTGTTTTTTTGTTCATCCAAGCTGCAAGAAGAAAAAATTACTTTCCAACAAAAATGTAGAAACTTCAACTTGTGGGGGCGGAATAACTTTCACCGTTCCTTATTTTCCCACATGCGATCCGCGCGCTGCATGCATCGCGCGCTGCGCTGATGATGATTACGATGTTCCTTTGAAATTGACGACGTCTGCAATGCCACTTCACATGGATATCAGATACCGGCTTTTAAACAGTACTACGAAATTGTCATTTCAGTACATTATTCATGTGATTATGATCAAGAACTTTGATATGTCCGTCTTAACGTGTGTACAGAAGCCAGATAACTAAAATGGTGAGATTCTTACGAACACTTCGTTGAATGTATCATCATTTTCGAAGCAGAATGGATGTGTAGTCCCGGGTGTTGAAGTTAGTGTCATGGTGTTGCACTAATGCAAATTTAATTAGGCCTAGCCCTAGGCTAGCGCTAGGGTCTAGGTCTAAAACTCTAGTGTCATATTATTTTGTCAATAAATCGATTATTAAAGAAGTCGAGGTTATCAATTTCGTTGGCTCACTGATTTACCTGTTAACAATAACTGTATAGAGTCTAGATCTAGTCTAGATCTAGCCTTAAGGGCTCTCTCGAAATGTTTTTTTAATGATATTATTCGAGAGAGCCTTAAACGGCTCCCATACCCCTGCACGGAGAGGCATGTAAACAAAACTCAAAAGTGGTCCAAAATCACACTTTCGCGCACCCGACCAATATTGGACAGTGGCTTTGATAAATTTTGTCGTAGAGTAAAGGAGCCCGTTTTCGGCCACTTAAGACAAAATCCTATTTTTAGGACTCTTTACTTCCTATTTATTATCATTTCTTGTTCAAATCATGAAGCAAATATTATTATTATTTAAACAAAAAAAGAATCCCAGAAAAAAATCACGAATTGCCATGACAATATTCATTTCAATTTTCACTGTTTTGGAGCCCGTTATCGGCCGAGCGTTTCAGTTTACGGCCGCATGTACAAAGTCAATAGGAAGCGCTCGCGCGCGCCGTGCGTTTCCGCGCTGATGTACAGCACAAGCGGGCGGAGCAGGTATCCCACGCCGGAGCTCCCTGGTGCTCGCCTGGCCGAAGACAGGCACAGCGGTGATCGGAAGTTGGAATCTGAATTAGACAGAGATATCGTGTGTGCGTCGCGGTGTGCGGCTGCATTGATTTAATACATGCGATGACATACTTTTGAGCTTGCGACCAGCACAAAATCGGGCTTTAAATCTGAAAAATACTTGAAATAAAGCTCATTTTATGGTACCCATATTTCTTACAGACACGCGTAAGATACTCGATTTTTCAGATTTGGGTAGCAGGACCGGCGATTACATCGCTAAAATGTGATATTTTAGGATATATTTTCCATTGCAAATGTGGTTCTTCAGTGACACTGGCATGGTATGGTATGTGTGGGATATGTGTTATGTTATTATGCGATGTATTTTAGAGTGATTTTACCTTGCATCCAACCAATCGGCCGAAAACGGGAGCTGGCCGATTACGGGCTCCTTTACTCTAGTTTTGGTCTTAATTACCGCTTTAATTTCAAAATCGGATCTAAAAATAACAAAATAAGAGCAATTTTCTTACCAGACCGATACAGCTCAGCTCCCTTTTCACGTGTACCGTGTGAATTCACGATGTCTACACAATGGTGATGACCTCTGACTGGCACTTCCGTAATTGTGGGTAAATTGTGCTGCTTCCGTATAATGCGCTGAATAACACTCATACAGCGCATTATACGGAAGCAGCACATTTACGAAGTGCTAGTCAGAGGTCATCACCATTGTGTAGACATCGTGAATTCACACGGTACACGTGAAAAGGGAGCTGAGCTGTATCGGTCTGGTAAGAAAATTGCTCTTATTTTGTTATTTTTAGATCCGATTTTGAAATTAAAGCGGTAATTAAGACCAAAACTACGACAAAATTTATCAAAGCCACTGTCCAATATTGGTCGGGTGCGCGAAAGTGTGATTTTGGACCACTTTTGAGTTTTGTTTACATGCCTCTCCGTGCAGGGGTATGGGAGCCGTTTAAGGCTCTCTCGAATAATATCATTAAAAAAACATTTCGAGAGAGCCCTTAAGGCTATCTAGATCTAGACCTAGGCCTATATTTGATTTGATTTTACTATTTTAGAGATATTGTTTTTTGTTGAGGATCTTTTCAATTCTTTACTTTGAAGTTTGACTTTCACTTTGCAATTCAATTTTCATTTGACTGCCACCACCACTTGACTAAATGATAAGATTACTGAATATAGAAGCTTGTGTAGGTGCTATCTTATATACATATTTATGTATGGTGTGTATGTGTTATAACAAATAATCTGCACGTACTGTTAAGAAACACTAACAAAGCCCATGAATGTTTTGCTTACGAAATTATTTTACGATACTATCTTAAAAGATAGATAAATATAAAACGAAATAAATATATTTTTTTTTAAAAATCCAAAATTGAGAGATATAACATGTGCCGTAAAGTATTTTGGCGACAATAGTCAAATCACTGACTAATCGCCAATAACTCAAAACACAACAACAACATAAATTTGTATACACTATTAGTATCAGTGTCACCTATCTTCATGTCACCTTCTTTAAGTCTATGATAATAGCAATTAGTATAAAAAGGTGCGTGCACAGGGAATTTGCTAAAAAATCACCATTGCTTTACTTACTTGCTTTGGTGTTGAGGCTTGAATCTTCAGCTTATGTGCCCCTCTTTACTGCTTTGGATTGGCGTTGGTATGTTCAGTATTTCAGTATTATTTGTTGTCTTAAAGTAAGCATTAAATTGGCAATGCCAAAACATGTTTTTGTGTACACTACGTGTATTTGCATTTCAGGCAGAACAACATCGCAAACTCTTGTAAGACGTTAGTGTTTTTGTAAACATATTGCATGTTAGTCCATTTTATCATTAGGAACATGTGGAAGATACATTTGTAAGTAAAATCGCTAACAAATCTTTACCCTTTTGGTTAAATTCTTGACTGATTTCAAAGTGCTTCGTATGAAAATTAAGAAGAGTGCACCAGCGAAGTTCTAAGCCAGTGTGCAAGGTTTGTCGGTTGCGGGAAAGGGTGATGACGAACGCAATTTAAGTTTGTTAACATCCTTCTTCAGGGGCATGGGTGCAATTAAGGCAACCCCGGAACACTGCAATCACAGCGCAGTTTCTGTATGAGGGGCTGTGTGCCTGTGTCAATATTTTGGTAGTGATTGACTTCTAAACTTAAAAGATAAAATCATCAGCGCATAATTGGCAAAATTCTTGGAAAATACTTTCTTTTTACATGGTACATGTACTTGGTAGCATAATGAAATATGTCATTTCCATACAATTCCTTCAATTGGATCTTTTATCCGGGTAAAGAAGTGATATTTTCTGACTGTGTTTGGGCGGCAACCTTGCTCCTTTGAAAATCTCACAGAAATAACATGTTTGTAAAAGGGGAACAACCCTTAAAAACAAGTTGCTCCAAAATGAAGAAATCATATGAAAACATTTTGTTTTTAAAGCAGTTTGAACAAATTGTACAAAAACATTTAGAAAATGCAGATATTCTTTGTAGTTTGTAGTCACAAGAATGGGGTATTGAAATTTGGATATACGTAAAGTCATTGGTATGTCATATCACAAAAGTCTGCTATTTGCTAAAGAAAAGAATACCTGGAATATAATAAGTATGATTGCTGGGCAGGATGTTGTTTTATTGGAGGATTAGAGATTGCACTATTGATAAAATACATTCAGTTACAGCACCAAGGGAAAAGCACTAAGGGAAAAGCTGCTATTTTGAGGAGTAAAACAGAATTCATACTTAGATGTACACAAATGAAGAAGATGAGAATGAGAATTTTAACATACTGTAGCTATAAATAGCAATTTAAGATTTGAAGGCTATGATGACCAAAGAGAGATTTACATACATGTAGCTACATCATGTATATTATTTACCATGGACCTATTGGTAAATCATTGAGTGAAGGACGTGTTATATGAACCTTTTCTGGTAATGTCATGAGGTCATACTGTCCAAAGGAAATATAGTAATGCCCAGGTGTGGATACTCGATGGGTGGTCACCAACACTTTTTTTAAGTGAACATGGGTATGAAGGTGTGTTTCTCTGTAGCCTATGCAAAAATACATGGCAGTCATGAGCACTTTTGAGCTGTAAGCATTAAAAGAACTTTGGTAACAGTTAATGACATAGAAATCTTACGATGAAATCATACATGTACTTCTTCTTTAGTAGCAAATCCTAAAGGAGTTGTTTGAACTGAAAGGTGAACATAAAAAATATGTTTACACTTATTACATGTGTACATGTATAGTTATTAAATTATTACTACGGTAAATTTGGTACCCATTTTTATGCGATCTCATAGATGTTCTTCAGCATTTTAATTAAGAGCCGGCACCCACTCCCCTCTTACCCCTGTTTTGATGTTAGTAACACTATCATGTGTTATGTAGTACTAGCAAGAATCCTTGTTGAGAGAGGAGCTTCATACACTACTTATGAGCTCCTGAATTGCTTGCGCCTGTAATCAAGCTAACAATGGGAAGTTTCAAACTGATTCAGTCAAGGAAGCAGGTTCGAAACTGAGTCACGTCTTTCGGATGGTGACGTTTAAAGGTCGGTCCCAAGACGTAAATAATCATGTCTGATTGATACACGTCTGTAAAAACCCCAATTACACACACACACATGCTTGTCTTTAGGTGAATTGTCTTTTCAAAATGTTAGCAATCAAGCCTAAATGCAGCTGGGTGAACTTTGGTATAAATTTATGCTGGTACTTGTGTAACCTATAAATGTACATATCTACTTGTATGTAATTGATATGTCTCTTTTTGTACTTCAATGTCACTATCTAATTAAACTTCACTGTGTGCTTTCGGTTCTTGTTAGGGCAAGTAATCTTGATTCTTAGCTTCTTTAGGAGGGCAAATTCCATGTTATTTAATATTTTTTCTGTGTGTAAACATGCTAATGGGTCAAATCCAGCACAAACTCTTAATTTCAGTTTCATTTGTACATGCACTTTAGAGGCTCAAAACTAGAGGAAATTGCATTACGGTATGTTAAAGGGACTTGTAAAATTCTTCAGATGAGAGAAAATGGTGCTAAGGTAGTGACTTCAATACAATTAAAGATAATCTGAAAGTTTGAGTGAAAAACAGACCATTATTAATCAACACAATTGGAAAAAAATGATCTGATAGATTCCGTAATTCTCCCAACTATATTCTTACAATTTAATTACATTTAAGGTGAATTTAAATCTGATACCATTCCAGACATTTAAGTGTTGAAAGATTTTAAAAAGCCTGTCTTAGTCTTATTTTCATGGAAAAACGATTGGGAAAATTTTACTGTTAAATGGTGTCACACAGTAATACCTTCAAAGATAACCATAAATATCTTGTGGATTGGGAATTTTTAAAGGGTTTTGTGCATGTTAGAGGGTTAGTACAGTATAAGGAATATAATAAGTGACATTTCATACAAAAATTACGCAATTTTTCCATCAATCTTCAACAATGTTACCAAGTCACTTTAAAGTAGTTACCCGAAGGATCAAAAGTGTTTTGAATTGATGCAAAATTCATATCATTGCGAAGGGGAAGCCTTACTAATCAAATATAACAAAGTTCTTCCCTCTTCGAAATATGTTTGGTGCCCACAGTAATCATCTGTCAAAAATGTTAATTTTGAGATCCAGATTTTCTGCCTTCAGCGGTCCTCCGTAGACATCCTGATTCATGACGTCACATACGAGACACAGCTAGCCACAAAATAGCATTTTATTCTTGTTGCTAAGTGATCCTTTTTTGTAGCGTATACGCGACTGAAGCCAATCTTCCCCTTTCTCTCTTCATCTTTGGGGGCAGATCAGTGCGGATAGTGACTTTACTGAAGGGGGATGATTCCGGGGCGGAATGAGCAGCTGGGCACTGGTCGATGGGTGTGTACTTAGCTGGCTTGGTTGTCGTTCGAAGCCATACAGCAAGCGATCACGATCAATCATCGTTACGAACGTGATGATAATTGTGGGGGGGGGGCTGGGGACGAGCTCCTGCAGCTCCACGAGTGGTTGGGGGCCGTAGCCTGTGAGCATTAGTAAGCAGGATCCGAGCTGCTTCTTCTTTAGAAATGCCCATGTAGTGCACAAGGACTTCTTGTGCTCCTTCATAGATATTTTCTTTTTCATTTCTCTGTTTCACTTTATAAATAAGCAGGTTCTGTTTTCTATCATGAATTTCACTAAAGTTAGTTTTTCATCTAGTTCTTCAATTTTTTTTGTCAATTAAAGAACATAGTGAGGTCTTCTTTTTCAATGCTAGAGACTTTATCGGAGGTGAAAGTTGGACCCGTTTCTAGATCTAATACAGTTTTCTTTGTATTTGCCTGGTCTGTTTTCATATTGGCCATGTCATCCATAATTCTGTCAAGCTTACCATTTAGTTGAGTGAACGAGGCTCTCGACTCCAGCATAAAGGAAACTAGTTCTTGGGGTATCATGGCCGGTGCGCTGTGGTACTCGTGCAATGACAATGGCGTGTCACTAGCAATGGCGCCTGCCGTAGCGGATTGCTCACCTTCGTTTGATATTACATCACTGATTTTGCTCTTAGTTGAAGCATTTGGTTGAGATTTTCCCTTCTGCTGTTGCCTTAAGTTGTAGTCTCGCGCACCCTTATCCATTCTTAAAGATATGGGATCATTTGACGGATGTTTTCACCAAATTTGCGTTGATATGTTGGGAGCTCTCAAAAAGACTGTGCGTTAGCCAGTAAGTCATTTTATAGAATTATCGCACCTTCGTCAAAACGAAAGTAGGATAATTCCTTCAATGATATGCTAAACGAAATCAAATCAAATGCTTTCCTTAGGTCCATCGTAACCATACCAATGACATATCCTTTATCAATTTTGTTTGCAAAATCATTGGTGATATTTAACAAGGCAGTAGTGGTTGAATGACCTGGACGGAAACCGTGTTGACATGGATTAAGTAAGCTATTATTAGACAGGTAGTTATACATTTGATTGAACACAATCTTTTCTAATACTTTAGATAATACCGGGAGGACCGAGATCGGTCTATATTTTGACGGATTTGTTACGTTACCACTCTTAAAAATCAGCGTTACACAGGCCTTTTTCCACGCAACAGGGATCTTACCAGTACACAGAGAAATATTGACAGTATGCGTCAATGGCACAATAATGTAGTCTTTAGCATCTTTAATTACACCGGCTGGAATTTGATCCAGGCCAGTGGCCTTATTTCTTGCAATTTTATTTATGTGTTTCTTAACATCTTGTCAGGAAATCGGTTTAAAACTGAAAGTGGTTGGTACTTTGGTCAGATATTGCTCTAAATCATCACCAAAGGTAAAAATTTGTTTACGATTTGCTGCCATGTCAACAAAGTTATAATTTAAGCGTGTAGCAATTTCCTTAAATCCAAAAATATCTTCACCATTTATGGACAACTTTTGAATCACTTTCATATATTTGACAGCATACATGTACATCATAAAGATTTCCACATTGCAACACAATTTCCCTTGTTATTTAAAATACTTTCAGAGATATTTGACTTTTTTGCCTTTCTTATCATATCGGTCACACTATTTCTCAGTTTTCTATACGATTTTATTTAATATGTTGTTATTTATCCATGGCGTTTCTTTTTGTCGCACTGTTGAAAGATGAAAAATGAAATGGAAGCTCTTATTACCAATCATGTGAAAGAATATGTTTTGAATAATACATGATGATACAAAATTTGCCGGGAAACCGCCTACTAATTGATATATTTGAAAAATTAGTTTATCTATTGGTGTGTGAAAGATAAAAACGCACGTGTCTCGCACGTGTGCGTAGTCCCATATACATCTTTCTGTGTACAGTGCTTGTAAGTTTATGAAGACTGGGCCGAATTTCTTATTATTTTGATGATTCAAGAACCTTGCAGTACATCTATGCTAGATGATCAACCTTTTCTGATCGATTTCACAATGTTTCTTTCACAATGCAATCGCATGACCATTTAACTTGTCTTTATCTTTAACCTCTTTAGAACAAGTTGAACATGGATCTTTCAGATTCCGGGTGGCTGCACGTGAAGGTAATAAGTATTCTGAATTTCCTGCAGACATTTAAGTAAGATAATCAATGATTAAAAAACCTACGTATGAAAGGAAACATAACTATGACCTTGCACTTTCAAGATCTTGTATGCTCCTCACCGTTCGTTTAGCATTGTACATCTTGAGTCCAGACTCTCTTTACTGAGTCATTCATAATTTGAATGTGTTAGTAAACCCATCTATTGTTACTTAATAGCGATGTTTAAAAGATCTGTGGATATTTTGGGATCTTTTGTACTTTTGTTATCTTTTTTTTGGTGTCTTTACAATATAATGTCCTGTTTTGAGCTTCAAAAGACTGTAAATATATTACTGTGAGGAGCATATCGACTCTTGATATTGGATTTATTTTCTAGACCTACAATGTAGCTATTCATGAATCAATGAAAAGGATGAGGTATATAAAAAAAAATATGGACTGCTCTGTAATCGGATGGTGGAGGAAATTATCACTCCCTTGGTGGTGTTCATACCGGCCCTTCTATCCCCCCCCCTGTCATAAAAGGGCTGGTATGAACACCACCTTGGGAGTGATAATTCCCAGCATCATCCTCATGAGCAGTCAATATTTGTATACCAGGCATTTAGTATAGATAGGGATAGGGAACTCATACAGGCATACTAATACTTAAATGGATGAAAATATAGTGATAAGTACTTTTTCATTTGACAACCAAACCTATATTCAATGAAAGTAATTATAATATTTGTTTTGGTGGTTTTATTACTGATTGAGGAGAATGGATAAAAATCTAATTGTAGAGGCATAAACTGGTAGAAATAATGATAATATAATAATGACTAGATTTGTAAAGTGCCATATCCATTTCGTAGAAATGCTCGAGGTGCTGAGAGTATAAGTAATACCGGTAATACATAATAATAAATTTACATACTTACATGTATACACCAAGGAAATATATATGGATGACATATATATATGGAAATATTGAATTGATTAAAAGTGGTATATATATATATATACTGTTCATGTATATGTATTACAGAAAGTATGGCCAAATAACAAAACTAGTGTGTTTCTTGTCCGTATTTACAAAAAAAAGGAGGAGGCAGGGCAATACTATTTACTATTTTGCAATTTTTTTGCAATTTTTTTCAAAGACGGCTGCCATGCTAATGATAGCTGGCATAGCCTATTTATTCACAGATATTGTGCTTGTATACTGATGCAATGTATGACCAAACAAATGATTTGTATAACTTTAGAGGCTATTTAAACAAAATTTATATTACAGGTTTCTTTCCCTTCTGGGTGAATAGCAAATAGATTTTTTTTTTAAAGGAGGTGGGCGGGGACGAGAAACACTTCATTTTTGTTATTTGGCCTAACACATATGTGATTATTCATTATCAACCATTTTGTTCTTGTTCTATCTATTATTCTTCAGGCTGGAGGAGGAAGAGAATGGATAGAAAGCCACTTCAACAAGAAGGAATGTGCAAAGTTTGTCGGCAGCAAGAGAGATCCAAGGAAGTAAGTCAAGATTTTATTATTTTATTGGTATTTAAATCATTTTTATTGAATCTAAGCAGTATGCAATTATTTTGTCTGATGACGTTCGTGTAAAATAAACAGTTTGATATTTTTTAAACATGTATGAATCGTAACTTCCTTTAGAGACCTTTAAATCCAAGCTGAAGTGTCATCTTTTTTAACAATACCTGTACTTGGCACTATGACACTCATCCAAACTCTTATTCTTTCTATTTTTCTTGTGTGCCTCGGAATATAATTGTCTAGATAGAGTGATAGACGGCGCTATATACAATGTAAATGCTTATTATTATTATTATGCAATATAGTATATATATAAATAATTAAATAATACTAATATTAAGCAGAATATTGTGAGACATTCATGATAGGAAGTCTTATATACATGTACATTACATATAATACGCATGATGTGTAATGCACTATTTTAAACATACTAATATTCTGATAAGAGTTTATGGCAGAGGAGGATTTGGGCTTCACTCACGGGTAAAAGTTGAAATGGTAAAAATAGATTTCTTAAATTTGTTAAGATATCGGTACGCCTAATGAGGAAGAGTTTGCTCTTGAGCAGTGTTGTAGTCGAGACCTTTCCTTAACTAGTTTAATGGTTCATTTATGGAACCCTGAAGTGCATACACTGTACATGTACACACACCAACATCAACAAAAACAGAAAGAATAATGGAAAAAGAGCAACAAATTAAGAAAAAAAGGGGGAAAAGGGAAGAAAATCCAGATTCTTTTGTTAATGGGGAGGAAGGGGGGGGGGGGGGAGGTCCAGTTTGTGTCTATACAGTATTTATGTAAATACCCTTTTAAAGAAAAAAAATGTACATGACTACTTAAACAATGCAGTGCATTATTGCACAGCTGGAATTGACCACTTGTATCTCATGAGTACCCCTTACTCACTTTACAAGATGTAGGCTATACTGAACGTGTTATTGACTAGTTGCGGAAGATAAGATGACAATTGCTATGCCAGCTGACAGTACTGGAGGCCCTCGATGTTCATTCGAGATCGCTCGATTTGAAGGTTTGGAGTGATCTACTTGTCTTGCATGGAAAGTAAGACTTGGAGGATTTAAGAGCTTACATCATTTATCATAAAATTTGTAGAGAGGAAGAATTTTTTCCCAGCTTACCCAATTTAGAATTGGGCAATTGTCATCAAGCTACAATGTAACTTTAGCCGGATATTGTGCAAAAAAAGCATCTGTCTTCTCTCCAATACATCCATTTAGTGAAATCACAAATCTAGAGAACTTTCTCACCCACTTTCTGTGAGAATGCTAATAAGTTCAATAAATCTGAAATTCTGAATGAAACTTAGCAAAATGGGTATAGAAATACAGAATTCCTGCGAGCCTGCCCACTTAACAGAATCACCCCTCTTCCATTAAGCTATGGTGTAATATATTAACAGGAATCATCTTTTCTTTTTAATTTTTTTCATACAAAATATAAAATCAAAGTACACATTCAGATAGGTTACTTTCCCACTTTCTTGGATACTGCTATAATGATATTAAAATAAAAGAATTGATCTATACAAATACAGAATTCCTGCCAGCTTTAGTGAATATAATCAACATTTCAAATGAAGATATAATGTAATTATAGGAGGATAGTAATTTTGGAATGATCTGTTTTTAATTCATCTAGTCAAAGTAAAAATTCTGATAGGTTATTCTCTTGCTTTTAGTGAGTGAAATTCAACCAAGAGTTACAATTACGAAACAGGATTTAAACTTACCAGCCTAACCCTTTCTGTGCCTTGGTTGGTGAATCGTGGCCAAAATATTTTATAACAATGAATATAAGTGTTGAACTTGTGTATTTAGACACAAAATTGCTATGTTTTTCTTTCTGAAACAGATAAATGTATTCCCATTTCAGAAGTTTATTCTCTTTCAGCAGATAATTCAAACAGTCACTGTTCGGAATCCTTGCAATGTGTGACAACAGTTTGTATCATTTTCTAAAATTATTTTTTAAATAGTAGAATAATGTAATGATTAACAAGAAATATAAAAACACCAAACAAACAATAAAAAACAAACAAATGAAAAACACTGATGACTGATCACTCCTACATGTATATGATTTATATCCTTCAGAATATTTCAAAAATTTGATTGCTTTCTCAATGCTTTCTCTGCATGTGTGCATGTGACACATTTCATTCCTGCTGTGCCCAGCTCGCAAGGAAAGTTGGATGTTTTCAAAAACAAATCAATTCATACAATTACATCTCCCAGAAAGTCGCTATGTCATCATTAGCTTGAGCTTGAGAAATTACACAGATTAGCACTTCCTGAGACGTTAGACCGAACGATCTTTCCTTGTTCCTATTAGCTCAATACAGTCACTTGCTTGAGAAATTGCTGTAACCCAAATGTACTGTATTAAAAACATACACGTAGAGTACATGTTCAAAGAACTTTGTCTTTGTAGAAAACATGGCCACACTTTCTTTGATTTAAGGGTGCGTTCAAGTGTCACTTTTTCACCCTAGAAATGCTGTTTTCAAAGACATTTAGTTTAAAACACGGTTGCGTTAAAGTGATTTGAATCGATTTTTTGTCGGTCGTAGAAATAAATGTGTTTCAAAGCACAAACATGAAACGCTGAAAAAGATGCGTTTTGTAACATGATTCTGCAGAATCATGGTCACTAAAAATTGCTTGAAGGCAATGGAGATCTAAATCATGATTCTATGACGTCATTATTGTGGCCTACTTCCGGTTTGGCTGACAGTCGATCGAAAACAAATTTAGAAAGTGCGCGCCTAAGTTGACCTATATTTCCAGGGTCAAACTGCACAGTGTGATGACCAGTTGCTGGGCTTGAAATAAGCGAGAATCAGCGTTGATGGAAAATCGCTTGAACTATCTCCTGCAGTAACCGTGTTTTTATTTATGATTCATGTTTGTGATTCTAGCTTCAAAAATCGCTTGAACGCACCCTAACTATATTATATGCAGGGATCAACATCAGTATACATGTATTTTTAAGCATCCAAATTAGCCTATTGATTGGCCAAATAGCTGGCTAGTTTTATGTTACACAAATTTCACAGAGTTTGCTTACCGTATTTTCCGGCGTAAAGGCCGCAGTATTTTCGGGTGAGAAAAAATCAAAAAGTCGGGGTGCGGCGTATACGCAACAACAACAAAATTCAGCGGTCAAAACATCACGTCCATTTGCACGTATGGGACTATAGGAACGGTAGCATGACTAGACAACGGTACAGGACAATTCTAGAAGAACTCCACACAACTTACCGACAAGTTTATGTTGCATAGTTGACATGAAGACGAAAAAACTTATTTTTTTAATAAAATCTGCCGATAGATCTAGATCTAAGTCCATACCATTGCATCGCCAAAAAGTAAACAAAGGGACAGGCCGTTACTTACGGAGCTAGCTGCCGCGCAACGCAACTGCGCAGGTCGAAAAATGCTATTTCGGATTACACCGTACATCGAGGAAGGGGTATTGTAGGATACCAAATCTGCGTACGATACAGTACTAGCTTAAAAATCGATGAAGATCTGCTAAATTATGATCATTTTTGAGGTTACCTTCTTGTTGATTTATAAGAATATTGATGAATTTGGTATAGTTTGTAAAAAAAAAAAGAGTGTTCTACAAGAAAATTACGATCATTTTGTTTGGTCCGTTTTTTTTTTCTCCTTTTTTTTTTTTTTTTTTTTTTTTTTTGTTGTAGTTTTTTTTTTTCCTCTACGAAATGTCAAAGTTGGGGGTGCGGCCTATACGGCGGTGCGGCCTTTACGCCGGCAAATACGGTAAGATGATAGCTCCAGCTAACTGTCTACAATCCCCCATATACATCGGAGTGAGAAATCTTGGTAAAATCATGGATACGTTCTGAGCACGCCAATTCCTCAAGATCATAATATCTTGTGAGCTATATTGATTTGTAGGGTTAATGCAGACACGTCAAGCAAGTGCGAACTCTATTGAAGAGCAGGTGGAAATTATTACGTGCTTTATGAAGGCATTATGTTAATCCACCTACCCCCAAACTTTGGATGCTGCTTAACAACTACTGTGTCGTCCAAGATGAACTCTGGAAAGGTCATATTGACTTTAAATTCTGTACACGGTTGTCTCTGCATTACCTTTTTTATCCAGGGATTTTACGATGCATCCAATGTACAGTATATCTATCCAAGTCATCTGGATTCTCATTACTTTTTTGGTTGAATTCTTTTTTTTTAAGGAATACATTGATCCTTTCAAATCTCCTGCAGAGAGTTTGATTAAATGGTTATGGTACTTTGATTTTCGTCATACGGAATCTACCTATCAGGATTAGTTAATTATGCATTAATACAGAAAATGCAAAAAGAAAAAGAAAAACAAGAAAAACAAATAAACAAGTAAAACATATTTATTCAGCTTAGAATTACATTTAAAAGCACCTGCACACACAAACATGTACACGCACACACACACACACCAACACCTGTGTTTGTTCTACTGCAAAGGATGGTTAGCTTGTTTTTCCCTTTGTCTTAGCTTTTAATTTTGTCACGTTACATTTCTGTTGATTTCATTAGACATTTTTCAATCAAATTTGTATTTGTAATCCTGAACATTTGTTTTTGATTTTTTTTGCTTCTGTGAGAATATTTTTTACCACCAATATTTGTCTTCTTCAAACAATAGATTGCAGGGCCTGATGTTGCCATAAAAGCTGATGAAAAGCAGCCCATTAACAATACCAAAGTTACATTTCATTTTGGTGTGATAAGAAGAAAAAAAAGTGAATTAGATTTTAAAAAATTATAGTATTCAAGGGTTCAGTTTACAAATTAAATACTCATTAATATCTTTCTTGAATCTGTCCATGTTTGGTGCAGGGAGAAAGATAATATAAGGTGGGAAGGAGGTCTAGTAAAAACTCAAAGACTATGCTTTCCTCTGAACTTCAGATTACTTTTCTT